TTTTTGTTTGTTTGACTACTACAAGAGAAATAGACGAATCAAAGATGGCGAGCCCAGAGTGACGGTGGATGGTCGTGAGAACGGTGTGGCCAACCGTGGGACCAGCTACCGAGGACGTCGGACTAGCTTCGTTCAGACAGGATACAGATAAGAGTACACTTACGCTATTAACTCTACCTGAGTAGTAGTAGTGGACTTTGTGCACACACACAAAAGGACCAGGGACTGAACTCTGAACTCAATTTCATACTCCTCAACTTAAAGGAGCATTGAGCTGAAGTGTCAGCTCACACGGACATTTTCTTTTCTTTTAATTATTGAAAGAGCTCTATTTTTGTTTTATTTTATTTTCATTCTTGGTACATTGAAGCACTGTGTGCATTGTTGTGTTTCCTGAGGCAATAAAATTGTCAACTGTTCAACTCAATACTAACTCTTTTGTGAGTCACTCAAGGCAGACCACACCCCGGACCTAGGTAGATGTTAGTTGCCCTATTCTGGTATTGGTTAGCACTAGGGGCGCTACAATTGCATTTCTTTTTCAAGAACCAAAAACAAAGGTTGGGTTTTATTGTACTTACATTTATGTATATGGAATTTAGCAAAAATTAAAATTAAATTTATAATATAGTACTCTTTCCTTTTATTTGAGGGAATATTATTAAAACCAAATATAACATTTTCTAAACACAAAGAAAAAGTGGGGTCAATGTTGTCAATTATAAATCTAGACAAATCTTTCCAAAATTTTCTAACATGAGCGCAATGCCAAAATAAATGAAACAAAGTTTCAGCCAATGTATTGCAAAAAGAACAGTTCAGATCAATATCCTTTTTAAATTTAACAAGAAAATTATTTACTGGGTAGTACTTGTGTAAGATTTTGAAACTTATTTCCTTTATTTTATTTACCAATAAATATTTGTTTGGTAAAGTCCAGATGGCCTTCCAAAACAAACCTTGAACCAGTCTATTCCAATAACCAATACTGTTTGGCCTTGTGACAATGTCTTTTTGAAATAACGAACGAATAATTGTATTAACATTTACGACTCTGGGTGCAAAGCAAATTTTTCCAATCACAGTATCAAATAAATCAAAGGAGAAGGGGGCGCAATACTGGTTTGGGTATTAGCTCTGAATAATGCCAAGACCCCTGTGGGGATCGCATCCATGACAATCGAAAACTCACTGGAATTTTATGGAAATCTAGAAACTCAGAGTAAGTTAGCAGCATACCTTCTTGGTTTAGTAATTGATCAACTCGTATTATACCTGCTGAAAACCATCTTTCAAAAAATAAGGTTTTATGTTTAAATAATAAATTATAATTGTTCCAAATTAAATATCTATGGGGTGAAAAATTATGCTTATATAAAAGGGACCAAGCAAGCAACATTTGTTTGTGAAAGCAAGATAAATTTAGAGGGATTTTGTCAATTTTATAATTGCAAATCAAGAGAAAATCAAGATTACCTACTTTGGAGAAAATGAAATTCCAAAGGGAATTTGGATTTAGAATGAAATGTCTAATCCAATTCATTTTAAAAACATTATTTAAAGTACTAAAATCAAGGAAGTTCAAACCACCTGATTCATAAGTATTCATTATTATAGATTTCCTAATATATTGAGTTTTGTTTCTCCAAAGAAAATTAAATAAGGCAGAATCAATAGCTTTACACATCACCTTAGAAACAGCGAGTGAAGTCGCAGTATAGACTAATCTTGACAGTCCCTCAGCTTTACATAACAGAACTCTACCTTTTAGGGCTAAATCCCTCAAAAGCCAGTGATTCAGCTTTTGCTTTAGTCTTCTGGAGAATGGGATCAAAATTTATCTTACATCTAGATTTTTGGTCTTTCGAAATAACAATCCCCAAATATGTCACTGACTCCTTTACTGGGATATTAGCAATTTGTTGTAATTGACTGTCTTTTACAGATAACAGTTCACATTTGTTAATATTTAAGGAAAGGCCGGAAGCTTTAGAAAAGGCATCTACTACTTTAAGAGCAGCTGGGACTTGATGTTGATCTTTCAGGAACAGTGCAGTATCGTCTGCTAACTGGGATATTATAATATCCCTACCAGCAATAGATATACCTTTTAATTGGCTTGATTTAATATGAATATTCATAAGCTGAGTGCAAAACAAGAAGAGATCAGGGGAGATGGGACAACCTTGCCTTATACCACGTTTTAAATAAAATCTAGAGGATGAACCACATTTAAGTTTAATAGAACAGATTGCGTTCCTATACATTGTTTGTATAGCTTTACAGAAAAAGTTTTTGTAAAGACCTAAAAATGAAAGCATGCTCTACCGTATCGAAGGCTTTATAGAAATCTAAGAAAAGAATAAATCCATCATCTGTACTTAAATGTGAATAGTCCAACACGTCTAGGACTAATCTTATATTATTTGAAATATGTCTTTTCTTTAGGAAGCCAGATTGAGCCTCATCTATAAGGGGGTCCATAACTGATTTTATTCTATTTGCAAAGACTAAGGCAAATATCTTATAATCATTATTTAAAAGAGAGATTGGTCTCCAATTATCTAATAGCAATGGGTCTTTTTTTGGTTTTGGAATCAAAGTAATTAATCCTTGAGTTAAAGTAGGTGGAAGACATTGATTTTCTATACTCTCTATATAAACTTCTTTAAGAAAGGGGGCAATAAGATCAGAAAAGGTTTTATAAAATTCAGCCGTGAGGCCATCAACCCCAGGGGATTTGTTAACCTTAATATGTGGGATAGCGTTTAATACTTCCTCAACATAATTAAGCTCTCACAAAGTTCTTTTTGTACAGGGTCGACAGATTTACAATTTATTCCATATAGAGTTTAGAAATAGAGAAGCCAAATGATCGCAAAATTTAGATGAATATAAACCATTATAAAATTCTGTACAAAATTTTGAAATTTTAACTTGGTCATCTGTAACATCCCCATCTATTTTAAGTTGTTCAATTGTATTATTTCTATAGTGAAATTTCTCCAGACCAAAAAAATATGCAGAATTTTGTTCCCCTTTCTCCAACCATTGCTTTCGTGACCTAGTGAAGGCCCCTTCTGCCTTATTCTTATATAAATGGTCCAACTCTAGTTGAAGAGTGACTAACTCAGCTTGTTTATCTTCATTTGGACATGATTTTGAGGAGAGGGCAGCTAATTTTGATATAATATTGTCCTCTTGAGTACGTCTTTCTAATGCCATTAAGCTTCCCTGTTTCCGCAAGTACTTAGCTATACCTCAAGTTTCAATAGCTCCCAATTACTGCAGAATTTGTTTTCTGAAAGTGCTTTATACCAATGACATAAAATAAGATTTTTAGCCTTTGTTTTAATATGTTCATATTGCAGTAATGAACTATTAAGTTTCCAATATGAACTTCTACCCATGGTGTGTGGAGAAGTGCTGAACTTAATAGAGATAACATAAGAACAGCTTTATGGTCACTGAGCGGTGAAGGAATCACATTAACAGAGACATCTGAAGATTGTATACTCGCAGACACTGACCAATAATCTATTCGAGATTGCCTGTTACCAGATTTGTTGCTCCAAGTATATGTTAACGAATCAGGAAATGTAGACCTCCATATATCAACCAAATTGAATCTCTCCATAAAACGTTGAAGGTTTGTATTTTGATTATAAGATGGTCTTGCTGGTAAACAATCGAGAGAACAGTCCATATTATAACAGTATTAAAATCACCCCCAAACTACAGACTTTTTTACGATCACGTAGCCGACCGTGACGTCACCGGGTCCCTCGTGTTAACAGATGACAGGAAAGGGTTACTTACACGGAACTGACGTTAGGCTTGTGTGCTGGACTCGGAAGTGAACTGGAAAGAAGAGAGAAGGACAGTTAAAGCAGTTAAAGATAGGTGAGAAAACAGGCTGAGCTGCTTCGATCTCATATTACACTCGAGATTAACTTTGCTGCCCGTGCACTGTTGTTGTTTTAGCGTCGTACGGCAGGACTGCTAGCTGTAGGTGTTCTTCTGTTAGCATGTCTGCTAAAGCAAAACAGCATCGTAAATGAAGAGATTAAACAAATATAAAGATTCTTAAACATAAACATTCACGAAATCACAACCACCGTATGTAAACCTCAGTCGACAGCCGTTGAGGAGTCGATGCTCGTGTACTTTATCAGGACAGAGAGTTCAGTAAGTTCCAGACTTGTTTACATTTCATTCTCTGCTCCGTCTCTCATGGATCTGATCTGTTTTAATAGCTCAGAAAAACTGATGGGTTTGTAGTTTTAACTGTGTAACTTTAGATCATGTAGAACAGCAAACTTGATGGCACTAACAGTGATATGTGTTTTGTTTTCAACAAAATGCAAAGTGAACCGGCTAAATATTATTAACAACAATTTGTTATTGGTACAAATTGTGGATGCATTATATTTGAGCACTGATTGGTTGTAAAAACGTCCAAGCGAATATATGTAAGATATTTAAGAATCTTCCATTGACCAAAAAAAATAAAATAATAATAATAAAATATATATATATATATATATATATATATAATCCACAAATCTCAATATAGAGTGCAACAGTAACTCGAGTCTTTTTCCGATTAATTCTCTCTATGAAATTACAATATATATTTAAGTTCTGTCTAAACCATCAACCAAGCTCTGAGATTATCTGTCGCCTTAGTTATTGATTTAGTGCATCTCTTCAAGATTATCAATTCAATTCAGCCGTTCTTTTAATAAATTAGAAATTACCCTGGCTTCTACAGAACTATATGCCATTGGATGGTTGGTATTGAAAGTTGTGATTTTTACTTCTGGAACCTTAGTTACAGTTGTTGATGTGAAAGTTTTATAAGGCTTTTTTTATGTTGTAGTGTATAATTTGTTAGATTACATCTTGAACATACAGTGTCTTACATTATGTTATGTCATATATTTAGAGTAAGTTGACAGATTGTTCTTTTCATTTGCAGGGGTTCAGAATGATGATTTGGAAATGTTAATCTTTGATCGTCTGCAATGCTGGACATGCTGAAGACCCCATATTGTGTTTCATTTGTGAATATGAGGCAGCTGTTAAACGCAATGCACGCTGCATGTCTAAGTCTGCTGCCACCCTGAAGCTCATGATGGATATTTCCATGTCTGTCTTAAGCGTGAGGGAGTGAACCTGTGGATATCTGAGCAAGATGGAAGAAGACATGGCAATACATTGGGAGACAGTAGAGGAAGGCTCTGACTGTGGGCCGCCCATCGTTTCTCTAGCCAATCCGTGTCATGAAAATGACAGTCACGTGATGCCGCCTCAGGGACCTGACTGTGAACATGAGGCGTTTGATGATTTGGATTGTGAATTCCCTGATGAAGACTTTGATTTGGAAGTAGACGAGAATGAAGAGCAAAACACCGCAACTAAGGATCAGGAGGAAGATGGGAGTGCCGAAAAGGAGAAATGTGAAAGAGAAGGGAAAAATGAATTGGATAATGAGTTGAGGGGCGACGGAGAGTCTAGATCCCGCAATGCTGGAACCGGGAGGAAAGGAAAATCCAAGAAGAGTGGACCGGCACAGGGGCCTTGTGATCAAACGCCATCATGGACAGCTTCAATGTCTCATAGATCCTTCCTCCCATCGTCCGGGCCCAGCAGACACAAGCAGATGAAGCGACGGAACCAGCATCTGCACAATCACAGCCGCGCACGAAGGAAAAACGGGAACCAGCTGGTCATGGTGTGTCGGGATTTCCTAGCGGAAATTGTCAGTCCCTGGTGCATTTCATGCATACACATGGTCGTCGAACTCATCATTTCTTTGACCCACAGATGTGGAGTCGTGGTGGAATCATCTGGAATCGCGCTGTTTGACTTTGGATCACGCATGCTTTGCAAGGTCACCGATATTCCAGGCTTGACTCAAGATTTGAGGCGGATCCTGGACTGGAGCCGGTTTTCAGCTGTAGCTTTAATAGAAGGCATCGGCAGGACTTTGTGTTGGGCTCGACACGCTCTCCTTTCCGGTTTCAGATTTGTTTGCGCCACGCTAAGCGTTGGCTCTCAGATGATGAGGTGCGTCGTGGGAAGGCTGGCGGGAGAGAGAGGCAGAAAATGGTGGCTTGCCTTCCAAAGCAGCAGGGTTTGGCGGAAAGTGTCGGATCTGACCGCGAGGATTCACGGGCGTTTCTTTAAACAAGGCGCCGCGAATGAAAGCTCAAATCCAGAGTCTCCCACCAGGGGGGCAGAGAAGTGGCAACCTGGAGAAGAGCTGCAGAGACTTCTGGCACTAGCCAAGGTAGTGATCTAGCGTTAATGTCTGGTGACTTGATTAAAGAAGACTTCAAGCACTATATTTTAAAGTAAAACTACACTACCTTTCAAAAGTTTGGGGTCAGTAAGTTTATTTTTAAAGGGGTCCTATTATTATACTTCAGTTAGTGTGTAATGTTGCTGTTTGTGCTTAAAAAAAAAAAGATCTGCAAGGTTGCAAAGCTCAAAGTCACTCAAAAGGCCAATATTTTATATAATAGAATTCGTTTTCTAAGAACTGCAATGAACGGCTCGTTTGGACTACAACGCACTTTTTCCTGATCCTATGAAGTCATAATGATATTCCTTTGAATAATCCGCGCCCACGTAATACGCAAAAAAAGGGGACGAGACCTGATTGAGCTGCATAAGAAAAGACAATTCTGGTAATAATCAGAAATGTTTCTTGAGCAGCAATTCATTACATTAGAATGATTTCTGAAGAATCATGTGACACTGAAGACTGGAGTAATGATGCTGAAAATTCAGCTTTGATTACAGGAATGAATTACATTTTACAATATATTCACATAGCAAACAGTTTGTAATAATTGAACAACACTGTCTTCACTAATGCAGCTCAATCGGGCCTCGTCAAAGAGACGCTGTTTTTTCCACAACGATTCCATAACTCATTTGTTTGACCTTCCTAAGGCTGACAAACTTAGAGTGTTTCTGAACATTATAACCCAAACGTTTATCAGTGTGCTGCATATTTTATGGAGAACGGTAGCTTTTGTAACTCTCGCTTTTGTGAGATGGTTCACTGCTCCTTAGCTAAATTAACCATAGTTTTGTGATCGATTATTGTTTGTATTACCTTAGTTTTCTGACAAATATCACGATTAAATGGTGGAAAACATTGTATCTATAATGTAAAGGGAATATTGCAAAAAACGTACCACTCTGAAACGTCCTGTGAAATCCGTGCTTGCAAAGTCTGTGCCTGAAATCCGTTCTGCAGGATCCTCTTGTTCGTTAACATTGTCAGGGTCTGAATCATGCTCGAATTGGTTTGAAATTGACTCCATCCTCATTCACACTAGGAGGGGCGGGACATTTCCCGAACACGTGCTAAGCGCTGTCAATCACAACACATTGGACCAGCTAACCAATCACAACACATTGGCTAACCAATCACAACACATTTCGTAATTCTGAAGGAAGGGCTTCATCAAAATCTGTGTGTTCGAGCCAGGCTGGGGAGAGAGGTGCTGTACTGTAAAATATGTGAAAAATAATGAATATTTTTTGAACAATCAAGCATGAAAACATATTCTAGTACACCCCAAAAACAAAATCAAGACTTCGTAAAAGGGCATAATAGAACCCCTTTAATATTTTTGAAAGAAGTCAGACACAACAAGGCTGAATTAAAAAAATTTTTAAATACAGTAAAAACAGTAATATTGTGGACACATTACAATTTAAATGAACTGTATTCTATGTGAATATAATGTAAAATGTAATTTATTCCTGTGATCAAAGCTGAATTTCAGCATCATTTCTGATCCTTCAGAAATCATTCTAATATGATGATTTGCTGCTCAAGAAACATTTCTGATTATTATCAATGTTGAAAACAGTTGTGCTGCTTAATAATTTTGTGGAAACCGTCATACAAAATACGAAAATACAAAAGAACAGATTCTGTGCATGACTTTATGTAGCTACATAACAACCTTTATTTGTTGTTAGTTGCCTTTTTTCATTATTACACAAGGATCAAGTGAGTTTTAGCTTTTATAGAATCCAGTTTCCAACTTTAATGGTATATGCAAATATAAAGCCTATTCATTTAGTAAGCTCTTGATATATTGCTTGGGGATTTGATGTTGGATACTGTAAGTTTACAAGGACGAGTAATGAATCTTTATGTTTTACCCGTATTATCAACTGCTGTTCTGGTTCAGATCCCTGAAGAGGAGTTGGACCCATTTAATGTTCTTGGAGTGGATATTCATGCCACTGAATCTGAACTCAAGAGAGCTTACAGGCAGCTGGCAGTACAGGTGAGATGAAATAAAAGAATTGCCCTGAAACCTGTTTAATGTCTGTGTCGGAGGAATTATGGGTTTTTATGTGTTTGTCAAGATTTAATGGATTGTTTGTGTGCAGGTTCATCCAGACAAAAACAAGCACCCAGGCGCTGGCGAGGCCTTCAAGGTGTTAAGAGCAGCGTGGGACATCGTCAGTAACCCAGAGACACGGAGAGAGTATGAACTGTGAGTGCTATTAGAAAACAACCACTCAGTTGGTTTACATAATTGCCACAAAATAATTAAAGGGACCTATTATGCTTTTTTCCATGCTAATTTTTCTGCTGTTTGAGCATGAATGTTCTTCTCTATATCAGTGTCAGTGTTTCTGAACTCCCTGAAACGCCTCCATTGTAGTCTTGAGTTTTCTCTTTAGGGAACGAACACGTCACAATATTCCTCATTTAAATAATTCATACTCAGAATAAAGGGGCGGGGCCTGGTTGAGTTAGTTAGTAGTGTGTTGAAACCATAGACTGTAAAACAATATAGACGTAGTGTCCGTGACGTCACCCGTAGGTTTCTGAAGAGCGTTTTTGAAGCCTAAAGTGGGCGTCACCGACCGTCGCCATCTTGGCAGCGCGTCACCTCTCGTCACTACCGGATAACAGAAAATGGGCAAAGAGGCGGGACGTGGGTGGAGCTGAGGTGCTAATGCTATATGCTACTGGCCTCGTGCTAAAGTGCTGTTTGAAGAAGTAAAGCCAATAGTGAAAGTTCATGTTTTTGCCCTTTGAAATATTATAATAGTTAAAAGACATAACTAAAAGTGAGACTGTGTATCGTGATGTATTATTATTCTGCTATAAAAATGTATTATCATGCAGTAACTTACAATATTGCTCTGAGCTTGCGTGTGACAGTGATTCATGCACATAACGTTACATGTCAGTCAGCATGGCATCGCACGTCAAGTTCGTAAAGAGCTTTATTCAGTCCATTTTCAAATCTGATTTTGGCCGCCTCTCATTTTCTCAAATGGGTTACACCAAAGATATTACCTCAGAAGTTCAAGTAAATGCACTAGAAATCCGCGCTCATTCAAGTGTGTGCATCTATTGCATTGCCGGAGAGAAAGAACTGACACCTGCAGGATTTCATCTGACGGTACTTTTTATTTAACACTAAAAAGTAAAATAAGCATCTGTTCCGTGAGAGCAACAGTACCGCATAACGAGTGTGGTCTCTCTATCTATAGACTTTTTTAGCAAGGAAATTGTCAGACATTCATTAACGTAGTGCATGCGAGGAAAACAACTGGAAATACAGCGCTGGTTGTTCTCTCCAGACCAGTCTATGCTCCATACTCGACGACAACAACGGAATCCAACGGCGTGGGCGAAGGTATAATGCGTGTATTAAATTGTATGAAATAATCCCGAAAAAAGCACAAACACAGCAGAGATGGCAAGTACAGCAGCTGCTGGAATTAGCTGAGAGTGACAGACAAACGGCCGCAATCCTCCTGTCACTCAAGTGGCCACGATTTAATTATGCAGGGTTAATATAATTTAAACGGATGAGTTGTAAAAAAATTCACCCCCCTCACAGTTGTCGTGAAGGGCAAAATAAGCTATAAAGACCAAAACCACTTTTTGCTCCAGGCTGTAAACATGTTTTTTTCTGCTGTAAAGTTGGGCATTTTAACATGGGGGAGATGCAGATTTGACTCTCTTCTGCCTCCTGCCTCAAGCGGTCAGTACATGAATTGCAGTTTAATTCACTTCCGTGTTGGTTTCAAGAGAGAGACGGGGAGGTTGCCGCTTGGTTGAAACTCGTGGTTATGGTAAAGGGCGGGACTTTTCCCAAACGCCAGTAATTATGACCGTGGTTATCTAACCTAATGGGTCACCCTGTGTGCAATAAAATTGGGCTTTCAATTTGATTCTGGACTAACATTTGATAAGCAGGTAAATATTGTAGTTAAGTCGAGTTTTTTCCGTCTTCGTCACCTGGCTAAAATCAAATCATTTCTCTTATACTATGTACAGCTCTTTGGTCAACCCATGGTGGTTTTTAAATGTGCTTTATAAATAAAGAAAGAAAGAACATGCTGGAAGCGCTTGACCAATCACAACACACTGCTCCAGCTGACCAATCAGAGCACATTGTGCTTTTCAGAAGGAGGGGCTTCATAGAGACCGAAACTAAAGGACTGGGAAGAGAGGAGCTGCAACAATGTCAAATATGGGGAAAATGTGTTCTATGAACATTCAAGCATGAAAACCTGTTCTAGTAGAGTCCAAAAACACAATCAAGACTTTGAAAAAGTCTTGTCTCACTCCTCAATCAAAAGACAGAATTAAGAAAATATATTTTGCATGAAAAAATTACTCCTGTTATTTTGGATTGACAATATTTTCTTGCCAATCGAACACATTTTCCCCCAAATTCTCGTTTTCTGTAATGCAAAACAATTTAGCTCTCTTTTAATGTAATTTGAAAAAATATTAAAGCATGTATTATACTTCATGTTAATTTCAACATTTACTAATTCATTAAGTCAAAACAAGTTTTATCTATTAGTATTATTTAATGGACGCGAGCTAACGTGAAATAACGATGAACAATTGTATTTGTAATGTTAACAAATATGTATAATACCATAAGAAATGTTTAGTTGCACTTTATTTGAGGGTGTCCTTGTTACAGTGTAATTATACATTGAAGTACCGAGTAATATTAATTAATAATTCTTACTTCGGGTTTGTTTTAGGGTTAGTTGCTTGTAATTATGCATAGTTTGCTGGTATTACTATAGCAAGTTCATGTAACGTGTAACAAGGGCACTGTAAAATAAAGTGTTGCAAAATGTTTTGCTCACTGTTAGTTGATGCATTCAAGTATTTTTAAAGTGTTAGCAAAATATTGTTTCATAGGCATGTTATATTTCTGTGAGTCTTAAAGGAGAACTCCGGCGCAAAATGAACCTTTGGTCTAATTACACATTGTTACCTAGTCAACCGTTATCTGAGATTTGTTTTCATGATTATCGAATGTAAATAGTTTTATCTCTAAAAACAGTTTAGCCTATAAAGCTAGTATAACGCTAGTATATTGGGCATAGATCAATGACAAATAAAAATCGCTTGTTAACACTACTAACAAGGCTCAAAATAGCCCCACACGAACACGGTAGCATAATGAGGGTCCCTACCTTCAAACCGAAGCATTGAGAACTTTGTCAGTGTCCAGACAGTTTAATAAGAAGATATTTAATACATACAGTCAACTTCGCGTATACAGGCAGAAGCCATCTTTGAAATACAGCCTTTACCAGTCGATCTACGAACGCCGATCCAAGTGCGCTGGTGAGATGTGAACGAGCTATAAGTTGTGATAAGGTGAGCGCCAACAGCAGGCTTGGATCGGCGTTCGTAGATCGACTAGTAGAGACTGTATTTCAAAGATGGCTTCTGCCTGTATACGCGAAGTTGACTATGTATTAAATATCTTCTTATTAAACTTTCTGGACACTGACAAAGTTCTCAATGCTTCGGTTTGAAGGTAGGGACCCTCATTATGCTACCGTGTTAGTGTGGGGCTATTTTGAGCCTTGTTAGTAGTGTTAACAAGCGATTTTTATTTGTCATTACACTATGCCCAATATACTAGCGTTATACTAGCTTTATAGGCTAAACTGTTTTTAGAGATAAAACTATTTACATTCGATAATCATGAAAACAAATCTCAGATAACGGTTGACTAGCTAACAATGTGTAATTAGACCAAAGGTTCATTTTGCGCCGGAGTTCTCCTTTAAAGTTACTGAACTACAATTTTAAGAATTAAACGAATTCCAAATGTGACGTGTACATGTTTCTTTGATATAAGCACAAATGTCTTGTTTTTGTGTTCTGTGTCTGCAGGAAGCGTATGGCTGCTACAGAGCTTTCAAAATCCATGAATGAGTTCCTGACTAAACTACAGGACGACCTGAAAGAAGCCATGAACACAATGATGTGCACTAAATGTGAGGGCAAGCACAAGTGCGTATGACTGACATTGTCATCTCAGTCCTGTTCTTTCATTCAAGCTTCTGTTCTGTGTTACGTTCTTGCGTTTCTATGTTCACCTGAGCATGGTCTTTTTCCCCAGGCGCTTTGAGATGGACCGTGAGCCTGGCGAGGCCCGATTCTGTGCTGAATGTAATAAATGGCACAGTGCCGAGGAGGGAGACCTGTGGGCTGAATCTAGTATGCTAGGACTGCGCATCACGTACTTCGCCTTCATGGACGGCAAAGTCTTTGACATTACTGGTAGTCTATTGGCATCCACACCGACAGATATTTGCATGATGTTGATATGTTGTATGCATATGTTGTACGCATGTCCCCATGTTCACACAGAGTGGGCCGGCTGTCAGCGTATAAGCATCTCTCCAGACACTCATCGCGTGCCATATCATATCTCTTTCGGCTCCAAAGGTAGCAGCAGCGCCAGCCGCCACAGGTAACCACTCGGACTTTCTTAATGAAAAGTGCTTTATCTTCAGACCATTATAACATCATCAGCTACAGGGACTAAAAAGTCACTTATGCTCATCAAGGCTGCATTTATTTGATCTGTTTTGTATGTTAATATATTTAAAAATGCAATTTGTTCCTGTCATGCAAAGGAGAATTTTCAGAATAAATAGGGGCTTTTGCACTGGAGGAACCTTTTCAGTTCCTAGAACTATTGGCGGAAGTTCCCGGAAAATAAAAATGCTCCTTCCTTCTGCAATGACGGCCCTTCTCTGATTATGTCAGTTTGACGGATTGGGCTTCGCCCCTCTAACTGACAGTCTGCTGCCTGAATGAAACGCATACTTTTCAAGATCCAATCAGGTTCCAGTTGGAAAAGCAAGCCACACCCTCTATTTTTCTCATTTAGGATTGTATCAAAGTCTAGTATACACCCTCGGAAATACGTCACAACACTGAAATAAAGTCAGTCGCAGCTTCCGGTTCATGGGGACTTTAAGAGTTCCTATGGACGGTGCGAATGCAACCAGGAAAATGTTCCTAGGGGGACCTTTAGTTCTCGGGGCACCACCCTGGTGGCTAGTTCCTATAACTGAGTTCCTAGAACTACCCGGTGCGAAAGCCCCTATTACTCCAGGTTTCAGTGTCACATGATTCTTCACAAATCATTCTAATATCCTGATGGTTTTTACTGTATTTCTGATCAAATAAATGTAGCCTTGGTGAGCAAAAGAGACTTGAGAATCATAATAATTCCAATCTTTTGACCGGTAGTGAATTCAAATACCATTATGACAACATAAGGTATTGTTCAAAGGCCATTATGATATCTTCACTGTCAGATTTTCATTTTGAAAATGTATCTTAAAATTTGGAACAGTTTCTAAAAACCCAAAATAGGTGACATGCTTATCTATTTATAAATAAGTAAATGGATAAAAGTAATTGACCTTAAGTTTTTAGATGACAAGATCTTTGAAGTCGGCATGAAAAGAAATTGCAAGTCTTTTTCTCCCTTTATTTTCGAGTGAAACAGCTTCTAGAACAGGAACAAATGTGGGCGGGGCTTGATTTTGACCTTGGGGAACTGATTGGATGGTTGTGGTTTGCTATTGGCTGATCTCATGTGAGTGACAGGTTGCTCCGCCCTCGTCATCAGAGAAGAGAAGCTGCAAGAGGAAGAGGGGCAGTTATTCTGATTCAAGATTACGAGGCACATTAATTAAGAAAAATGATGTAAACAGATAAATAAACACTGCATTTATAATAAACACTGCAATATAGAGTTGTCAATGTTGATTTCATGGGGACTTTAAGATCTTGAAAAAGTGCACCCAAACATGTGACTGACTCTAAATAAATTTTTTAAATGTTTACATGCATTTAGTGGAAGGAAAATATGATAAATGTTGTTTTTTATTTTATTTGTTGTTGTTGCAAAATTGCATATAATGGTTTATCTTGAAGCCTACTGGGATACAAAGACTTATATTTGTAAACATACACATTTATACAAACTTACACATACCTTTGAAACTAGATTTGTTTTTTTAAAATGATTTGCATCTTGGAAATCCTTATTTGCCATTGATCAAATTGACTAAAATTTTGTCTTTATTGAGCGGAAAATGTAAGAGAAGACGAAGGGTTTCTACATTAAAAAAACAATTAGCAACAAACCACATGTGACTTATTGTTATGACGGTTATGTAAGCACTTGATCCATTGATACACATTTAAAAAAAAAAAAATTTTTTTTATACATATTCTGTGTTAAACTAAACTGGGAAGGGTCACAGCACTTGCATACCGTTGTCCTATTGTTAGTTTAACTGCTTCTATTGCTCTCCTCATTTGTAAGTTGCTTTGGATAAAAGCGTCCGCTAAATGATTGAATGTAAATGTGTCCTCTAGACCCGCCCCAGATCATCCTGCAACTGGTGGCGGCTCGCCTGCGGACCTGCAGGACTTCTTCAGCCGCTTCTTCCAGGCCGGAGCTCCCAGTGACGCGTCTGCTAATGGAGGATTCTTCCCCTCGGGAACCCCTGCGCCTCACGCCTCGGCAGCCGCTGCAGGGACCGCACACATGTTCTCAGGGCCGGCTCCACAGACAGGGTTCTTCAGCCCAGGAGCCCAGCGGAGCGACCCCAGCGAACACTGGACTGAAGGAGGGAAACCCCCGCGCCGGCGCAAGAAAGTTCGCAAGCCATTCCAGCGCTGAGAAAGGTACTCTATTACGCAGAGGTGTTGCCATGCTGTGACGTGATATTGGCCAACTAGTGCAACAAAACGAGGAAAAAGTCTCTTGACCTCACTTGAACATTCAGTGTTGGCGCTTTGAAGCTTCCTGATTAGAAAATGAAATGGCATTGAATTTCGTAGAGGAGCAAGCGAAAAGAGATCTTTTCGTTTCATGTTTGAAGCTATTTTTTGGTTTAGTTATCTCTTGTTGTGACAAAAAATTAATCAAAATTCAAGCATTTGAAATCACGTTCTTTGAAGAAACAGAAGGACTCGTGCGTAGAGACTCCTGGTGTATCTGAAGAATAATTTGACCCAATGTTAAAAATTGACATTTACTCTCACCCTCATGTCGTTCCAAACCTTTATGCCTTTTATTTTTTCATTGGATGTTCTCACAGCTTTTTCTTCTCAGCACAACAAGAACAAAATACCCAACATCGTAAAAGTAGTCCATGTGAATTATGGTTGTTTTGAAATATAGCATATATAAGATGACGTTGTGTGACGACCCAAAGACTCGAATTCAAGCTGTTCACTGATCATGTTGTTCTGGGTTAAAGAGGTCGTCCATTTTGTATCTTCAGTGGAGGGATGAATAGCAGTGAATAACTTTTTTGCTTTTGGCAAACAACTGCATGAAGTTTCTAAAAAATTGTCCTTTTGTGTTCTTCGGGGGAAAATAACAGCATCAGAGTTTGGAACAAAGTGAGGGAAATGATGACCCATTTTTTGGGGTGAAGTTTTACTTTAAAAATGTCAGGCTTGAATCTGATGGAAAATGTTGGCTGAATGTTTTGTGATATGATCACATTAAGATAATGTATAAATCACACACAGACCTCAGGGATTATTTTCTTTCTCTTCATCTGCTACTAGTAAGAGAACAGGAAGAAAACGTAGCTGTGATTTCCCAATGTTCCTGGGCGTATTGTTTAGATTTTGATTAAACCAGTTAATCACGCCACAGAATTCAGCAGTTAAATATTAAAACCAGTTTGATTTGGGACAAAAGCGACAGGATATGGGTTATTATTCTTGAAACGGATCAACGGCTCACGTGATTGAATGGAAATTTGAATCAGAAGATGGGACGATTCTTGTGGGATTTTCCCATTGAATGCTCTGCCTGATACCTGGATCTGTTGACTCCATCGCTTCATGTTTTGCTGGAGCTGCAGGAGCCTCCAATGTACAGAGAAAAAACACATTCATTTAAGTACGAGTTAAAGCACAAATGAAATGATGTAGACCTTAGATGTCTGCATGCATAGATTTTGAAATCCAGTTTAAAATTGGGTTTTGATGTGAAAATCCCAGAGCCTCCCTTTAAGAAGTCCACTTTTAATTTTTGACCACTTCTTAACACTCAGGAATCATCTTAAAAGATTATTTCATTCATCTGCCAGAGCGTCTCTCTCTCTCTCTCTTTCTTTCTTTCTTTCTTTCTTTCTTTCTTTCTTTCTTTCTTTCTTTCTTTCTTTCTTTCTTTCTTTCTTTCTTTCTTTCTTTCTTTCTTTCTTTCTTTCTTTCTTTCTTTCTTTCTTTCTTTCTTTCTTTCTTTCTTTCTTTCTTTCTTTCTTTCTTTCTTTCTTTTTCTCTTTCCAGGCCAACAGATTCATTAGTGTCCAAACCTGACTTGCTTTTGTGTGCGTTTCTTTATTTGACACTCGGCCCAATATACGTTACGACACGGACAGCTTTGCCTCTGTACAGCTGAAACATACTAATGCATAATGTGTTGAGGGTCATGTGTTCTCAGAGATGCTTTCCCTGTTCAGATTTACGTATAACTCCTGTTAAATGCGCTTGTTTAACAACAGTCTTCAAAGGAAATGGTCAATTGCAACAATAAAGCGATTTGAAGAGGCTCTACTCTCCAGAAATGAAATCAAATTGTTGTTTTGCTCTTTGTCAATGATCTTTAAGCCTGTCACTCCACTGTGAAAAGCGTAGCGATGGGAATAATGGTTTAATGTGGTTAAAAGCTGGATGATAAAACGGCAGCACGTTTACCGATGAAATTATCTTGAAGGCTAAAAATGACTGACCACACTGTAACTATAGTTGACCTAAACTAAATCACGGTTTCCATTTCTTCCGACGGTTTAGGGTAAATTTCAGTTTTGTAAACGTTTACCTTTCAGACAGTTGATTTTGATATTTTTACAGCAGAAACTTTCTATTAACAACAGTTACGCTGTTTTAATTTCTATTCACAGCTGATAATTGAAGTGGCATACTAGAAATAAAACCTTAGACGGTAACACTTTACTTGAAGGGGTGTGCATAAGACTAACATGACACATTCATAACCATGACATGACACATGTTATGAATATGAAGGAAGTTGTATGCATGTTTATGACAACTGTCATTAAGTGTCATTCGCTCAGTTATGACATTTTTAATGCAAATATGACGTTGTTTGAAATGTCTTTGTTATGACTCCTTGACATAAACAAATGCATCATAACCTGTCAGTGTCTTTGTCATGACAACTTGACATTACTAAGACAACACAACCTGTCATAAACATGACATAGCAGATTAATTATCAAACTTAAGAAACCACTTAGCTTTATTGGTTAACTTTACATTAAACTGTCATGTGGTTGGTTTTGACATTGGCTGTCATGAAGCCATTATAACTGTTTAATGACAAATTCCATTTGTACCACTGTAGTTGAGGTCAAGAAAAATATTCATGACACAGTTATAATGGCCTTATGACAGCCAATGTCAAAACCAACCACATGACAGTTTAACTTAATTTAATGTCAAGTTGTCATGACAAAGACACTGACAGGTTATGATGTTATGGACATCTTAATGTCATATTTGCATTCAAAATGTCATTATTGAGCGAAAGACACTTAATGACAGTTGTCATAAACATGCATAAACCCTACTTCATATTCATCATGACATATGTCATGGTTATGAAGGTGTCATGCACACCCCTTCAAGTAAAGTGTTACCCACTAGACCGTTTATTATTGCACTAAACTTCCTCTTGATGTTAAGGCGTTACTGAACTTTTCAACAAAATACGGGTCACTTTTTAAATTAACATGTCTGAACGACAAACTCAGACATTGCTTTTTATCGTTTGACGATTGCAGCTGTACATTTTTTTTACATGTGACTTGATTGTTTGCAATATTCCACTCACTGTTTCTAGGAACAAATGATGGGAATTGCATCCATCACGTCCACTGCACTCGAGGAGAGTTTCAGCAGGCAGTTTGAAGTCGGCACAAATGTATTTCATGATTATATGAAGGTTTATTCCAGGCGGATGGTGTTGTAGAGAGTGATCTAAATGTATATGCAAGAAAATGCTCTAGATTCAGATAATCATTAAAGTGGTTATATTGTGCAGGACACACTGATTTTCTCATTTGCTTTGCTCCTGAGCGTGTGCAAGTATAACGTTTCTGCATTAAACTCTAGTGTAAAGTAAATATTCAGTACCACATTAAAGCGCTGCTCTAGTAATATCGTTCTACTTTAATTCATTGAATTTGTTACAAATCTACGGAAGCGTTTTGCAAGCGTATTGCATTCACAAAAAATATACTCTGTTTTTCTCAATTAACGAGTTATCTCAGAATTAAGAGGATTTTTCATGGAAAAAAGTTTTTGCTGTTTTTCTGAATTAACGAGTTAATTATCTCAGAATTATGAGATACATTTTTCTTGAAAAAATGTGTTTCACTCTGTTTTTATGAATTGAGTTACTCATAATTTTAAGATAATTAAGTCATTAATTCAGAAAAACAGAGCAAAAACTTTTTTCCATGAAAAATTATCTCGTAATTCTGAGATAATTGACTCGTTAATTCAGAAAAACAGTAGATTTTTTTTCCTCAAGTGAATGCAATACGCTTCCGTACAAATCTAAGTTGACAGAAGAGCAATAGGTCAACGCAGAATCATTAAAGCCCATATGCAGCTCAATGCTTTTGGTTCTGCTCAAAATATGCCTTCATGAGGGTAACATTGGATTGAATGCTTGAATCAAAAACCGTAATATTTGCATTCATTTTGCGCACTTTCAACTTAAGAACAGAACAAGATAAAATTAGCACAATCAATCTGTTTTTATACATTTTTAAAGATGCATATTTAACTGATCATTCTGGTATCGTTGGCCTTCTTGTCCACGGTTGCTCGGTTTGGTGTAATGTAAGATTATGCTGGCTAGATTTCTTTGGGTGGGACTGTAATATATTAGACTTGTGTCCTGGTGATATTGTACCATTTAGAACCACAAACAATTGTCAAATTAACATTTGTTTGTCTTCTGCAAAGCAAATAACTTCATTACACTTTATTAAACTTAATTTCAATCTACCCTTCATGCAAAAATATTGGACAATGTTGGGTGGGGGTGGAACACATTAAGTAACGTGCATTACATAATCAGATTACTTGATGCAACGAGTAATCTGATTACGTAATGCACGTTACTTGAGTTTTACATAAAACTCATAATGTTAAGAGATCTTTTGTATGCCGTACATCGCTCTAATGAAATATTCAAGTGCTCAGAATATAATATTCTAAATGTCTTTAAAAGAAACTGAAGGTGGATGTTATATAGATAGTGGTTGAATACATTACTACGTTAAACGCTTAGAAAAAAAAAAACCTGCAAGGCCACAAAAAGAGTAATGCGTTGCTTTTAAAAGTACATTTCCCCAATGCTGATTGTGGATATTTTGACACATTAAAGAACAGCCGAAGGGGTTTTGTTAATGTGAAAATGTGATTTGTAACCACCATTTTGATTAGATTTATTCAGTATTTGCTGTAAATTGACTCAAGCACATGATGTGTAGTGTGAAGTGATGCTTTGGATCCTTTTCTAGTCATAAGCACCGACACAAAGCCAGGAGAGAATTAAATGAGGATCTTTTTGCACATAAAAGGGCATCAATGTTCCTCTGAGCGGTTTCACACTTTCCCCATCAGCTCCTTTGCTCTGTTTTTAAAAGTCTTAATTTTGTAATATCTCAATACATAATGAAGACTGTTACAGCTATAAGTTTTGAACATAATATCCCATAAATACTGAAGAAAGGTTGCTGCACGTAAAGCAATGTTTTTGCTCTACATGCACCAAAGCTGCATTTATTTAATCAAAATGACAAGATTCAGCTTTGATCACAGGAATAAATGACAGTTTACAATTTATTCACATAGAATACAGTTAACTTAAATTGTAATAATATTTCAGAATATTTCTTAAATATGTCTAGTTCTTGCAGAATGTTTGATTAAATGTCCGTGAAGGTTTAGAATGAGACGGTGAAGTACAAACTCAGGCCAAACGTCGTTCCGGTGAGAGACTCGTAATGTTTCTGCCTTTCTCAGAGTGAAAAAATAAGTCAAAAACATCACCATAAAAGGGCATGAATATCCATGTTACGCATGACAATCCAAACCCAGAGAACTGTCAGTTTCTAGCTTTCCTTTTGTCTCAAGTAACTTTAAAGTGTGTGAAATCATCTGTAATGAAACAGAGTGATTGCTTCCCTTTCCCCTTTCTCTTGAAAATGAAATTTCTTCCCAAAAATCCAAACTTTGTATATATATTTATATTTTTTTTTCTTCCTAAAAAAAACAAAAACTACAGCTTTAAATAAACATTTGAATATGTGACTATACATTATGAAACTAGAATTATGCAATAAAATACAAACTTGCATAATTTCTTAGTCATATCTTTCCAGCAAGCGCCTCCACGACTTTCTCGATCACGCTGGAGTCCAAGTAAGCGATGATTCCTCCTCGGTTGGCCCACCGCTCCACCCCTTGACTGTGTGTGTGTGGTTGGTGGTATGTGAGTTGAGTGGTGTGACCCGTGAGACACTGGCTCAGATCCGACACGCCTCCACCCAGCGCCCGCAGCACCGCGTGAGGAGCGCACGAGTCCCACTTAAACGTGCTCCCCTCCGACAGCACGTACACGTCCACCAGACCCCGCACCACACACAGGAGCTTGTATCCCGCGCCCGACGCGTACAGCAGCGACCCGTTGGGGAGCGTCGCGAGCGCGCTCGTCACAGCCGGTCTCTCGCTAGAGCTCAGCAGAACCGACAAACACTCGCTCTTCTCGGGATCCGACGGCCGGGTGAACGAGCACACGTTCACATCTCCATACGAGACGCCCCAGATGTGCTGGCCTTTCCATCTACAATCAGGACAAACGTGACATTATGTAATACAGTAACCTATTGGGTCATGATAGCTTCAATCTCTCTTACTGTGTGTTTGGCCCACACTCCCATAGCAGTGGTTAAACAATTTATTTCTTCTTGGTTTTGTGACTTTTTTCACATAAACGTGCATGCAACGTTTTGACGCGTAAATTTGAAGCCTTTCCGAAACACATCTATCTTACATTAGCCGCTTTTCCACTTTTGGGCCAAAACTCTATGCATTAAAAAGTAATGCCTCAGTTTAAATAATTTGCATAATTTATTAAACTGATTAATTAAAGTGAACTGTAGAGAAGTAAGGCAATGTTTTGCAACAAAACAAATTTATATAAAGCAAATTTGTACAGCCTTTCCAAAACGCATCTATAGGTATGGTTTCTTTTGTTCAACCGTTCGGAGATTTCCGGGCCGAGAACGGATCATTATGGTGCTGTGCCGATTGCCGAACCAAGCTCAAGTGGGAATATGACTGGAACCGTTCGGCCAGTCGGTGCAAAAGTAGCTATTGATTGTATCGGGGTTCAAATTGACATGGTTTCCATGAAATTCACCAAAAATCACCGTTTTGTAAAACAGCAAAGAGTCAGGTAAAAACAGAAGACCTTCATTGGAGCTGGTCAAACACTAATACATGCAATACATGAGAAATTATGAAATTTAAGACTCAAGGTTTACTTAAACTTGAAGAATAAATACTTAATTTGAAGAGTTTGGTTCCAAAACGCGATAAACGCCATTTCTAAAAAAAAAATGAGTTACTACAAAAATCAGTATTGTATCTGGTTGGTATTGAAAAGTCGATGTTTAATTTTAAGTAAAATGCGATATCCGCCGTGTTATTGTCATGTTTTCTCCCTTTCTTTCCAAACCGCAACAAACGCCAGTCTCCCTTCTCTGCAGAATGCGATATATCCGCTCTCAACCAATCACAACGCACCATTCCACGCAATGTAAACAGTAACGGCAGCGCCTTAAATACACCCGGCTTCCTAGTTTTTCTTATCTATTTTGTACTTTTCGATAAACAAACAAATAAAAAAATGAATAATTTGGACGGCATTGATGAACCTGTGGTTGTTTCTGCGGTGGGTGAGAAACGTAAGGCATCGAAATCGAGTCATTTACGTGAGAAGATTAAGAAGATGAGGCACTCGGGAGGAGGAAAAATGTTTTCAATCTTCTTTACAGTTCTTAATAAAAATATTATACTAATAAACTTACGTTGTTGTGTATTTTCAACAGTTTCAATATGAAAAAAAAAAAAAAACTTTTATATTGATTCAATGGATTAATTGCATTTAGATAAAAAAAAAAAAGGATTTATTGCATTTTGGGGGAAAAAATAATCCGTTTTTATAATAAATCTTTGAAAATCAAAACCTGGATTTTAATTTTTTTGTTGTTATTATGACCTACAAATGCTATGTGAAAGTTTGAAACAGAAAATAGTGGTTTTCATCTTTCCACTTTCTTGGTAAAGAAAACACACTTTTACTCAAATTAATCTAAATGGATTTATTGCGTTTTGGAACCAAACTCTTCATGTATTTGAGTTTCATAGACAAAAAGTCTGTGAAATGATGTTTTTGGTGGTTTGTTTTTTGGATCTCTCAATTACTACTGTATTTTGTTGCAGCACTGAAAAGAAGTGTGAGAAAACCAATACTTTTAAAGCTTGGGGACCAGATGTAAAGGCAGGATTTACACAAATAATGTTAGATACTATTTATACTTAGTTGTAGCTATTGCACCTCAGTATGGAATAGTAGTGATAACAAAAAAACATCAAGAATGTTTTAATTTCGTGTCTGTGCAGCTGATTTTGAACATACAAATATTCGGGTCAAACTTGTAACACAAAAATAATTTTTGTAGTTCCTCATTTCTCATATTTGATTTTTTTCCCCCCGTCTCTGACAAGCTACAAAAGCGGTTTTCTGTTTTTACATGAATCTTTAGGGAGTTTTGTTGTTGTTTATTTTTGGCGAATTGCTCTTTAAACTGACCCATTGGTTTGCATGTAAAACCGGTCCGGTATCGTCTTAGTTTAACATGGTTGTGTGTATTTCTCCTACGATCTCCTGAGTTTTCTTTTGTGGATTAAATAAAGACCATTTATTTTGGATACTACTTTGTTTCGTCGTGCATTCTCACTGTGACATATATAAAAATAAATAAGTTGTTGAAACTCTTACTCAGTGTAATTTCCCCAATCTCAAATAGTTTGATTAAGACTTAAAATTAACTTGGATTTTTTAACTGCATTTTTGGTGGCCAACTCAATCACTTAAGTGATACATAGAGATATAATTAAGGTATTTATTTGTAATTGTGATATTTACAAGAGTGTAATAAAGCCCTTTAGCTGTGACTACATGTATCTTACCCTTTACCCGCGGAGTCTTTGCGGTTGAATGGCTGGTTTATGACACCCATGACTGGTTGACCAGTGGCTCGTAAATAAACCCCAATCAGAACCAGAGCGCACGGGAGTCCAGAAGGACAAAAGCCTTCATCCGGCTCCTCTTCCTCTTTCCCTTCAATGTACTGACTTGTACCGTCTGTTCAAAGAAAATAACCAAATACATCTGTTGACAACCTGAACAATTCACACACTAAGAAAAACTAAGGCATTAAACTGGTTTGAACTTTGTTTTCCATTCTACAGGTTGAATAGTTTCAAAACAGTGTGTTTCCAGTTTCAGCCACAGTTTCTGTAGTCATGTTTCACATTCACTTTTTTCCACATAGTTTTATCATGAATATCTCCAGTACATGCCTGCAACTAGTTCTGCAACTACTGAGCAATGACACCTGACTGACGGTTGCATAAACATAGCTGCTAAGTTAAAGGGATAGTTCACCCAAAAATGAAATTTAGCCCATGATTTACTCACCCTGAAGCCATCTTAGGTGTAAATGACATTCTTTCAGAGGAATAGAATCAGAGTTGTATTAAAATGTCCTGGCTCTTCCCAGCTTTATAATGGGAGTGAATGGGCACCATTTTTTTGAAGTCCATACAACTTTTGTGTTGCCGGAAACTAGTTTCCGTCTACTAGAAACTAATTATTTTAGTCGATAAAGTTTCAAATATGGATATTTTTCTTACAAGAACGCAACGCTTCGCTTTTATGATGGATAGATGCACTTTTATGATGGATAGATGCACTTTTATGTTGGATAGATGCACTTTTATGATGGGTAGATGCACTTTTATGATGGATAGATGGACTTTTATGATGGGTAGATGCACTTTTATGATGGATAGATGCACTTTTATGATGGATAGATGCACTTTTATGATGGATAGATGCACTTTTATGTTGGATAGATGCACTTTTATGTTGGATAAATGGACTTTTATGATGGATAGATGGACTTGTATGGACTTCAAATTGTGCCCATTCACTCCCATTTTAAAGCTTGGATAACTCGTCTGAAAGAAGAATGTCATTGACACCTAGGATGGCTTCAGGGTGAACTATTCCTTTAAGACTAAAGATTAGATGACTAAATTGTAAGACTAGTCTAAGCAGTTACAGTCCAAGCAGAATACTGTACATGTAAAACTAAATATCTAAGTTAAACAAATTATTTAATTTTATGGACAGAAAATAAATAACACATGCATTACCGATGGGATCGATCCAGATGCCCACGTCGGCTGGGCTGACCGACAGCTGCAGGGATTCAGCGGTTTCGTCCCTGAGCTGAAGGTCCTGATGGATGGCTTTGCTCAGGAGGGACGCGGCGGTTTGATCCCCATCCAGGACTTTAGCCAACAGAGCAGTCGTGTCCTGTTCCCGAGCACAGACCGTCACTGTGACACACTCCCCTGATGGACATACAACCACAATTTATTCGATTAATACATTGACTAGCTCCGAGTTTGAGTGCTCTTTGCCATCACAGAAGCATAGTTACAAATAATAAAAATATTGCTTGAAATCGGCAGTCAAAAACAAAAAATAGCTTGGAATCAGCAGTTAAATATATATATATATATATATATATATATATATATATATATATATATATATATATTTTTTATCTAAAAATTGCTTAGAATCGGCAGTTAAATAAATTAATTAATTAATTAATCTAAAAATAGCTTGGAATCAGCAGTTAAATAATAAAAATATCTAAAAATTGCTTAGAATCGGCAGTTAAATAAATAAATAAATAAATTAAAATCTAAAAATTGCTTGGAATCGGCAGTTAAATAATAAAAATTGCTTGGAATCGACAGTTAAATAAACTTTTGAAACTACATGGAAACATCCTAAACTGTAAATGACCACATAAACTATTTTGCCATTCAAATGAACAAAAACTATTTTTTACAAATGATAAACCTCACGTTTCAGCCTAATAAATGATTATGCATGTTATATAACTGGCAGATGTGCTGAATGAAAATGCAAATTCACTCTCTAAAAGTAGGTGGCACTTATGGAAAAGTAGAAATATGTAAAATTCACTTATGGAAAAATGACCGCAGTTACTCCTGTACACAAAGCATCTCTGCGCTACTTTATTATGCATCACACAGTGAGAAGATGAAAAGAAAAAGCAATTGGATTTTTTCTGAACATTCCCAGATATACATTCATATAACCCCTCATAAAAAAAACTCATTAGATAATATAAACGGCCTATTTCAATGTCAGAATGACAAATTTCACAGAAAGGTGACGAGTTGGCAGGTGTAAAAAGACAGTGGAAGACAATGACACGGCATCTTGTGAACACCTCAAAACAGACATTTGCATTACTATCTCATGCTAAATATTCTTTAGGTCCTCCAATATCCTGATCACATACTCCATAATGATATCTATGATTTCACAACCATTTGCCTACAAGGTGCTGCGGCCACAACCTCCCCACTGGCTTTATCCCATCTGATTTTAAAATGGTTTGCATAACCCCAAATCAAATCCTGGCATACACACCCCCATGAACCAGGCTAAAAACTGTGATCGGAAACACATTTGCTTGAGTTTGGTGTAAACAGTGCCTGTGACAGCACTTACAAAGGTGTTTTTTTTCTGCATCATGCGTCTTAACAGGGCGTCCCACAGGGCTCTGTACTGGGCCAATCCCATAATGAATGCTTGGATCCTTTATGAAATTATATAGTCTTATACCACTGCTACAAGGACAGCACACCTCCTCATACCGTACTTCAACTCTAAATTTAACCCGTTTTAACGTTCGCATAATTTTATCTGATTCTACTTTTCCGACTTTTAAACAACTTCTGTTCTGCATGCAAATATTTATTTATATTATCACACAATCCACAATATGCCAGCTTTCCATATACCAGTTGAGTTAAATTAGCTATGAAATCAAAATGGACAATTCTTGTTTTTTTATGGAATATTGCAGCATTTATTGTAAATTATTTATTTGCGCACATAAACGCACGTGCCTTGTAACTTTAATCACTTTATTTTTCAGTTCTGTTTCCAATGTACATACTATGTACTTATTATAGTAGTTACAATAACTGGGTAATAAAGTGCAACCTTTTCAGTGACATCTCTTTTCTTCTCTGATCACATGTTTACAGTGTATGGTGTTTACTGGCGCCAGCCCAGGGCGAGGCAAACTGTCAATCCACCAACAAAAACCATCCAACCAAGTCCCTATGGACCGAGAGTTTCGAGAACTTAAGAGTTTTCTGTTAAAACGGTGTCGTGTTAGCGGTCCTAACCATTAGTTATTAATATCTAAGTTAATAACTAATGATTGTTGCGACGGAAGTGAATCAATTAAAACTAACGTTAGCTGGGAAATAACTTTATTCTAGAGCTGGCATAAAGCCAAAACAATCTCTGTTACTTTAATTTCCTATTATCACTGTAAAGCAGCTTTGGAACAATCTACATTGTTAAAAGCGCTATATAAATGAAGATGACTTGACAAAACCAAGCCACCCCCTAACCCCCCCACACATTTGTTCTTTTCCCAGAAGCCGTTCCACTCGGATACACGTTACAGTAGGGAAGAAATGACCATCGCATGTCTTCCGTTTCATGCTGACTAAAAGAGTCAAAGATTAAATGCCACATGAGTGGTGAATGCTGGCATTTGAATATAATTGCATAGTGAAATACTTTAAAATGCAGCACAATACAAAACAATGACAGGGTAACTCACCGAGCCCATTCTCAAACTTGTTTGACTCCTCCCCATGAATAAAGCCAGTCAATTCTGGAAACTATAAGTATAAAGCAAGAATGGAGAATGTTTAGCCCTCAACACAAACTGATCAGTTTGACTAAAATGAATTTTGATCTCAGTGAAAGCTTTATTTTTAAGAACCTGGGCACAGACATCATGGCGAATCATTTCCTGTATCACCACATCAGCAAGCGTCTTGAAGTCCTGGACGAATTTCTTGTTTTTGTCAGCTCCCGTCTTTTCCTGGACCAGGAGCTCGAAAAGAGTCGCTTCTTGACGACAGACGCGTGCCACATTTGCGGCTTTTTCTGCCACGCTCAGGAGCGCCCGCAGCAACTCTGCCATTACGGAGACCTGTGAATCACACATACATTAGATCATCTGCTGTATAGATCTCATAGTCATAAGTCATAATGATGCTGTTCAACCCGTTTTGGCATAAACATTAGAATGCACATTCCATGAATGGTTGTAATTTTAAGAATGCTTTGGAAAAGAATGTAAGATTGGTCTCGTTTTAAAGAAGACATTTGGCAGATTTGTGTAGACGTGAAATAAATTAAGAAAGTGAAACAAAGTTTGAGTTTATGAAAATGTACAATGTAAAAATGTAGTTATTCATATATTTTCAAAACATGTTGTACTGAAAATCTGAACAAGTGGTGTTCCAAATTTTAGGTTGATAATATGGCAGAAAATTAGCTTTCAGTAAGATTTTTTTTTTTTTTTAAGAATGTCAGTTTCAACACTAAATAGGTCAAGAGAAAACCAGGGCAAGCTTCAAAAATATTATCAACCTAAAAATGAAGTCCAACTGGGACGAAAAGTTAAAGGTCATGACGAACACATGAGGACAATGACAGACTCTTTGTGCAAAACAAATCACAGGAAATGCCTCACAGATGTCGAACACATGAGTTTACTGAGTGCCAAGCCTATATAGTTGCCAAGAGATTAGAAATGCCATCATAACACCAAAGACAACAGACAAATTTAATGTAAAGTGAATTTAAACAGTGAGTGTATTGTATGAATGTACAAATGCATGCTGCTTGTTCAACTTTGGACTCAAATATTGGGAATGTTGCAAATAAATGCAAATAGACATGCAAATGTATGACATCAATACATGGTGAAAATGATATTAGGATATACTTAAAACGATATTTTGATGATTAACGTTACTTTGAAAAGCAATTCACAGCTATGGCGAACGTCTATAGACATTTTTCTGAATGCTACACTGTTTACATCACCTTTACAGACACGCAAAATAATAAAAACACATTAGCACGTATACATGAAGCACAGTCTCTCTCTCACACACACACACACACACACACACACACACACACGTATAGAATCACTTGTATTTGTATTATTGATTTGTATTATTATTATTATTGGACTTGTATTATTACTGGATATACCTAACATTTACAAATAAAGTAAACAAACACATAATAATTGCAGCTCATACCGTTAAAATGAATCCGCAGTGTTGTCCTCGAGTTGAAGTCGCGCGCTTCCTATATGTTACTGAATCTGATCCTGTGTCTGAGGGCGCGCGCACACATCATCTCAGAAGCGTGACCTGCGGATGCAAGATAACGGAAACGCCTTGGAAATGAGCGCATTTCCCCGCCTTTCCACTGCACACGTCATTCGCATACGATTGTCGCATTCGCCCCCTAGCGGCAGTCGCACGGAACTTTGAAATTGGTCGTGAAGCAACCGTTACAATGAATGATTTTAATGTATGTAATGCATGCATGAATATATCCACACAAAACGAATGACCCTCAATACATCTGAAATAAAAATACAGTCGATTTTATAGAGCCAATCAATACAAATATATTATATAATATAAAATAATTATTTCTGCCATAATTATTAATAACCCCCATTTTACAGAAATATAGTTTACAGAATAACGTTAAAGTGTTAAAATGTTGGTAATTCTAGCTTCGCGCTCAAAGTTTTGATTAGAATACATCACATCCGGTCGACTGGTCGCATTCGGTCCAGCCGCAGAAGTTCAGATAGGCTATGTCAACAAATCAGATCCGAAATTTCTGCTTACGCATATGATCAGAACAGAGCCGTTAAATATAGAAGTATATTCTATAGAAGTGTCATAACTCTGTATTTCAATGGCCCTGGACCGGAACTCCACGCAGCTCCCGTACTAACTCTCCACTGGAAATGAATGACTTCCGGTCCGACGGCTGTCGTGTCAGTGCCAAAGGGTCAGTGCAGGAGGAGGAGGAGTTCATCAACACCGCCCTCTGCAGGAGACGAACATGCATTTCATTCTGATAAACTCCACTGGAACAACCACAGGGACGTGCAGAGATCAGACAAGACATTTTTGTTTTTTATTGGTCGCACAGTTTCTCAATATTTGTAGTATTACTCGCCGTGTAGATGTTCTGGGTATTGTTGTAGCTGAACACACTTAATAGTCAACTTGGCGGATGACACCTGTCTGTTTTTAAAAGATGAGAAACGGGTTCCTGTTATTTTGAATGCTTTAAATCATTTTCTAATGGTCTCACAGTCAATCGAAATAAAAGTGACATTATACCCGTTCACAGTCTTGAAAAAGGTCATATAGAAGGTCAAAAGTTCTGTTATATATTTAGGCATTTTAATAAGTAAATCACCCACGGATAGAATTTTAGATAATTTTTCACAACGGACAGCATTTTTTAATTATGTTTTCAATTGCTGGTCACAAAGAAATGTAACTCTATGGTCGTGTCTTGATATCTAAAGCTGAAGACATTTCTAGGATTGTTTACCCAGCCTTGTCCTTATCAACCCGAAAACCTGCTCATCTATCGACTCATACTATTTAAATTCTTGTGGAAAAATAAACCTGAATATTTTAAAAGGAAGACTGTGATAAAAAATACTTTGGAGGGAGGTGATAATGCTTTGGACTTCAGTACTTTCAATCAGGTTTTATCCAGGTTTTATCGTAGTTTTTGTCCAACTCCAATGACTTCACTTGGACAAAAACTACGATAAAACCTGTTGGAAAGCATCTTTTGCAGCGATTTTTGTGTGAGAATATCAGTGAACACCCCAGACCACTCGGTGAGTTTCACGTCTTTGTAAACTAAAGTTTAATGCGTTTTATGAAGGATTGTTCTAGTGCACCTATGAAAATGTCTCAAATGTGTTTTAACTTAATAAGGGGATAGAAATAGACAACATAAGGAGAACAGTAAACAATGTTTTTAAATATTTCTGCCTCAAAGTGTTTTTAATAATTATGTATTGATAGTACTTCTTTAGTTTAAACTGTAGGCATGTCACGGTATCAAATTTTCATTTAAATAATAATTGCTGAAGGGATTTACCATGGTACGCTCTCAGAAAAAAAAGGTACAAAAGCTGTCACTGGGGCAGTTCCCTTTCAAAAGATACATTTTTAGTACATATTTGCATATTAGTACATTAAAGGTATATATTGGTAGCAAAAGTGTACATTTTAGTACTTAATGGTACATATTAGAACATTTTTAAACGTCCAAGTGACAGCTTTTGTACCTTTTTTTCTGAGAGTGTTTATATGGTAGGCCTATCATGTATTGTGTTGTCCTCCTTGGTTTAATAACATTAACAATAAAAATAACTCTGAACTTTTAAATATACAATAAAACAATGCACACACACAAAATTATAAAGCAAAACAAATGTTTAAAACAGATTAAAGTGCAAAAGAACTATTAAGAACAATAGGTAACACTTTACAATAAGGTCCCATTAGTTAACGTTATTTAGTGAATTAAGTAGGCTAACATTAACTAACAATGAGCGATAGCTACATTAAGATACAGTAAAATACATGTTAAAAATACTAATGTTCATTGTTAGTTGATGTTAGCTGACAATCAGCGCCATCTGCTGTCAGAGAGTGAATGTGCATCTTCATTCACTCGCTCCGTGTTATTTATTCAATAAAATAATCGCCTTTAAAGTTGAATCATCATATTAGGCTGTATCGCTGTTTATCTACTATTCAACGACTTCTGTGAATCTCTGAAACCGAATCTCAGCGGCCACAACGACGGCATATTTATGATGGCTTCCCACAAAAGTATACTTTGTACTATAGGCCTACTATTACTGTCTACAGTAGGCCTATACTTACAATTCCAGTCGTTTTTTCCCGATCAGAATAATTTTTTTCTTTTGCTCTGTTAAAAGCTCCGGAACTGTAAAAACTTTCTGCTGCGTGTGATTTAGATTAAAAAAAAACTGCCAAAACAATATCGGTCACTTGATTAAAATATAATATGATACAATAGCCTATACATTTATTTATTATTGCTGTCTTTAAAAAAATAATAAGTTTGCTTAATATTTTTGAGGAAACTGTGATATAGGATACGTTTAGGGGAGTAAGATTTAAAAAAGAAAGAAAGAAGGGAATCAATAATATTGTATTAAATTGATTAAAGTGACAGTAAATCCATTTATAATGTTACAACATCTTTATATTTTAAATATATTCTTTCAATTCATCATAAAATCCTGAAAAAAATTAACCATGGTGTCCACAACAATATTAAGCGGCAGAAACGTTTTCAGCATTGATAATAAAATAACAATTGTTAATAACTGCTTTAGAGCAGCAAATCAGCATATTAGAGTGATTTCTGAAGGATTGAAGACTGGGGTAACCTTTTTCCATCATAGAAGAATATTAAATAAAAGAAAAACCATAGCCCCTTAATTTTTATTTATTTTTTATTTTTATTTACTTTTTGTGTATTTGTTCTTTCATGCACATGCTCTGTATGTTCTAATGTTAAGATTTAATAATATTGCCATATTGTTTGTACATGAATAATTGTTCAATAAAAAATGAATAAAATAAAATAAAAATAAAAACAAGTTTGTATTTCGCTCCAGTTCGGTTGATGGCGGTAATGCACCAAACAGCCACTGTCAACAGCCAATACCACTCAAGAAGAAGAACCAAACTGTGGCAGATCTCAGGTCAGCCGCTGAGCCACAATTATCCTGTGTGCACGTCATCAGTTCATCTTCGCGTGTGTGTCGGTGTGTGTGCGGTGCGTTTAAAGAAAACGGTATGTATGTTTTCCGAAGTGTGATGCTGTGCGATTATTATACACACAATGTTGGATTTTATTGTTCGCTTGTGTTTTTGTAAAAAGAAATCCTTGTGTACCCGGCATATGGAGATCTATTCCAACTATCCAAGTTTGCAGTGAAATATTATTGTATGAAATAACCTGTATTTATTTGACATTTTTATTGATTTGTTTTCTTAGGTGGGGATGGAAAGCCATTTTCACGTGATTATCTTCTGTGCGTTGATCTCTTTGCACCTAATGTTGGTCCAAGGAGCCAGACAAGACATCAAATGTGGAGGTATTTCTTTCCACCTTCTTCGACCTTTGCATGAGCACATTAATATTTTCTGATACATAGACAGCCATTGTGGGTTGATTGCAATAAAACTTGCTCTGTTACATACCTTAATAATTGCATCTTTGAAATGTTTTAAGGATTATTTCTGAAATGCATCATGCTTATTTCCCCCCAGCATGCAGGGCATTAGTTGATGAGATGGACTGGGCCATATCACAAGTAGATCCCAGGAAAATGATCCAGACTGGATCATTTAGGATTAATCCTGATGGCAGTCAGTCAGTAAGAGAGGTGACATATTTTTGTTTCATAACAACCCTGGCTCTGAGTTTTTTTTTTTTTACACCAACTTTGAGATCTTCATGTATTTGTTTTAATGTCCTCAGGTTCCCTTTGCTCGCTCTGAAGGTCATCTTCTTGAACTGATGGAAGAGGTTTGTGAGAAGATGAATGATTACGGCGAACATGTTGACCCTGCCACCAATCGAAAGACATACGTGAGACACGCGTCCCGTGACGGCACTGCCATGGACCTTTCTGATGTGGCCTTTGACTCCAGAGTCATCTCCAGTTTAAAGTTTGCTGTGAGATCCATTCTTTCATTTATTCACGCGTTCATTTTTAGGTAAAGACTAGACAAACCTTAAAGGGATAGTACACCCCAAAAATGTTAATTATCCCACAATGAACTCACCCTAAAGCCATCCTCGATGTTTATGACTTTCTTCTTTCAGCCAAACACAGTCAGAGTTATGTTAAAAAAAAAAATCCTGGCTCTTCCAAGCTTTATAATGGGAGTGAATGGTACCTTAGATTTTGAAGCCCAAAAAAGCACATTCATCCATGATAAAAGTAATCTATACGACTCCGTGGGGTTAATAAAGGCCTTCTGAAGCAAAGTGATGCGTTTGTGTAAGAAAAATATACATATTTATAACTTAATAGGGGTGTAACGGTTTACAAAATTCACGGTTCGGTACATTTTCGATACAGCAAAAAGAAAGAAATGCCAGAGAAATTTCCTATTTATTCAAAGAAATTTAAAAAAAAAATAAGTTTGAGTTTTCCTACATCTTGAAACGTTCAGGTTTATAAATGGGGGTAATCTTTGAAGGATGAACAAATAATGTTTTGGTCATCACATTAAAAATAACATTTAAATATAGGCCTATATATAATATTTATATAATATTTGAGTTTTGAAGTGCTGGAAAAAGATGTGTGAAGTTCTTGAAAGCATTTCACTATTCCAGCCAAACTTCCATGGTTACAGTTAGTGTTACTATATTAAATCCATGGTGAATGTTGCTGATCTGTGGACTTAAAGGCTATAACTAGTTCATTCACGGCACAATGTTTCTCCTGGTTCCCACGAGAGACGAGAGATCTACGGTTAATAACGGAGAAATTTGAATGCTTCTCACTAGATCTCGCAGCGATGTTATTACTTCAGTGGCGAATTCAAATGTTAACTTCACTGGATCTCTTAGCGCTGTGTTGTAACAGTGTCGCTTGATCAAGATCGGCTCGCGCTGCACAGATGTTGCTGGTCCGAACTGATAAACGGTCCGTGAAACACAATATAATGAGAAGCGCAGTTTCGTTCCGCTTTCATTACGCTTGCCATTTGATGTTGCGCAACGTTGTGGTGGTCGCGCCAGCGCGGATTTTGTCGGCAGGAAAAATGGTCCAAGGAATCGTTCGGTTTGTATGCGTACCGAACCGGAAGCCTCGTACCGAAACGGTTCAATACGAATACATGTACCGTTACACCCCTATAACTTAATAAACTATAATCACTGGCTTCTGGTAACGTACACAAGTCCAGTTCCGGCGGATGAGTGACCTCTGACCCGACTCGTGTACGGCCGTTGCCGGAAGCCAGTGATTATAGTTTATGAAGTTATAAATATGGATATTTTTCTTACACAAACGCATCGCTTCAATTCAGAAGGCCTTTAATAACCACTGGAGTCGTATGGATTACTTTTATCATGGATGAATGCGCTTTTTTGGGCTTCAAAATCTAAGGCACCATTCACTCTCATTATAAAGCTAGGAAGAGCCAGGATATTTTTTAACATAACTCTGACTGTGTTTGGCTGAAAGAAGAAACTCATATACTGTACATCTGGGGTGGCTTGAGGTTGAGTAAATTATGGGATCATTTTCATTCTTGGGTGAACTAACCCTTTAAACTACAAATTATTTTGATATTTAGTGCAAATAGGATGCACTTTTCTGTTGATTGATGCATTTCCTTATCAGTTTTAGAAACGTCTCTCATGTTTCTTCACAGTGTGAGACGATCGTTGAGCAGCATGAGGACGAACTTATTGAATTCTTTTCTCATGAGATAGACAACGTTAAAGACAAGCTCTGCAGTAAGAGGACAGGTACGGCTGACAATATGCATACATGATTCAGTATTCTTTTATTTCAAACCTTTATATGAAATTCACACATCTGTCTTAAGCTATTGCATTACAACATAGTCCTATAACTTACCCACCCCACCCCACATGCATCTCTTTTACCGGATTCCTGTGACAACATCTATTTTCAAGCTAATTTAAAGGGATAGTTCACCCAAAAATGAAAATTCTGCCAGGGATTACTCGCCCTCATGTCGTTCCAAACCCACAAGACTATCGGTCGTCTTTTTAATGAAATTTAAGCGATTTCTGTCCCTTCACCTAAAACTATAACGCAGGGCTGTAGTACTCGATCCGGACTCGAGACCGTTTTTCTATGGTCTCGGACTCGCTGGTATTCGGACTCGGACTTGTCTCGGTCTCGGCCACTGGTCTTGCCAAATATGGCTTTTGGTCTCGACCGAGGTGTCTTTTTTATGTTCCCAGTAACGTATTATTGTAGTATGCACCCGCAGACTTCCACAGAAACCTCCGCAGATTACCGCAGATTGTAGTGCCCTTCATTGACATGTACGACCTGCGCGTGTGTGATTTCTTTTCTACTATTGCTACTGCAATACCGGCGCATAGCTGAAATAACAGATCTGTCTATTCACTGCCGTAATATGAAATTGCTATATGGACTAGTCACTGTGAATATTAAAAACTGCTATCAAATCTGATTGTTCAGCGAGTCTCTGCAAGTGAGTGCCGCAGGTTCGTGTACTACACATACTCAAGTACACGTTTATCTTCAGCATTTCATCGTCAGATACACTCAGAAACCCGTCAAAATAAAAGTTCGGTTTAACGTGAAGAAATTACCACAGATATATTTTACTGGAGTGAAGCTATATTGTCATTTAGTTGCTCAAATACTCAGTAGGCTACTAGTACCTAGCAGTGGTAATAGTAGTGGGTTGGTGTTTGTATCAGTTCTAACACTGCTATTATGAGGTATCACCATATCTCATCATTCTTTTGTCTTTAGATTAGAAGATTATATGATATCAAGGGGAATGTCTATACTTAAAAATCCTGGGTGTTGTGACACTGTTTTTGCTTTTAGATCAACAAATAATACCCCAAAATGATTGTCATTTAATGTCAAGACTTTTTTCCTGTCCTGGACTCGGTCTTGACTCGGACTCAAACCTTTTTGGACTCGGTCTTGTCTTGGACTCTACTAGTCCTAGTCCTGGTCTTGGTCTTGGACTCGACAAAGGTGGTCTTGACTACAGCCCTACTATAACGCTTCGTAAAGAGAATAAAACCTCATTTATTATAAATTAAATAAATCCATATGAATCAAGTGGTTTAATCCAAGTCTTCTGAAGAGACTCGATCACTTTATATGAAGAACCGATTTAGGGTACGTTTACATGATAACGATGCACTATAAATGGAAAAGTTGTACAGACAACGTTGTCAAAACGATTCCCGTACACACAGATTCGTGAAAACCACTGAAACGCTGTATTCGCAGTAGTTGGCGATGTGACTTTGAAACTACGCATCTTTGTAGTTTACACGGAGACGATAACGGTCTTGTTTTCAAAAACTTGCACTTTGAAACTCGTTTTTTTAATACCTGAACCCGAAACCTGAAATTAGAGATCCTTGATGACATACGCGGCCGGCAAACCTCCGGAGGACACAGAGATTGATCAGCGAACATGAACCGAAGTTCATTCTCATGTTACGCAGCACGTTTGAGCTTCTGTTCATGTTCGCTGATCAATGTTTATATGTGAATAAGAGCCTAAATTAAATCTGTTCATCATATAAAGCGAGTGTGTCTCTTCAGAAGACTTGAATTAAAACTGCTCGATTCATATGGATTTCTTATATGATCTCTTTATGAACGTTTTGGGGGAATAGACTATCAATGGAGGTGCAGAATATCTTTATTTGTGTTCGACGAATGGGTTTGGAATGAAATGAGGGTTAGTAAATAATGACAGAATTGAATGTTTAGTTAAATTATCCCTTTTAATAAAATGTATAATAAAATCTTGATCATCCCGTATCAACAATACAATTTTTTATTTTTTTAAGCCATTTTATTTTTCATTATACATATTGCACGTATGTGATAGTTTTTTGTAACTCTTCCCACAGATCTTTGTGACCACGCTCTGGAGATACCACACGACGAGTTATGAGCCGAGCAGCTTTACCAGTGTGTTCACCTGATAACCTTCAGTTAACACACTGATTCTCTTACTTGTTGAGGACACTGAACATGCTGAGATCTACATTATGTGATGTACTTGACCCTATGGGTTAACTGTTGACCTGTTCAACTGTATTAATGGCGTTACCATCAAAACTGTTCATTGTCATTTATTAAAGCTGACGTTCTACAGCTAAAATGAGATCTCTTTACGAGTCTCTCCAATGGTATACTTTTATATTTAACACTATTTTGATGCACTTAGTTTTTAGTTTAGAAGATAATTTGCAGTATATTTATTATAAGCACAGATTGAGGGCTGCTGGAGTGGTGTTTCTCTCTTCAGGTCACGAATCTGAGCAGATTATTAGTTATTAAGTCTTAAACTATTAGGCTGTCATCACTTTATATGGAGAAATATTATGCAGTTTACCATCTTTTGTGTTTTTATTTGTTTTCTACCCAAATATAATTTGATTGGTAGTTTCTTCTGTATTTATCAACATTTGTTGTTTGTATCCAGTATCCATTCTCCTATATGGATGCCACCATGTTATATATATATATTTTTTTTAATAATTCAGAAATCCATATGGTCACACGTGAATAATTAGAACAATCTTGTTTTTTTAAGCTCCCAATTTATTGTTTCACTAGTATGGAGCCATGGTGGAGCCAAGAGAGAACATGTGCATATTTTCTTAAAGCTTCGGGAGGTTTTAATCACAATGTGTTTTGCAACCGTGGAACTTGAGCTGAATTTTGCTACGTTTGTAGGGGTGAAACTTCCAGCATTAAGATGTACGACACAAGAACGACAAAGAAATATACAACTGGACTAAATATACAACTGCTACTAAATGTGGTCCTACCTCAGGAGGGTGAAAAATTAAAAATGTATTTTACAATATCTTTTATAGTCATTTATTGGTGAGTGTCAAAATACTAATATCAATAAATCAAATCATTGCAGGAAAATTTGTGCTTGTAAATCAGCTTCCATGTTTTTGTTTTGTTTTTTATTTTAATCATTTATTGTTTAAGGACAGTGCACATTGATTAACATTTCTGTAAATGTGCCAATATCGGCAAATAGCCTTATTTCCAACTGTAGTCCTTTATCCAGATGTTAAAGGGGTGATGAACTGAGAAATCAAATTTCGCTTGAGCTTTTGACATCTAAGAGGTCATCATATTATAAGAATATCCTGTAAGTTTCAGAACTGAAAACGTCCATGTTAGTCCAATAAAAGCTTTTATTGACACCAGGCTCAGCAAACCGAGCGTTTTTGAGCTAGGCTCAAAACTAGGGTAGAAAATAGCCTATTACTTATTCATTTTGATGTTTTTGAATGTAAAAACCAAGCGAACGTCATAACCTCAGACAACAATATATATATTTTTTAAAAGCCAGTCCATGACCCCTTTAAAAGGACCATAACCATTAACATTTACAAACATAAATACAGAAAAAAACTGTACAGACAAAAAGTTAATAAAAGAAAAGATAGGAAAGACCTTCTGGGGGCGGGTATCATACATGGAAAAAGATAAAAAAAATAGTACTAATACTTTTAAATTACTGCAGTAAATGAATTAAAAATGTTCACATTTCTAAAGGCCAAGCCTTTAAACGGCGAGTAAAGATTTGTATTTCAATTGACATGAATTGAGGTTCTTTACACACACAAAAAAAAAGCCATTTAGTTCAGCCATGTATCTTTTTATAAACTGAACTTCAACAAAACAGAGATGGTCAAAGTACAGTAAAAGTATACAGCCAGAAGTATGCGAATCATAATGTACAGTTCTCCATCCACGGTAATGTTGGCAAAGTAAAAATAGGTTATCTTTGTTTAGAAATCCATTATGTTTTATGTTTTATCTTGAAAATGTGACATCAAGGGACCTCACGTGATGTAATACCTGTGTTCTGGCGTAGGTGGCGCTGTAAACCAGCAGCTTCATGTTACAGCGCAGTTTGACGAGTGGATCCGCTCACTGTTCGCCGTTCAAAGCAAACTTTATTTCCTTCATACACGTATTACTGTATTATCAGATTCCTAATGAATAAACTCCGACCTGACTAATCTGAGGAGATGGGATTATTAAACATAGAAGAGCAGGTAAGTGTTTTTCGCTTTAGTTTTCTTCAGAAGCATGGTCAGAAGTCAGGACATGTTTAGTTTGTTCTGTGGCATTGTTTCAGCTTGATTTTTAATAAACTTACTCTGGTGATAAAGACAACTAGATAAAAACTGTCTCTGTAAAACTAGTTATATCAATCTGTTCTCCTAATAGTGGACTTTTACGCTGTCGAGTGAAAACACATGACGTCAACAGTATGATCTGCTATAATTTAGCCAAAAGCCTCTTCTCTATATTCATAGTCGTGGCCAAAATATTGACCTTTTATTTTATTTTATTTTATTTTTATATATAATCCACAATTTTCTTAAAAATACGTTGGATTTAAACCAATCCAATCCAATAATGATGTGTACTACAGATAAATACTCCAGTAGGAATTGTCAATTTCATGGTGACTTTAAAAATGACAATAAAACTGACTTTGAATATGAAAAAGATGACGCTAAACCATTTGGACACTTTTCACAAACCCTGTATTCATAAATAATTTCCTCTGCAAACTTCACTGATCCTTCTAATCCGTGTCTCTCTATAGTCGCTCCTGGTCCAGGCAGTGTTCAGCCAGAATGCTGAAATGGTGGAATTTTTGTTGGAACAAATGGAAGAAGTGGATGAACTGGTATATGGTTTTGTCTTATGATATTTGAAGAGACATCCTGATTCTGACAAATTATGTTACTCCTTTTACATGTTCGTTAGAATGCATAATAATTGCACATACCTGATGACTAGAATGCTGAAATATTGCATATTAAAATTATAGAATGAGCACACATTTTTCTTGGCAAAAAAACTATTTGTTGTTTCAGGACCAAGAGTGCCGCACCGCCCTTCATGCTGCAGCGTATGTGGGTGGAGTTCATATCATGGAGATCCTCATCAGTTCAGGTGCAAATCAGCATATTAAAATGATTTCTGAAGGATCATGTGACACTGAAGACTAGAGTAATAATGCAAAAAAATTCAGCTTTGATCACAGGAATAAATATTACAATATAGTCACATAGAAAACTTTTCTTTTAAAGTCCCCCTGTAGTCAATAATTTATCCCTTAAAACTAACCGTTGATCACCAAAATGACATATTTAAATGTTTTTTCTTTAAAAGAAAATCTTCATGCCTTAAAATAGCTTGAATGTAACTCTAAACCCTTTGCCGCATTTAGTATATGCAGTTCTATGAATGTGCAAATGAGCCCCGCCTCCACTCACTCACTCAGCTCAGAGATCCACTGGTTGACGATCACACGTTGATCTGATTGGTTACAAGGTAGTTTGTGACGTCAGAAACACCAGCGATTTCAAACCGTGTTTTTGAGACTGTCTTTGGTTCACTGCAGTTTTAAGGAGAAAATACTCAGCAATGCTGTCGACTTATGCTGGGTACACACCAAAAGATTTTTTACATCTTATAAGATTTTCAAAATGTGAAAGACCACACACATGAGGAGAAAAAATCCTAAATTTAACCGTTTTGCTCCTATAGTGTGTGGTGTGCCATGATGTCACCACACACGAACAGATTTTCAACCAGATTCTCGACTGTGAACACAGGAAATCTCGCAAAATCTTGTGAGACATCAGAATAATCAAGGCAGACCATGACCACAAATTAACCATAGTTTTGCAAAAAAAAAAAATTCTAACTATAGTATTTATTTGGTTATACAAATGTTCAATACGTCTATAATAAAAACATGGTTAATTTTCCGTCTCTCTCTCTAATATTGCAGAAGCTATTTCTGACCAACTCTTCTCCTTGTCCAATCTATTATTGTAGGTTTTACACCACACGTTGTACAAACATTTGTGCTGTTGCCACAAATCAACAAGCTGATCCTCCATCTCTGCTGTCCACATCAATTTCACTTTGTGCTGCGCCATGACTGCATTTGTTATGCTTCCGTCTTCCGTCATCTCGCTTTCTGATTGGATATTGTTTCGTTTCACGTGATAATCTCCAGAGCGAGCGCGCGTTTGTCCTCGGGGTTCCCCCCCACACATCAGGATTTCCGATCGTAAATATTCAACATGTTGAATATTTACGATTCGCAATCGGGGCGCCTCCGACGTTCTTCCGAGCAGGTTCGGACACTCTTAACACATCTCACACCAAGGGAATATCTGATAAGATAATCTGTAGAACCATCAAGATAATCGGGACATAGCTAGGATTGTCGGAAGGGGGGAAATCGGCCCAAAATCAGCCCGATTATCTTTTGGTGTGTACCCAACATTATGAATTTACACATGGTTTGTCTTAAAGGGGTCATATAATGGTACATGCACTTTTTCAAGTTGATTGTACTGAAATGTGTGTTGGCAGTGCCTGTACACAACCATCATATAATGATAAAAATCCATCCAGTGTTTTTGTTTTAATCTCCTTATATGTTTTCCCCTGCCTCAAATCGAGCCGTTCGACCGTGTGACGTCACACGCTCAGAAGCCCCTCCCACGATTGTTGATTGACAGCAGCGTTTCAACACAGACCCGCCCTCGCTCGTGAGCCAGCTGTCAATCATAGTCTGCGCGGACCGGCGCGGTCATTGTTGATATGCTGGAGCACTGTCTATGAGCAGAATGGCGTCTAAGCGATTGTGGTGTTCTGTTCTTGGGTGTAATAACGAACACAGTCATTTTAATGTTCCTAAATCCGAACCGCTGAAGACGCAGTGGCTGAGTTTGTTTTCGAAGGGAATATTCCCCACGAGCAACGTCAATGCTTTCATGTTTGCGCGAATCATTTCTCACCAGACTGCTTTATAAACGAGGGTCAGTATAAAGCTGGTTTTGCTAAGAAGCTGCTCCTGAATAAAGGACCGGTACCAGATATTCGTGTTCCTGCTGAACCTCTAGAACAACTGAAGTGAGTGTAACGTTTTATTAAACTTTATATTAATATTTATATCTTTGCAAATCGCTTCACAATGAATGCGTCTAAGGTTTACACTCAGGGTACATTACGGCATGTTTTCTATGTATGACGTTCTCAATATAATTCATAATCCCACGTCTATAATGAACAACGCGTTATGGTTATTGTGTTATTGTGTTACAAACGGTGTACGCACAGAACAGAGAGGCGGAGTCAGCAAAGCTCATTATCATTTAAAGTCATATGCACTGAAACGGCGTGCTGAAAACAGAGCTGTTTTTGACCAGGTAAAATAAGTGTTTTCTTACAATACTAATGAGAATTTTTAATTAAAGTATATTACAAACTTTTAATTTAGACCCTAAAGAATCATATTAGCTTGTACAAAAATGGCATTATATGACCCCTTTAATGCATATTAAAAACACCACATACACATATAAACGATAATAAAAGCTTGATTTTCACCACAGGGGGACTTTAAAATTGTAATAATATTTAAAAAATATTACTGTAGTTTGAAGGCTTGGTGAGGATAAGACACTTTTTGACCGGTGGTGTATACATTGTAATTGTTAAATTAATTTTAACATTCATTTAGAACATGTTGTCTTTCTGTTTTCGTATTTGATGGCCTGTGATCTTGTGTTTTAGGTGCTAATGTTAACGCTAAAGACCAGGAGTGGTTGACTCCTCTGCATCGGGCCGCTGCCTCACAGAACGAAGTATGAGAGGACTTTAAAACATCATTTTGCTGTTTATTGTGTCGTCTTTTCTCATGTTGTGATGCTGTGATGCAGGGCTCTGTTGTGCTTCTGCTGAGGAAGGGAGCAGAGGTGAACACACAGGACAGGTTCTGTCAGACGCCACTACATGTAGCTGCAGCCAACAGAGCCACGGAGTGTGTGGATGCCCTGCTTCCCTACATGAGCTGCATGAATGTAGCCGATCGGTTTGGGAGAACGGCTTTACATCACGCCGTCCACAGTGGACATGCAGAGGTATGGCAAGAGCTGACACTCAATCTCGAGGACGATACATTGAGGATTTATCTAAACACTATGGCTACGTCTACATTAATCAGGATTAGTGCTGTCAAACGATTAAAATATTTAATCGCGATTAATCGCATTAATGTAATAGTTAACTCTCGATTAATCGCACATTTTTATCTATTCTAAATGTCTCTTGATTTCTTTTTGTCCCATTCTTTTTTCTCATTTTAATGCTCTTATCAACATGGAAAAGTGGATCGGCTTGCTTTGTGCAAATGTTTTTTATTGAAAACAACATTGACATATACAGTGTTCAATTTCACACTAACATTCTCACTTGGAGCAAATAATCTCTCACACAGTGTAACACTGTCCATCAATAAAAGGGTGAAAGAAATACTGACGAGGTCCTGATATTGACGAGGGGGCGGAGCATTCGCATCAGCTGTGTGTGTGTGTGTGTGTGTGTGCTTGGCCATCATCAAGTGGTGTTTCAGACTGGACGCGCTGCGATGATGATAGCTCAGTTCACAACGACAAAACACACAGATCGCTTTGGTCTCGTCAATGGAACCATTTGGCAACTTTTTAAAAGTAAACTTTCCATTCAGAATCTTATTGGCATCCATTTCGGCGTCTCGCGCTCGTCATCCACTCAAAACGTAACGTTCACCTACTATTTGGCCGGCTCGCAAGCCCAAACAAGTGTGTGCGGCGTGCCTGTTGTTTTGTTTCCGGTCTAGCTGGATCCGCTTGCGCTTTAAAAACGTCCTCGTTCGTTGCAAAAGCATGTGAAAAAAACTACAAAGTTTGCTAGGCCAAAAAGACCGTTAATCGCGCGATAAAAAAATGAACGCCGTTAAAATGGATTTGCGTTAACGCCATTAATAACGCATTTAACTGACAGCCCTAATCAGGATACATTTAAAAATGGTATTTTCGTTTCAAAACGCTCTCTGTCCACACTAGCATCTTCCAAAAGTTTCTCGTTCACACTGAAAGTCACTATGAAATAAAACTTTTTTTTTTTTAAATGCAATATTGCAATATTTATTCTAAATGATTGATCTGTGCACCTTGTAATCTTAAATCAGAATAACTTCCCCTTCCTCTTTAAGCATCTCTTCTCTGATGACGAGGGCGGGGCAACCTGTCACTCACATGAGATCCACCAATAGCAAACCACAACCATCCAATCAATTCCTCACAGACAAAATTATTTTAAAATGAATGCGCTGTCTATATCTTCTATAACAGACGCGATGGCTGAATCTACACATCTCAGTTCTCCAGCGGCGGCCATTCTTTGTTGTAAACTAACAAATTCATCCCAAGCGCTCTTTGGTGACGTGGATGATTACGTTACTGTTGATCATCTGTCCATCATCGTATAAAGCCCGCCCTGACCATTTGATTGGTCCGAACAGCTTTGGTTCGGGCATACTTGCTCCACAACGGATCAAGTCCAGACCGAACTTCCCGACCTCTAATGTTGTGGGCGGGGCTAAGTTTGGCTGGCATCCAGGCTAACAACTATGCATTATGCTTACAAAAACTTTAGCAAATTTTGAATAATATTTGAATAAAGTGTGAACATGTCAATTTTCCTTGGCCGGACATTACTTTTGGCCACCACTGTATTGTCAAAAATACAATTTCCCTCATGTTTTGACACAGGACGGCAATTGTGAGAAACATTTCTGTAATCTTTGCAGGAATGTATCATAAAGATTGTAGAAAGTAACATTTAGCAACACTGAAAGTAAATAGCAGGCTCGACAATGCCAATATAGTAATAGATAGTACAATTTGCATTATGGTTTTCGAATACCTCCATCCACACTACAATGCGAATCCACTTTAGAGAGCGTCTTCATAAACACAGCTTCTCACTGTGGACAGAAGGCGTATTTCACATATATCCGGATTCATGCAGACGTAGCCTTCTATTATATCTCTTAACCTGTTAAGCTTCAAGCCCACTATTGAAAAATCCCCAGAAATGACATACCCAAACTAAAACAGATACAGTTCATGAACCCTTTGCACTAAAAGCACAAGTATGATCTCATTTAAAAGCTGACACTTGGTTGTTTATTGTAAATGTAGAATTAATTATTGTCATAATGAAAAAAACAATTTTAAATAGCTTCAAAGTTTTGTAAAGTTATTAGAAATTTATTTTTATGAAACATCTTCATGAAAATAAAATTGAAGTTGGCCCTGGAGCAATCTAGAAATGCACTGCAGCTAAAGCCACATGTCTGACCATTTTATATTTAAAATCTGAAAATGATAAGTATAAAGCTCTGTATTTAGTTAAATGTTTTTCAAGATCATGTCAAATTACTTTATTTTGATTAGACTCTATTAGCAAACTGATGTTTAGTCATCTTCTGAGTCATCTATTCAGTCTATTGTCTCTATTGTTTTGTGGTGCCCCATTCAGTCTCAGTCTCCCCTGCACACATTTACACCTCTCCAGACTGGTTATTATGGCTCTAAATATGCATTTCTTTTGTCTGCATTATAGCTACTAACGACTGGCTATTCACAAGCTATTCATAGGGTTTCAAACCCTAATTTCTTTTATCAAAGTTCTCACTAAATATTTGAAACTGGTATCAAATGCACTGAAACATTTCAGTAAGCATTCCTATTTAGAAAAAAATCATAAAACAATAACTGCTCGTGGCAGGTGCGCCTGGGCTCGCTAGCATGTTAGCTTAGCACACCATCAATACACGACCATTTATGAGATTAAAACTATGTTTGCGCTCCAAACTCACTATATAACGCAAGTCTAGTGTTTTAAATAATCTTCTGTGATCTAACTTGGCTTCAGATAAAAAAAAAATCAGACAGAAAATGTATTATTTAGTGTTCTGAACAATGATGAAATCTATATCGATTAGCATTACATTATAAATATAATCTATTATTATGAAATACCTGGCATGGCTTGAAGAACACAGGTAACTCAAATATCATTGCAATCATGTTTATTGTCTTCAAAACATCTTTATCTGCATGTTACAGCGATCTCTGTACTTTCTGTATCACTCAGTGACGTCCTGGAATGTCACATGACTATGGGTCTTCTTCATGATCCATATATGGAATTTTATTGGACATAATAGCGCCCCCATGCTATTGGTATGAATGGAAAACACAGCACATCTCAGGAAGAAGCGATCATTATGATTACATCGACGCATTTGGGTATAAATTCAATAAATATTATTCCTGTCTATAGAAATATGATGTGAATCTATGAGAATATATCAATATTTCTCCACATCTGCACATTGTTGAGCTAAAAGCCCTCAGGGACGTTGTTTTGTGAATCGCTATCATGAGGACAGCACGGAGTGTTTTTTATGAATGGACCGGCTGACGCTCATAATTCATATTAAAGGTATCGACTCGTTTTTTTCATTTCATAACTCCTGACACAAATTAAGACATAACTGTCACTATAAGTTTCTCAGAATACAATAGTGGTCAAATACTGAATCTTGAGTCTTATATCTTTTTAATGATGTATAGTTTGTCAAGGTATAACATTAAATCTGATAGTATATTTGAACTAAATAAATAAAAAAACGCTTCAGTGCGCCGACGCTCTGGAGAAGGTTAAGAGGTTAAAGTCCCCCTGTGGTGAAAATCAAGCTTTTAATATTGTTTGTATGTCTATGTGGTGTTTTTAATACGCTTTAAGACAAACCATGTGTAAGTTCATAAGTCGACAGCATTGCTGAGAATTTTCTGCTTAAAACGGCAGTGAACCAAAGACAGTCTCAAAAACACGGTTTGAAATCGCTGGTGTTTCTGACGTCACAAACGACCTTGTAACCAATCAGATCAACGTGTGATCGTCAACCAGTGGATCTCTGAGCTGAGTGAGTGGAGGCGGGGCTCATTTGCATATTCATAGAACTGTGTATCTAAATGAGGCAAGGGTGTAGAGTTACATTCAAGATATTTTAAGGCATGACACATTTTTTCAAGGAAAAACATTTAAAATTGTAATTTTGGTGATCATAGATGAGCTTTGATAAAATTGATTGACTACAGGGGGACTTTAAACATTATTGATGAGGTTTGTATGTTATGTAATACCATTCTTAAAAACTAATCAACAATGTCCTTAGACAGTGACCATGCTTCTAAACAAAGGGACCAACCTGAGTGCCAGAGACATAAAGGACAGGCAGCCCATCCATCTGGCTGCTCATCAAGGTATCTGGTCCTCTGAAGAAGCATGTGTATTAATATAGTGCTCAGAATAGTGTGTTATCTTACAGAGACTGATTGTATCTGCCGATCAGGGCATCTGGAGGTGGTGGAGCTCTTAGTAGCGCGCAGTGCTGATGTGTCCTGCAGGGATAAGCAGGGATTTACACCTCTGCATGCAGCGGCTCTTAGTGGACATGCTGAAGTGGTCAAACACCTCCTGAAACATGGAGCACAGGTGAGGAGTCATATCTAGACATTAGTGGGCAGTTCTACATGTGACACCTACTAGTTTTGTCTGAAGGCATATTAAAAAATATATATATTGAACTTCCACTCGTACTTTAGAACAATTGCTTCTCAATAAAATATATATTTTTAAATTACATTCATATTTTCAATGCTTTTAACTTTCATACCGTGTAGTAGTATTTCAGATTGATTTGATGGGGGTGGAACATGTTAGGTTATGATATTATTGGTTAATAATGTTTTCTGGGGGCGTTGCGACGTTCGTCTGTTATAGGACAACTTAGTTTGAATAAACGAGCAGGCACTGATTAGCTACTTGCTCTACGTTTATTTTAAATGAACAGAAAGACAACTAGCAGTGAATGTGCTTTCCATTAAATGGTGCTGTCCAATCACACAACAGTAAACAAATCCTTAAAAAAAAAAACTTGTCGGCTGCAAAGATGAAGTTGACGATGCTGACTCGTGATCTTCGCAGTAGTCAACGCGCCAGAGAGAAATGCACATTTCACACGGATTACATAAGCAGAGAGCAGTCTGTAGTCTGTTTTCTTTCAGTTTGAATTGTTCTGTTTAAAAGTAGACATGTCTGTGAGGCAAGTAGGTTACTTTATACGCCGAGTTTCGGTTCATTTATGAGACGAGCTCCAGTTCACGCGCCGGCGCCTCCGTTTCGTGATTATCTATCGTCTGCTATATTTACTTCTTATTTATTAAATCCAGGCAATTGGTTGATGAAACATTGATTAAAATTAAGATACAATTAATACAAAACGAAATTTACTTTAAAGAAAGGTTTTGTGCTTTCTGTTTGATGTCTCTGTGAACGTTTTACTCTGTGAGACGTGATTAAATGTCACGTCTTTTAGTGGCGCTTTCAGACCGGTCACATCCGTAACATTGTTTTGCAAACACGAAACATAAAATAAAATGAATATTTTATGTTCTGTGGAGACTACTGTTACTCATAATTTGTATTCTGAATACGTAACGCCGGTGTATGTATTCCGTTACTCCCCAACACTGATAGTATAACCTTATCTGCAAGATATTTCAATGTTTTGGCGGTTTTAGAGTTCTAATGACGGTGTTCAACTATTAACCGTCGGTCTCACGGTTATATAATAACCGTCACACCCCTAATTTTCAGTTTCACTTCCTGCTGAATCTGCGTTGGTTTGTAACAGATTTGCATAATGCCAGTCTATGTTCTTCATCGGCTGCCGTGAACAACGTCTACTTTGACCCTCAAACACTGTAGTTGTATCTGAGGCTGGAATAGTTTGGCTCGTGTTGTTCATGTGGAGAAGACGCTGTTTTCTGCTGACAAAGCAAATCCACTTTGATGAGATTGAAACGGTAAAACCGACACCATCGTCACTGTTCGTATCACTGAGTATCAAGAGCTGAGGAAGATCAGGAGCTGAAACTCAGATATGATAATGAGGGTTTAGTTTCGACACGGTCGACCAATCACAACAGACTGAGTTATTTGACCAATCAGAGCAGAGCAGCTCTCAGAGAGGCGGGGTTTAGAGAGACTGAATCCTTGATCGAACCGTTTCAGACACTGAGAGAAAAGAGCTGATGCTGCAATGGATATTATGAGAAAATTAAAGAGTTTTGATCTTGGATGCGTGTAAACCTGTTGTAGGAGACTCCAAAACAAAATCAGGAATCTTTAAAGTAGCATAATAGAGGCACTTTAATTGCATCACTGGAAAAGGAAGTTGATTCAGAGGCAGAGAAGGTTATTGTTGGGATTAAATATTATTCAAGGTGTCATATCATGAGAAATTAAATGAATAGTTACCAATAGTAACCAAATAAAAATAAATATTGTGTCATTATTTACTTACTCTCATCTTGTTCCAAACCAAAAGTCTTTTTTCCCACTAAACTGCAAAAGAAGATATTTTAAAGAATAAAAATAAATAAAAAAATGCTAAAAAATAGGTTGGTTCCAATACTTAGTTTCACAGAAGAAAGAAATCCATACAGGTTTGTAATAACATGAGTGTGTGTGTGTGAGTAAGTGATTTCATTATTATTATTCTGTTTCACAGGAAGCTGCAAAAATGTTTCTTATTCTGACAACATAATGTGCACTTTATGAATTGTGCGTTATATAAACTAAATAGAATCAAATTTGATTTGAAGTTTTCTCTCTCATTGTGTGTGCCAGATTGATGAAGCAGATGTTTCTGGTAACAGTGCTCTCCACATGGTTTGTTATGCTGGGGAAGAGGTTATAGCCAGTCAGCTGGTTAACTGTGGTGCCAATGTTAACCATTCGAACACCCGCGGCTGCACAGCGCTTCATCTGTCTGCCGTGTCCAGCGACGGCGCCCTGTGTCTGGAGCTGCTGGTCAACAACGGGGCGGACGTTAACATTACGGTCAGGACACATGAACATAAAAACGGCAGATGGATATTAGTGGGTTTTTTTTCTCTGACCTTTCTTGTTTTGATTTCAGAATAAAGATGGGAAGAGTCCTTTGCATATGGCCGCCACTCAGGGACACTTCACTCGTTCCCAGATACTCATTCAGAATGGTAAAGCCAAGCTCAAACCATAAACTTTATGACTGTAAAGTCAGCATGAAGTTGCGAATCAGTCTTTTCTTCTCTAATGTGACGTATATTCAAGTGAAACGCTTCTGTAACAAGAACAAATGTGGGCGGGGCTTGATTTTGTCTGTGGGGAATTGATTGGATGGTTGTGGTTTGCTATTGGCTGATCTCATGTGAGTGACAGCTTGCCCCGCCCTCGTCATCAGAGAAGAGATGCTGCAAGAGGAAGGGGAAGTTATTCTGATTCAAGATTACAAGGCACATTAATTAAGAAAAATAATGATGTAAACAGATAAATCATTTATCATAAATACTGCAATATTCCATTAAAAATGTTGAATTTTGTTTGGTGAATTTTAAGGTACATATTGTTACTTTTTAAGCCGTTCTGATACAGTGTTGGCTTTTTGTATATATTGTTTCGAAACTCGAAACTAATAGCAGCAAAAAACACAGCACACGCTGGCTTTCAACAAGGTTTTCAATCGTATCTGTTATACTTACAAATATTAATGTACATAATAATAGTCACAAAGAAAGCAAATTTCGTCAACATTTACTCAGGTGCTTTTGGACCATGTCTGTTTGCTTTTAGACCATTTATATGCTAGTAGATCAGCAGACATGCATTTAAAATTCACAGTCATTCTCTTCTTGGAAAACAGACCAGAAATGTTGAGCATTTGTCTTGCTTTCAGGGGAATATCAAAAAATGTGTCCAAAATGGGAATTTCCCTTGCCCTTATACCAAAGCAACAGAAAACCGACCATCATGCTTTCTGCCTGTAGTTTACTTGTGACGAACTTAACAATGGTCTTTGTAGGGTGTAGAATGATCAATCTTGTAATATAATTCTTGTTTTTCTGTTGTAGGTGCTGAGGTGGAGTGTGTTGATAAATGTGGTAATACTCCTCTTCACGCCGCTGCTAAACATGGTCACGAGTTGCTCATCGGTTTACTCTTGAATAACGGTGCAGATGTGGCCAGGTGTGTCTTCGCAAACCATTTAAACACACAGACAACAGACACTTTAGAGCTCGTATCTCCCCATCTGGGAATAACCAAAATTCGATACATCACGGCTGGAGTAGATTTAAAACTTCAACATTCATTATCCGATTCTTTTTCATAAAGGGGGTGGAGGGACTACAGTACAAGTCAATATATTAAAATGTATGGTATTTCTAATGCCTTTAATGTTGCCAACAGTATACGGCAACACCAGTGACTAAAATATGGCCCACGATTTCTTTAAATCAATGTAAAATCGACGTGAATTCCATTTAGCTGGCATGTATGTGTTGTGGATTCAAAAAGTTAACGGTTAGGTCAGTATTTTAAAGCTGCAGTCCGTAGTTTTTCCTCTTTGTCGCCATCTCTGTTCTAAATCTGCAATTGCAGTTATTCGCGGAATTATCAACTTTACGTGAGTTGTGCCTCGGCACGGCACAGCGCGGATGAACACACTGTTTGAGGAGAGTGTGTGTCTGTCAGTCGCCGCCGGTGTCGATACTGGCATTCACAATCACAGATTATTCTTTTTGGAAGTATGACCAACATATGAATTTTCACCCTAAAATGTCTGAACTAGTAAGAAACATCCACTTTTGTTCTGACCAACTAAGGGAAAAAAAAGCATTGCAGTAAATCGCGCTGATTAAATCTAACGATCGTTTATCATATCACGTCAAACTTTGCAAATTATACTTTGTTGTCAGCATTGCGTGACTACATTTAAAGCCCTTCAGAAATTTATCCTTGTTTTCGTATGGGTTCGGTTGCAGTCTCTTTTTCCAAACTCTGTCCAAAGTCTTTTGCATTTTACAGCGGGTGAATCTCTAGTTGTCAGTGGTGATTGGCGTTTGAACCTTTCTGGATCCGCCATTAAATTGATAAGTTTAATTATATCAAGTGCTGTGAGAAAAGGCTATAAATCTCCACCTCCAACATCCTCACACGCAATATAGCCTACTAGCCGAGACTCTTCTTTTTGTGTACAGATGTGACGTAATCAGTGATGGGAATAACGGCGTTATAAATAACCGTTACTAACGGAATTACTTTTTCCAGGAACGAGTAATCTAATTGATTACTCTACTCATCTTAATAACCCCGTTACCGTTACTGCCAAAAATGCGGCGCGTTACTATAACTGATGAAGCTGTTTTTTTTTTCATCAGACCAACTAGATCTCTGAGCGAGAGGCAAATACTTTTTTTACTGTTCTTCCTTGGTTAGTGGGCAGAGCACGAGACAAGCGCATAAATGCTGACGATTGGCTGAGGTAGAGTAAAATGTCATTGTAAGCCAATCAGAGGTAGAGTTGGGCGGGTGTTCGAAAGCACGCATAGTAGTGATGGGCATTCGGCTCTTTTGACTCAGCTCACTGAAAAGAGCCGGCTCTTTTGGCTCACAAACGGCTTTTTAAATGACTTTGACTATAATACTTCAATTTTTATTACATAATTATTTAATTTCTAAAGGCTAAATTTGTAAAAATAGAGTCGGCTCTTCAGATATGCGAGCCAGCTTCCGACGTTCACCTAAAAGAGCCGGCTCTTATAGAGTCAGCTCATTCGCGAATCGCGAACGACCCATCAAAAGCTCATTCGCGAACGAGTCGATCCATAATCACTAAATAATCGCGAATGACCCATCATCACTAACGGCTAACGCTCATGAATTGCGAACGACCCATCATAACGCATATTCGGACAGGGTAGAGGTGGGGTCACATTTGAGCATTTAAAATGTAATTTTACTTGAAAGTAACGCAATAGTTACTTTCTTAAGTAACTAGTTACTTTTAAAATTTGCAACTGAGTAACTAATTTAGTTACTTTTTGGAAGAAGTAACTAGTAACTGTACTAGTAAATGACTCAAAGACATGCTCAAATCTCCCGCAGAAAGAGTTACCAGTACCACTGGAATTAAAAACATTATTACAAGCTTACCGCTTTGAACCGAGCTACGGCAAGCAGAGAGTTTTGAACACTGGCTGGTTATGTACTTGCTCAAACATTTATTTTGGATAATTTTTAAACCAAAAAAGTTACGGACTGGAGCTTTAAGTATTGTAAAATGTAAATGTTTCTATAGAATGACTTGGAATGAATTTAAAGTAATTATTGGGTACCGTAATGTCAAGTCACCTTTATTTCTATAGCGCTTTGTTCAGTACAGATTGTTTTAAAGCAGCTTCACCGTGATCAACAGGAAAATGATGATTTAGTGATACAAACAGTAAAGCAGCTCTAAAAACTAAAAAGGGTCATTGTTCACTTCAGTGTTGATTCAGTTCCGTTGTAAAGATCATCAATGATTAAATTAGTTAAATTCGGCTATAAAGCAGCACTGCAGACAACAGTGCTGTCATCGTCCAGCTTAGTCCAGTTCTCATCCAGTCAAATCTATAATATTGTTGAATATTAAGTGTCCCCAACTAAGCCAGAGCACACATGTGATGGTTGGAATCATGTCATATATTCAGGTTATCTTGAGAATATGCTTAAAAAGTATTTAAATGCTAATCTAATAACATTTACAATAACTGTACAGGCGAGGCATTAATGGGATGACTCCGTTGCACTTGGCGGTGTTTTACGGATTTTCAGACTGTTGTGGAAAGTTACTCTCCTCAGGTAAAAGTCATACACATACACAGTGTCTAGTAGGGGACATTTACATTATTCATTTTGCAGATGCTTGAATCCTAAATTATGTAAATGCATAATGATTATCCCATTTCCTTGAGATTTAACCAGATGTACACTACCGTTCAAAAGTTTGGGGTCGGTACGATTTTAAATACTTTTAAAAGAATTCTCTTCTGCTAACCATGGCTGCGCTTATTTGATTAAAAATACAACAAAAATCAGTTATAGTATTAAATATTATTCCAGTGTAAATCAGCTGTTTTCTGTGTGAATATATAGTAAAGTGTAATTTATTCCTGTGATCAAAGCTGAATTTTCAGCATCACCAGTGTCAGTGTCTTCAGTGTCAAATGATCCTTCACAAATCAGTATAATATGAGGATTTGATGCTCAAGAAACATTTATTATTATTATCAATGTTGAAACAGTTGTTGGTCTGTCAGTTGTACAGTTTTTTTTTTTTGGATTCTTTGATGAATAGGAAGTTCAAAAGACTTTTGTAACATTATAAATGTCTTTACTGTCACTTTCGATCAAATTAATTATTCCTTGATAAATAAAAGTATTGATTTCTTTCCTCCAAAAAATAAAAATAAAATTCTCACTGACCCCAAACTTTTGAACAGTAGTGTATGTCAACTGTCTAGTACTGAATGCTTGTCTAACACACATTTACTGTCTGCAGGGTTTGACATAAACACACTGGACAGCCTGGGAAGGACATGTTTGCATATTGCTGCTTCAGGCGGGTACGCTAAACGGATACCATTTATGTGTTTTTCATAGTTTGTATGTCGTCATTTTTAATATAGTATTTTGGTATTCACCCCTTTTTCAATTTGTTCACTGACAGAAATGTTGAATGTCTTAAATTGCTGTTGAACAATGGTGCTGATTTGAGTAAAAAGGACAACTTTGGAAGGTAAACTCTTTATTTGTCAATAACAATAATTCTATTATACATTCACATTGTGAATCTTGTGTACATATTCACAAGTACGAGACCACTAGTGAAAATGCTTCTGTTAATTATACCATTACAAATTATATTTTGTAATTGCTACATGCACTAAAAATGGCTTGTTCAAAACCGGATGATTGGCATTATCCCATCCCCAGCATGGTTTAAGGATATTTCAGAGTGATTATGTACTTAAACCAGGGAATATGATCTTTTTAAAATGGTCAATGTCATAAATTAGAAAGATTGCAAAATTTCTCCTTTGATTCTTTGCAGGTCTCCATTGCACCACACATCAGTGAACGGCTCATATCTGTGTACAGTGGCTCTGGTGAAAGCTGGAGCTGATGTTGATGAACTGGATGTGAATGGATGCAGTCCTCTGCACTACGCAGCTGCTGCCCAAACCTCACACAGGTTTAACACTTATAACACTGCCAGACCCTTGCATTTTTCACTTTTTGTTATGTTGCCTTTAGGGCTGTAATCAACCAAAGAAAATCTTGGTCGACTGAAGTCCTGAAATTTCGACTAAAAATCGATGGGGGCGGAAAAAAACGTTAGATTAATTAGCTGCGCAGTACTTGTAGCCTTGTCCGCCTAAATGAATTATAAATAAACATAAAAACTAGTAGGCTATTTGCAGTATATTAAAGCGTTTTTGACCTAATTATTTTGCACTGAAATGACACACTCGAGTCTGTCGGCTCTGACAGCGTTGCATCATGTGTTATAGCCTATGATTTCCGAAAAAAGTACAACTAGTGATATCAGCACAAGAACTGTTGAGGAATATGCGACATAATTTAGACAATTGTTTTTGTCATATGTTATAATAACTGACAGACACTATCATGTCCTCACACAGAGCGAGGCTGAACACAGGAGCTCAGTTTCGTGGCTGAGACACGAATCGACTATTAACTTAAAGCTTTTACTCTTAAACACAAAAGGCACGTCCACTTTAATAAAAAAGTTATATTTATTAAACAAACCAGATCAAGACGAGAGCAGAAACGAAATAAAGTGCATAACTGAAAAATAAAGCATAGGCTCAAAACAAATACAAACAGTGGGCACAGTGCAATTGTGCATTAGGTTTAGGCTTTGGGTTGGGCTAATCCAAAACTAGTGAAAACAAGGGGGGTGTTCTGAAGACGGACTGTTACCTGTGAAACAGGGGTGCTCTGAAAACACCCCCATTAGCAGTTAGTGCTTTCCACCTGATGAAATTAACACAGCAAAAAATCGACCAATCAGAATTTTGGTCGAGCCAGAACATATCGACCAATAAGTCGACTAGTCGACTGGGAGATTACAGCCCTAGTTGCCTTGCTAAAATGCTTACATTTTTGTCACATTAATCTACACTCCATACTGTCACCATTATGTTCAGTTTGTTGTTATCATGGACTTTAAGTTTGCATTCACCAGTTTCTGTCTCCCTTTGTTCATTTTCCCGCCACTCCTTGGTTGTCATGGTTTCTGTCATTGAGTTCTTTTGTATCAGCTGTGTATCATTAATTACCTTGTTTGAGTTCCTATTTAAGGGTACGTTTGCATGACAACGGTATGCTTAAAACTGTTAAGTTTTTCCTATGAGTTTTCCGCGTACAGACGACACCATTATCAAAACGATTCCCATTCACACGGATCCGCGAAAAGAACTAAACTATGGATTGTAGAAGTAATACACATGTGCACAAAGTCATCATTTTCAGAGATTTGCGTTTTTGTTGTTTACACGGAGACTTGCGCTTTGAAACCCGTTTTCAAAAGTCTGCGTTTTCAGCCACCCAAAAACGCCGTTGTCTTGTAAATGAACGTATGTGAGTTATGTATATACCAATAGCAATTGATATTTATTTATTCGACTAATTTCAGATATGACTTACCTTTGTTTTCTCCCTGTAGATTTGAGCAGAACTGTCCTGACAAAGAACCCAGCAGTGATCGTGACGAGGAGGCTCTGTGGTAAAGCACCCGTTTGGATTTGAAACTAAAATGACTGGCTGTAAATAAGCGTAAAACTACCTGACCCTTGTTTATGTGTTGTGTGTTTGTTCGTACAGGTGTTTGGAGTTTCTTTTGCATAGCGGTTCTGATCCAACGCTGCGTGACAGTAAAGGCTTCAGTCCAGTCCACTACGCAGCGGCCCGTGGAGACAAACACAACCTAAAACTGGTAAATCACAAATGTTAAGAAAACCAAAAGATTTGCCAATACTCATATCATGTCATATATTATGGGACATGTGAGTAGAATCTGTATTTCAGTTGGATTAAGTTTGATGTTTTTACTCCTGCTAATTCTGTCTAGTGGAAAACAACTGAATTATATTACTCATATCAGAATATATATATATATATATATATATATATATATATATACAAACAACTGAATTATATTACTCATATCAGAATATATATATATATATATATATATATATATATATATATATACAAACAACTGAATTATATTACTCATATCAGAATATATATATATATATATATATATATATATATACAAACAACTGAATTATATTACTCATATCAGAATATATATATATATATATATATACAAACAACTGAATTATATTACTCATATCAGAATATATATATACAAACAACTGAATTATATTACTCATATCAGAATATATATATATATATATATATATATATACACAAACAACTGAATTATATTACTCATATCAGAATATATATATATATATATACAAAAAACTGAATTATATTACTCATATCAGAATATATATATATATATATATATACACAAACAACTGAATTATATTACTCATATCAGAATATATATATATATATATACCGGTATATATACTAACAACTGAATTATATTACTCATATCAGAATATATATACAAACAACTGAATTATATTCATATTAGTAATATAATTCAGTTGTTTATATTTGTGCACATAAGCCATTAAATGGCATTGCATTATATAACAAATAAACTAAATATGCATATAGATAATAGATATACATTTTAATTTCATGCCGACTTTAAAGAAAGCGGCATTTATTTTAAATAAATATGGCGCAAACACATTTTCAGGCTAACCCTTTCACAAAAAGAAATTTGCTAGGTTTGAAATGATAAAAATAGATATGGTGTTAAAATGTTGGAAGTAAACAAGTATTGTTTCTTTAAATACAAAAAATATTGAGATACATTGTTGTCAAACTTGAGGAGAACTGACCGGCTTGACTTGGTTTGGCATTTTAAAGTTAGTTCTGAGAAAATCTCTTGCATAATTTGTTTGCTAATGTCACTTTATTTAGTTTTTTGTTATATAATGCATTAACATTCACAAATAGTCAATTAAGCACCCAAAATACTTTGAGGAAATGTTGTGGTACCTTATACTGTATGTAGAATAGTGGTTAAACTTTATTTTAAGGTGTCATTGTTACAGTGTAATTAAGTACTGAGTAATATTAATTCACAACATATAGGGTTAGGGTTTGTTTGAGGGTTAGTTGCATGTGTAATTATGCATAATTTACTGTTATTATTGCATAAAGTACATGTCACATTTGTAACAAGGACACTGTAATATAAAGTGTTACCGAATAGCCCACTCTTTATTTTTATCTCGTATGTCACTTTGAGTGAACAAGCATTGTATTTTTTTTTTATTAGCTAATAGAAATGTCTTTCAAATGTGTGGAAGATCTGGAGAGTTGCATTCCTGTGAGCCCTTTACACTTAGCGGTGAGTATTCAGTCTCTAGTCTTGTCTCTCTCTCTCTCTCTCTCTCTCTCTCTCTCTCTCTCTCTCTCTCTCTCTCTCTCTCTCTCTCTCTCTCTCTCTCTCTCTCTCTCTCTCTCTCTCTCTCTCTCTCTCTCTCTCTCTCTCTCTCTCTCTCTCTCTCTCTCTCTCTCTCTCTAATGAAGTCAGTATTACAATTTTAATGTGAGTTAAATTAACTGAAATTCGAATAAATGCTACAAGTGCATTTGTTTTTTAACTAGAAAAGGTAAGTTTGGCAAAACCTTGTTTGAAAATTGGCATTGTTTGAAAGAATTATCCAATTGCCTGTTAAGTTATGAATTTTGTCCTGGTCAATTGTTTCTGTCAGGCGTATAACGGTCACACTGAAGCTCTTCAGGTGCTCTCTGAAACACTGGTGAATGTGGACTTGCAAGATTCGAGGGGTCATACGGCGGTGTATTTGGCGGCTCTGAGAGGTCACGACCCCTGTGTGGAGCTGCTGCTGCTTCAGGGCGCCTCATACGCCATCAGGGAGCACATCCACAGGTGGACACCCCTACACGCTTCAGGTGTGTACGCAAATTAACATATGAAGAATTCGTTCAATGCTTGGTCTAAGTTGATTTAAGCCTAAATAATTGCTGTGGTGGGACGGTGCAAACTATAAATTTATGTAAGTAAGTAATAATTGATGACGGGCCATTAAATTATTAGAAAAATAATGCACACTCGAGGTGGTAATGCGGCAACAACGGAGAAACGGAGTTACACCTCAGGTGTGCATTATTTTTATAATAATTCAACAGCCCAGAGTCAATTGTTCTGCTTATACTTTGGTTACCTCACCTCAAGACATTGTTCAGATGATGTATTTCAAGACATTTGTCAGGTTTTTGTCTTTAAAACGTTCTTGTGTGTGGGATTAATTTCTTACGCATCTCATCCCAAGCGTCCGTTGCTAATTCCAAAACATAATTTTAGAGCTAGTAACGAAGGCTTGAGCCACTGATAGCAGACTAATGTAGTTATTAATGCAGTTATCAGAGAGAAAGAGAGAGAGAGAGAGAGAGAAGTGTGTGTGAATTACCTGAGTCTGTGTGTCTCTCAACTGTGTTTGGCAGCAGCGTCATGTAGCTTTTAAATTACTAAACTATTTTACTGATAAAATCTTCATAGCAGCGCTGAAAACACACGAGTGTGTGTCCATACTGTATATGTCCATTTGAGTGTGAGAGAGAGAAGATATGTGCTTTTCCATAATAACCAATACATTCATAATACATAATACAACGTCATTTTTTGGGGGAAAAACTTGGACTTTTTGGACTTGGACTAAAAATGTGTCGTTTTTATTCTATTTACAATACTTATTTGCTCGGTCAGTGTCGTTGTGTGTTTTGCTTCTGTAGACTGTAAAGACCTTTGAAATAACTGAAATCATTTGGCGAAGTGATGCGGTCCAGACCTGCCTGGAACTACTTTAGCCGTGCGTTTACCTTAAAATAATTGCACACCTTAGAGCGTTCGTCAACCAATCAGATTCAAGCGTTCAACGGCCCTGTAGTATAACTAAATTTAATCTATTGATTTATTTTCATAGCTGCCAATGGCCATACTGACTGCCTGCTCATGCTGTTGAAAAGAGCTGAAAAAGATGACATAATTGACGTCATGGACATACATGGACAGTAAGTGCCATTTCAACATTCATGTCAATGATAACATGATCATGCAATGCATTTACATGTTTTAAAATTAAGCAGAGAGTCTGTCAAGGTTGTTAACAAGTTAGAAAATATGAGTAGCCTCTTTCTCACTCATTTAATGCAGCCATGTTTCGGTGAAAACAAAAAGCGTGTTCTGTGTTTCCATGCGAAGCCTGAGGAAGTCCACAACATCCAACTTGGACTGTGGCACCACCAGAAGGTCAACATTTTTACCTCATCAGCAGTTCATTTGCCACATATTTGTGCTGAAACTGCTCAGAGTGTTAGTGGGTTGATTCATCTTCCTCAGCCGTTGCTCCTCTTCCTCTTCAAGAACACAGTTGTGTGTTATTTTCATAGACTCAGTCTTTCTAGCGATGTGCTTGAAAGGCTTTTGCTGGTCTGTCTTGGGGAACTTGTCACCCACAGTGTCAAACTCTGGCGTGTTCCTCTCAATAAGAATGGGTTAGTTAGGTTAATAAGGGTTGGGTTACAGTTACTGGTACAGTTAACAGTGTAACTACAAATGTTAATTAAATGCAAGTACTTTAACCCTTTATGGTACGAAGCTGCCATATGGCAACAATTCATTTCTACTCATTTCCATGTTATTCAGAAAAAAACAAACAATATTTTGCACTATGGGAATTAAAAGGGCAGACCTTAAGGTAGCCAATGATGTGCTGTTTTTAAGTCACATGACATTTAAATGTCCCTCCGAAACTCTCTTTCCCACTGTCACTCTCTCACGGAAGACACCTGTTGAAGTGTCCAGAAATTGCTCTATTAACCTCATTTATAAACACTTCTTCTAAAAGGGGATTTTTGATAAGTAATTTAGATATTTTTATTCACAAATCAACTTTGTCTAGTTTTACTGTAAATTGAGAAAATATCCATGTTTCCATATGGCATCACTGTACCACAGTGGAATTGCAGTAATGTATTTCCCCATTGGGATTTTTTTTTATAGATGGTAGCATCAACAATATGATTGCAGTTATTTATTTGTTTAGTGTTTAATGTAGTATAGTTGTATTTATGTATAAATAACGAAATGATTTCTTCTTTTCAGAAAATTAATACAGCAATATTTTACAGAAAGGGCAATAGGAAGAGTGCAGAGTTAGCTCGTCCATGTGATGAGAGTAAGAGCGAGTTAGGCAAATGATAGGGATCTACTTATTTTTGGTTTGCATGAGTTCTATTAATCTAATATATGCATTTAAATAGAAAAGAAAATCGTAATTTTATAGAAAAACTATTTTTTGACCACTTTCCATTGTGATACAGCTTTGCCATAAAGCAACGTTTCCCTAAGTTTTTTTAAAGCTATTTTATGGAACAAATTGCATACCATAGAGGGTTACATCTTACATGTAATTACAATGCACCAGTATGTATGTACAAAATTGTGTCACATGGTTAAGTACCCAAATTAAGTGACCCAAATTACAATTACAGTGCTGTAAATACTGCATTGCACACTCAAGCTCATTCTTCTCTATGATGACAAAGTTCAGTAATATGCCTGATCAGAATGTGGTGGGAATTTAGACGCATTAATATGTTATATTGTTTCCCCCCATCTTTCTCTTTCTCTCTCTGTTTCCTTTTTTGCATTGTTTAAAGTATTGCTATTGTAAGCATAGTTTGGTGGTATCTGTAGGACTCCACTGATGTTGGCCACACTGGGCGGTCACGTTGACTGTGTCCACATGCTGCTCGAGAGAGGAAGTAAACCAGACACTGGAGACCGGAGAAGCCGCACTGCTTTACATCGCGCAGTGAGTTTATGTACTGTGTGTATGTATGCATGCATGTGTTTGGTTTGTGTATCTGAATATTTACACATTATCAGGCTGGAATTAGTCAATATCAGTCTTGATTTAGTTTTTGGGCTCTACTAGAACAGGTTTTCATGTTTGAATGTTCAAAAAAGCCTTATTTTTCACAAATTTAATATTGTTGCAGCTCGTCTCTCCCCAGTGTGTCAGTAACGCTCTGGGGTGCATTTCCCGTTTAACGACTTAACTCGCTGATTAAAGGGTTATTTCACCCAAAAATGAAAATTCTGTCAGTATTTACTCGCCCTCATGTTGTTCCAACCCCGTAAGACCTTCGTTCATCTTCGGAACACAGATTAAGATATTTTTGATGAAATCTGAGAGCTGGATCACTCCTCCATAGGCTTCTTCAGGGATTGAACTGGCCGGCCTCGAAAAGTTATTAAAGACATCGTTAAAATAGTCCAAGTGACTACAGTGGCTCAACCTTAAGTTTATCAAGCGACGAGAATACTTTTTGTGCGCAAAAACAAACAAAAATAACGACTTTATTTCAAATATTCATTTCCTTCTCTGTGGGCCTTAAGTCAGTTCACTAGTGTAACAGCGTACGCTTCTGTTGTTGTACGTCACGCGTATCACGCACATGACCAGCGTCGGCCAATAGTGAGCCTACGTGTGACGTAGCTCTACGGAATCACACTACGTTAACTGACTAGAGGCCCAAAGAGAAGGAAATGAATAGTTGAAATAAGTCGTTATTTATGTTTGTTTTTGCGCACAAAAAGTATTCTCGTCGGATGATATATTTTAGATTGAGCCATTGTAGTCACTTGGACTATTTTAACGATGTCTTTAATAACTTTTCGATAACTTATCAAAAATCCCCTTTTAGAAGAGATGTTTATAAATGAGGTTAATAGAGCAATTTCTGGACACTTCAACAGGTGTCTTCCGTGAGAGAGTGACAGTGGGAAAGAGAGTTTCGGAGGGACATTTAAATGTCATGTGACTTAAAAACAGCACATCATTGGCTACCTTAAGGTCTGCCCTTTTAATTCCCATAGTGCAAAATATTGTTTTTTTTTTTCTGAATAACATGGAAATGAGTAGAAATGAATTGTTGCCATATGGCAGCTTCGTACCATAAAGGGTTAAAGTACTTGCATTTAATTAACATTTGTAGTTACACTGTACAACTACACTGTAGTTACACCACACTCACTCCCCGAAGAAGCCTATGGACTAGTATGAAGGAGTGATCCAGCTCTCAGATTTCATCAAAAATATTTTAATTCGTGTTCCGAAGATGAACGAAGGGGGTTGAAGCAACATGAAGGTGAGTAAATACTGACAGAATTTTCATTTTTGGGTGAACTTGCGGAAATTGTAGTAAATCGCAAGAGACAACTTCTCACATTGAGCACACGAATGCGTGTGTCGTTTATTATTGAAAACAAAAACACTCAACTCCAAAATGGCGCTGACTAGCGTCTCACGTCATCACGCACACAGAACATTTTAAAGGGACCACGATCCCTGAACAACAGGGAGGAACAATGCCAAGAACAAAGGTGAATTATGTATGTCAAAGTCACTACACACGTCCCCCCAGAATTCACCATATCAGGAGAACCAAACAGTCAACGGGGAGGTGGGCGTATCAACCTGCCACAACGGCTGCGCTGCACGGAAGGAGTAGGAGACCGCACTGCAGCCGGCAACCCGCCCTGGCACGGGTGTGGGACATGGAGTGTGGGAGGCTTGGGAGGGAGGGGAGCAAGGGGTGGGGGCAGAGCAGGAGGCCGTCCGCGCCGTGGGACCTGGGCCAGGTCAATGGGCCTGGCCACGTCCAAGTGAGCCGGTTTGAGGCGGTCAATGGAGAGTCGCTCCGGTTTCCCGCCCCTGTCCACCACAAAATGTTTGTCCCCCTTCTCCAGAACCTGAAATGGGCCCTCGTAGGGCGGACATAGAGGTCCCCTGTGGGCATCATGGCGAATGAAAACTTAGTCAGCCGTCTGAAGTCCAACGGGTATGTGTGACTGAGGAAGGCCGTGATGGGAAGTAGGGACAGGTGCGAAAAGCCTCGCATTGTCCAGTAGAGTGGACCGCTGAAAAGTAGCAGACCAGGGAACCGTGGTGCTAGGGACAAAATCCCCTGGTACCCGCAGTGGCTGTCCATAAACCAACTCCGCGGATGAGGACTGAAGGTCCTCATTTGGCGCGGTCCTGATGCCCAGCATCACCCACGGGAGCTTGTCGACCCAGTTGCTGTCTTTGAGGCCAGCGCGCAGGGCAGCCTTCATTGACCTATGAAAACGTTCACAGAGTCCGTTAGCTTGCGGGTGATATGCGGTCGTACGGTGGAGGTTCACTCCGAGGCTTTGTGCGACAGCGGCCCACAGCTCAGAAGTAAACTGTGCGCCTCGGTCAGAGGAAATGTCCGAAGGAGTGCCGAAACGTGCAACCCAGGTGCCAATAAATGCCCGTGTCATTTCGGAAGACGTCACTGACGTCAAAGGCACAGCCTCGGGCCAGCGGGTGGTCCTGTCAACCATGGTGAACAAATATGTGAAACCGTGAGAGGAGGGCAGAGGACCAACCAGGTCCACGTTTACATGGTCAAAACGTCTTTCCGGAACCGAGAAAGACCCTAACGGGGCTTTAGTGTGGCGATGGACTTTGGCCCGTTGGCATTCAACACAGGTGTTAGACCAATCCCTAACGTCCTTCTTGAGGCCGTGCCAAACAAACTTCCCTGCCACCAGTCTCTGTGACGCTTTCGTACCCGGGTGGGAGAGACCATGGACGGCATCAAAAACTTGTCGCCTCCATCCCGAGGGAACGACCGGCCGAGGACTACCTGTGGAGATGTCACACTGGAGCTTGGTGCCGGCATCGCCAAAAACCATGTCCTCGAGCTGCAACCCTGTAGCCGAGGTCCTCAGGAGTTGCACATCTGGGTCTGTGGCCTGAGTCGCTGCCATGCGGTCGTAATCCAAACCCAGGTGGACTGCCCCAGCCACAGCCCGTGATAGGCAGTCCGCCACTCGGTTGGTCTTACCGGCGACGTGCTGCAAGTCCGTGGTGAACTCAGAAATGTAGGACAGATGACGTTGCTGGCGGGCGGACCACGGTTCAGCCACCTTGGCCATGGCAAAAGTCAACGGCTTGTGGTCCACAAAAGCGGTGAAATGTCGGCCCTCCAGCAGGGAACGAAAGTGTCGGATAGCGAGGTAGAGACCCAGCAACTCCCGGTCGAATGTGCTGTACTTCCGCTCACAGGGGCGCAGCTGACGGCTAAAGAAAGCCAGCGGCTGCCAGTGGCGGCGTTAGCTAGGGCTGTCTTAGTGGCAGCAAAAGTCCTGTCTCTACTCTCATTCCAGGATACAGCGTGCTTGGGTTTACCCTTCAAGGCCTCATGCAAAGGCTGCATGAGCTGAGCGGCTCGAGGGATGAAACGGTGGTAAAAATCTACCATGCCGAGGAACTCCTGCAGGGATTTGACAGTGAGAGGGCGCGGGAACTGTGCGACCGCCTCCACCTTTGACGGGAGGGGGACTGCCCCGTCCTTAGTGACTCTGTGTCCTAGGAAGTCGATGTTGGTCAAGCCGAACTGGCATTTGGCGGGGTTGACAATCAGTCCATGCTGGCTAAGCCGCTCGAAAAGGGTTTGGAGGTGCGCGAGGTGCTGAGACTTGGACGTGCTGAGTCCATGAGTCGTTGAAAAGATTGGGCGGCGTTTTTAAGGCCGAACGGCATGCGCAGGAACTCAAACAAACCAAACGGTGTGATCACTGCCGTTTTGGGAATGTCCAGTGGATGTACCGGAACCTGATGATAACCTCTAACAAGGTCCACCTTCGAAAAAATCACTTTGCCAGACAGGTGTGCTGAAAAATCCTGTATGTTCGGGACTGGGTATCGGTCAGGTGCCGTTGCCTCATTAAGCCGCCGGTAGTCGCCACACGGACGCCAACCGCCACCAGGTTTGGGGACGATATGAAGAGGCGATGCCCATGGGCTGTCGGATCTGCGGACTATTCCCAGGCGCTCCATGGTCGCAAACTCAGCCTTTGCAACGGCAAGCTTGGTCGGGTCGAGGCGCCGAGCACGGGCATAGACGGGCGGACCAGTAGTGGCGAGATGATGCTCCGCACCATGCTTCACGGCAGATGCAGAGAAAGTGGGCTGAGTGAGAGCTGGGAACCTGACAAGCAGACGGTGGAAATCATCAGAAACTAAAAGCATGCTAGACAGTCGTATGGAGTCGGGCCCGCTGAGCGTGCATGTATAAGAGCAAAACGTGACGGCGTCAATCAGGCGGCGGTTCTTTACATCTACCAACAGTCCATGTGCACACAAAAAATCAGCACCGAGGAGGGGAACGGCCACCTTTGCTGTAACAAAGTTCCAGCCGAAGCGCTGTCCTCCGAAACACAATTCGACGTACCTTTGTCCATAAGTGCGGATGGGGCTTCCATTGGCAGCTTCCATAGGGGTGCCGTGGCTGTCAGTCACCATGTCCAAACGGGATGCAGGCAGGACGCTCCTCTGTGCTCCTGTGTCGCACAGAAAACGCCGTCCGGAGATGCTGTCATGGATGAAAAGCAGCCTGCCTACGCGGCCGACACTCATGGCCACTACTGAGCGCCGGCCCCTGCGTTTCCCGACCCGCCGAAACTGCATGGTAGGCGACATTTGTTAGCCTTAGTACCAAACTTCGCATGGTAAAAACACAAGCCTGAAGGTTGTTGGGGGCCAGAAGACTGCTGCCGCCGAGAAGTGTTAGCCGCGATAAAGGTGGAGTCGTCCCGTGTCACCGAAGCGATGTGCGCGGGAAAAAGCGCGGCCGCGCAATGTCCCTGACTCGCCAGGAAAAATTTATCAGCCTCTTCGGCCAGTCTCCGACAGTCAGTGATTGTGGTGTTGGCTAATGCAGCTCTCACTTGTAAAGGTAGCTGATGCAGGAAAATCTGTATAAAAAGAAAATCGGGTCTGTGCTCACCCAAAAGATCCAGCATATGATCCATGAGCTCGGACGGTTTGCTGTCACCCAATCCTTGAAGGGAGAAAAGCCTACCGGCTCTCTCAGCGTCCGTCAGTCCGAACGTTTTTAACAGGTGGGCTTTGAGTGCTGCATACTTCTCAGTTTCCGGAGGGTTTGTAAGAAGGCTCACCACTCTCGATGCTGTTGCATTACCGAGAGCCGACACAACGTAGTAATACTTTGTTGTATCCGCAGTGATCTCTCGTAACGCAAACTGCGCTTCAGTCTGGGCAAACCAAGCCGATGCCGACGATTCCCAGAATTCGGGGAGTTTGAGGGTGACAGCGTTCGTGGCCATGGTCGTGTTGGGTCACTGGATACGTCCAGCAGACTAATGTCGGGGTCACCAGTGTGGAAATTGTAGTAAATCGCAAGAGACAACTTCTCACATTGAGCACACGAATGCGTGTGTCGTTTATTATTGAAAACAAAAACACTCAACTCCAAAATGGCGCTGACTAGCGTCTCACGTCATCACGCATACAGAACATTTTAAAGGGACCACGATCCCTGAACAACAGTGAGGAACAATGCCAAGAACAAAGGTGAATTATGTATGTCAAAGTCACTACAAACTATCCCTTTAACTACCATAGTACGATACATCGTTGAAGAAATCAACAGGCTAGTCACGACTGTTTCCCAAAACCGTACTGTCGCAAATTAGTCGTTCAACCACGCTGGTTAATGATGTCACACACGTGGTGGAGTAATAACTACTTTTAATGAATCTGTTTGAGATCGAATTAATGCCAGATTTATTCTATAAATTATGGACATGACATCTGAGGACTATTTTTCTCAGTTGTTTTGCTTTATTTACAGATTCAATCATATGCTGGTTCTTACATTACTAGAGCACATGCGCACTATTCAAAAACTACGTTTTAAATCTCTTGACAAACTAAAAGACGTAAATTAAAATTTTAAATATTTGAAATGAAAGAAATAGATTGTACTGAATGTCAGCTTGCTTATTTTGCTCAAGATAAGGATATATTAAGTCCACGTCATGCAAACAAGAGAGCTGGTCGAGATCTGTCGTTCCAACCACACAACTTTGCGATGCTGTTTGCGAATGTTCGTTAGAACTATGGTTTCAGGAAACACGACTCGATGAACCACAGTATGCTGATAACGACAGAACTTGCGACCATAGTTGGCAAACTATTCTTTTGGGAAACGCACCCCTGTCTCGATGAAGCCCCTCCTTCTGAAAAGCACACTGTGCTCTGATTGGTCTGCTGGAGCAGTGTGTTGTGATTGGTCGAGCGCTTCGAGTGTGTTTGGGAAATGTCCCGCCCCTTACCATAACCCCCAGTTTCAACACACTACTAACTAACTCAACCAGGCCCCGCCCCTTTATTCTGCGTATGAATTATTTAAATGAGGAATGTATATTGTGACGTTCCCGGAAGAAAACTCAAGACTACAATGAAGTTCAGATTCAGAAACAGTGACACTGATATAGAGAATAACTCCCGCTGGAGGGACATTACACTGTAAAGAAAGATGAACATGTAAAAAAGGATAATAGGTCGTTTTAAGGAGTGTTGGCAGAGCGCCTGATTCTGCAAAAGGGAATCATATTTCTTGGTCTTTACACCGCCCTGCATGCAAACCAATCATTGCAACTAACTAATCCTACGAGATACGCTTTCCATTTTAGTCCTTCTGTTTCACATTTGGCAAACATGCATTGCGGGTTGAAATCATATCCGAAATTAGCTTAGCTGGACACTTGGGCTTCAATGTGGTGAAGATGTCAGCAGATCTAAGCTCTATAGTGAGGACGGTTCAACACATGGGGCCTAATTATAGGAGTCATTGGGCGTGCAAAGGCTCCCTTTACACCTGTGTTTTCCGTGATCGGATTTACGATCGAATCTCACTGAGATTCACACAGTAAGTGACTGTGAACTGTGAACTTGAAGCCTATTCAGAGGTGGTCTGGGATGGATTTAATGAAGGTATATTTGCAGTGCCTTTTCGTTATAGAGATTCAGCTTTGAATGAATGAGGTTTTATTCTGCTCTCACAATGTGAAGGAGAACACTCTGCTTCTGTAATTTACACACCTGCTTCAATCCACAATATACGATTATCAATCAAATTATTTCACTTGGAATCTTGTTTCTCACATTTCTCTTTCCACACAGAGCAACTTTTTAAATTCATAAATATGAGTTTATGAAAAATCACAATCACTTTGTTCCACTAAAATGTGTTTTGCCTTGTTGCTTGAATTCACAGCAGAAGCAGTTATTTAAACTTTTTGCTTTTTGGACAGGATTTTGTAGGGCTGGACTTGATTTTGTCCATTGGGAATTGATTGGATGGCTCTCTAACCCAGAATACATGTGGTTACTGAGCGGACAGCTGTCACTGAGTGTTGTGTTACATTTTGGTCCACACTTAAGGGTGAAAAAACCCCAATTCATGTCTTGGGACATATTTTATCTTCTCTCAGTGTGTGTGTGTGTGTGTGTGTGTGTGTGTGTGTGTGTGTGTGTAAACAACTATTTTTCGTCATCAAATTACATCAGCATTTTGTTGACCAAATGTTCATAATGGGTGAAATGCTCAATTTCGATGGCAGCTCAGATAACTTTTGCATTCATTATGGGCACAATTTGGAGTTTCTTTTAGTGCTACACTGAAAAAAAAATTGTAGAAACAAATTTCACTCAGAAATGGTAACATTATTTAACAATTAAATGCTGTTTTCTTGTAAAACATACTCCAATTGTCTATTTTATTTTGAACTTTAAAAAAAACTACTTTTTTTATAGTGTAGTACAAAATGAAACTAAGAATACCACAAGCTCTTGAAAATGATTATGCAATGCGAGTAAAGCAAACTGAATGTCAGTGTCCTCTGTGTGTTTCAGGCAGTTGTTGGGAATGAGGAGTGTGTGTCCGCACTGCTGGTGCATGGAGCCTTCGCTCTGTGCCGGGACGCTCATGGCAGAAGCCCTTTGCATTTGGCTTCCTCTTGTGGTCATGCGGGACTATTGCGGCCCTTACTGGATGCAGCGTCACTTTCAGACCCCCTTGACTCTCTGCTAGACTACAGTGCTTACACACCCACTCACTGCGCTGCTTACCATGGTAAAATCCCATTCTATAACCTTTAAGAAATACTAGAGCAATGGAGAAACATCAGTTGAGATTTATATCAATCAATGACAAATCTTTCATTTTCTACCTAAAATTAAAGTTGGCATGAAACGGAATGTGCTATTGTCTTTTCTTTCCTATTGTGACGTATACGAAAGTGAAGCGCTTCTGTAACAAGAACAAATGTGGGCGGGGCTTGAATTTGTCTGAGGAACTGATTGGATGGTTGTGGTTTGCTATTGGCTGATCTCATGTGAGTGACAGGTTATAGCCCCGCCCTCGTCATCAGAGAAGAAAAGATGCTGCAAGAGGGAGGGGAAGTTATTTTAATCAAAGATTATGAAGGCACATGAATTTAAAAATAACAATAATGATGTGCACGGATAAATCATTAATAAGAAATACTGCAATATTCCATAAAAAACAAGAATTGTCTAATTTGATTTCATGGTGAGTTTAAAGAAACATACTGTATTTACAAGTCATGTAAAAGTTTTTTTTTTTACACACAGGGCACAATGACTGTCTCGAAGTTTTACTTGAATATAGACCATCAAGCTTCCAGGAAGGAAATGCCTTCACACCATTGCACTGTGCACTGTGAGCGAACCTCTCCTGTCCATCTTCAGAAGCTTTCTGTTCAAAACACACATATTTCATGATGAGAACATTTCCTGTTTCTTCCTCCACAGAATCACTGGTCACGATGGTGCCGCTCAACTGCTTGTTGAAACTATAGGACCAAAGATCATGAACCTCAGAGATGCCAAAGGAAGGTGTGTGTGTGTGTGTGTCTGTTATAGTATAGTTAATATAGTTAGAGAGAGAAACTTGAATGGTTTACAGTGGGTCACAAACCACTTAGGATAAACAAGGGTCTCTTTTTAAAAGCTACTGTCAAAAAGCCACCGATATTTCAGAAAGATTATTATTATTCTAGGGCTGTTTTCGACTAAGGATTTTCATAGTCGAATCTGATTCGTGAATTTGCCGTAGTCGACTGATAGTCTAACCTTTTTTTTTTTTCTTTTTTTTTGATAGCTGCTAGATTTTTTCCATTTCAAACAAAAGAGCTAAAAAAAAACTAAAAGAAAAACATGGTGTGTAACAAATACCTTTTATTCATTTAAAGCCAGATGAACAAAACATATCACACATAGGCTATATCAAACATCAGAAAAGTTCACATAAAATAGGAACAAATTGGCTTCAAAAACAACAACGTGCCAAAACATGCTTTGTTTAAAATAAATCACACACAGTTAACAAAACCTTAAAGGGGTCATATAATGCCATTTTTGTACAAGCTAATATGATTCTTTAGGGTCTAAATTAAAAGTTTGTAATATACTTTAATTAAAAATTCTCATTAGTATTGTAAGAAAACACTTATTTTACCTGGTCAAAAACAGCTCTGTTTTCAGCACGCCGTTTCAGTGCATATGCCTTTAAATGATCATGAGCTGCGCTCACTCCGCCCCTCTGTTCTGCGCATACACCGTTTATAACACAATAACACAATAACCATAACGCGTTGTTCAGTATAAACGTGGAATTATGAATTATATTGAGAACGTCATATATAGAAAACATGCCGTAATGTACCCTGAGTGTAAACCTTAGACGCATTCATTGTGAAGCGTGCAGCTAGCGATTTGCAAAGATTAATATATTAATATAAAGTTTAATAAAACGTTTCACTCACTTCCGTTCTTCTGGAGGTTCAGCAGGAACACGAATATCTGGTACCGATCCTTTATTCAGGAGCAGCTTCTTAGCAAATCCAGCTTTATACTGACCCTCGTTTATAAAGCAGTCTGGTGTGTGAAATGATTCGCGCAACCATGAGAGCATTGACGTTGCTCGTGTGGAATATTCCCTTCGAAAACAAAACTCAGCCACTGCGTCTTCAGCGGTTCGGATTCAGGAACATTAAAATGACTGTGTTCGTTATTACACCCAAGAACAGAACACCACAATCGCTTAGACACCATTCTGCTCATAGACAGTGCTCCGGCACATCAACAATGACCGCGCCGGTCCGCGCCGCGCAGACTATGATTGACAGCTACCTCATGTGCGAGGGCGGGTCTGTGTTGAAACGCTCCCGTCAATCAACAATCGTGGGAGGGGCTTCCGTTTTATTGACGTCACAAAAACGAACGGCTCGATTTGAGGCAGGGGAAAACATATAAGGAGATTAAAACAAAACCACTGGATGGATTTTTATCATTATATGATGTTTGTGTACAGGCACTGCCAACACACATTTCAGTACTATCAACTTGTAAAAGTGCATGTACCATTATATGACCCCTTTAACAAAAAAACATTGCGCAAAAAGACGCGCAAACTGCATGCCGGTGCGGTGAGACGTAGCCTACACGCTCGGGCAGATTCGGCTTGAAGTCGTTCATCCTCGGATGCGGCGTTACGTGCGCCGTTACAAAAAAAGCTGTGCACACAGCCAAGCGAAATGGGGTCTTGCCGGTCTTGCGCACCCAACGCGTCATATTTTGCCGTGCGCACCTTCGCGCTCGTTCGGACGCGTCGAGTATAAACGCTAGTTACGTATGTAACTGTGGTTCTGTGAATTCCGGATGACCGCCAGAGGCAGTGCAAAGCACTAGTGGATAATCGCTGCGCCAGCTAGATAGATCGAGAAGAATATAACAACAAAGTCACGTCATGACGCAGACCGAGACGCGAGGATATAACCCACAGCGACTCGGTGCCCAGCCTCAGAATGCTTTCTCGCGCATTCCGAGTGACGAGGGACTCTGGCGGTCATCCGGAATTCACAGAACCACAGTTACATACGTAACTAGCGTTCTGTTTCATTGCTACTGACCGCCAGAGGCAGTGCAAAGCACTAGTGGATGACGCATACCAACACGGTCATGAGGAATGCCACCCACCTGCAAACATCAGGGTTGCTCCAGAAGGACTGCAGAGCTCACATCATGGGAAGCAGCCACGTTAACCTTGTAGAACCGCGCGAAGGTGCATGGAGAAGACCAGGTAGCAGCTTCGCAGACATCCGCCAAGGGAACTCCCCGTAAAGTGGCCCAAGACGAAGACACGGCCCTAGTGGAGTGACAAGTAACACCCACTGGTAAGGGCTGATGAGATTTATTATACGCCAACTTTATCGTCTCAACAATCCAGCGTGATAATCTCTGTTTGGACAAAGGTGCACCCTTGTGTACCTCACCATAACAAACAAACAACTGATCCGTCTGTCTAAAAGAAGCGGTAGACTTAACATACAGCTAACGGCTCAAATGGTGGTGTACAAAGGGACTCTAGAACAAGCGGTAAGTCCCACACAGGAAAGGGAGTAGAACGAACGGGCTTTAAACGCCTCAGAAAACTACAAACAAGGTTATGAGACCCAAGGGAAGCACCAGCAACCGGGTCATGATAAGCAGATATGGCAGTAACATAAACTTTTAAAGTGGAGGCCGCCCTGTTGTCAACAAATAGATGCTGCAGGAAACTCAAAACTGTCGGCACAGTACAGTGAACTGGGTCAATTCCTTGATCCCCACACCAAGAAGAAAATATTCTCCAATGAGCAGCATAAAGTTGTCATGTCGAAGGAGCCCTAGCGTTGCCGATAGTGTTCACTACTGCTGGTTCACAATCCATTAACTGTGATCTGGACCCAAGGGCCAAACCCAGAGCTGAAGACGAGTTGGATCTGGGTGCCAAACACGGCCGTGCATCTGAGAAAGAAGGTCCCGTCTGGTGGGAAGCTGCCATGGTTCGCCTTGTAACAGACTCAGAAGGAGAGGAAACCATAGCCTGGATGGCCATCGAGGTGCCACTAAAAGCACCCTGTGCTTGTATAGGAATATACGATGTAATGTTTCCCACAGAAGTGGAAATGGAGGGAACGCATACAACAGGCAACTCGGCCACTTGTGGGCTAATGCATCCTGTCCCAATGGGCTGGACGTCTCGGTTCTCGCAAACCACCAGCAGCAATGAGTGGTCATTACCGATGCAAACAGGTCGACCTCTGCCTTGCCAAACCGTCGCCAAATCAACTGTACTACATCCGGGTGAAGTCTCCATTCCCCGGGAGCAGCAGATCCCTGGACAGAGCATCCGCCACTTGATTGTCCAATCCCGGAAGATGAACTGCCCTTAATGAGGCCAGCCGGCCCTAAGACCATGTGAGGATCTTGCGAGTTAGCAGTAAAGACGCAAGAGACCTGGTGCCGCCCTGATGATTCAAATGAAAGACCGTCGACGTGTTGTCGGACCGGACAAGCACATGACGACCCATCAGGTTTGGTAAGAAGTGTTGTAGAGCTAAGTACACTGCCTTCAGCTCAAGGACGTTGATATGTTCTAAGGCCTCCCTGGGTGACCAGTGACCACCAATTCCCCTCTGGTTCCACGTTGCCCCCCATCCTGTTAGTGAAGCATCGGTCGTGATCACTTCCCGACGGGAGGACACCACCCCTAGAGGCACACCGGCTTTCAGAAATGTTACCTTTTTCCTGGGTTTCAATGCACGGACACAGGCAGGCGAAACGACAATCATGCGATGGTGATGTCTCGCTGAATCTAGCCCTAAGCTGTTGCTCCACCTCTGAAGAGGCCTGAGGTGAAGCAAGCCCAAGGGGATCACAGATGTGGCGGCGGCTAACATCCCCATTAGTTGCAGAAGGACGCCATAAGGCAGTTTTGTCCCCTGACCGAAACGAGTCAGTAACTGACAAATATTGTCTGTCCGTGCGTGAGACAATGTGGCAGACATTATGATTGAATTGAGTGTTATTCCTATAAAGGTTATGGTCTGTTGTGGGACCAGATGACTCTTTGTGTCGTTCACAGTAAGGCCCAACCTCTGGATATGCTCTAGCACAATCCTGGTGTTGTGTAACGCATGTCGTATTGTTGGGGCACAGAGCAGCCAATCGTCTAAATAGGGCAGAATCCTCATGCCCTTGGACCAAAGAGAAGACAGGGCCGCACTCATGCATATTGTGAAAACACCAGGAGCCAGAGATAGACCGAATGGTAGAACTCTGAACTGATAGGCTTGATTCTGAAAGCTGAATATTAGGAACTTCCTGTGGTGAGGAGCAACGGGAACATGGAAGTAAGCGTCCTTCAAGTCCACACTCATAAACCAGTCTCCTTTCGTCACAGATCGAAGAACGTCGACTGTGCGTAACATTCGGAAAGGAAGAGACTTCAAGAACACGTTTAGGCGTCTCAGGTCTAGAACTGGGCGAAAACCGCCATCTTTTTTTGGAACAAGGAAGTACGTGGAGTAAAACCCGTCCCTCTGACTGAGGGGAATAACTTTTTCTATGGCTCCTTTCAGTAACAGTGAATGAATTTCTAAGGAAAGGGCCATTGAACTGGTTACATCTTTGACTACTGTCGGAAAGATTCCTGAAAACTTGGGAGGCCGGCATCGGAATTGCAGAGTGTATCCCCTGCTCAAAGTCGCCAGAACCCAGGGGTCGGACACTGAATTTGCCCAGTAAGGGAGATGCTGCACAGTGAAACGACCAACCGCCGGCCCCATAGCTTCAGGGTTTCTGGCCTCTGCCTTTAGGACCCATGGGGGGGCGCTGACGTGGTCTCCCCTGCTGGTGACGATGAAAAGGGCGGCGTCCCTGGGCCTCCTCAGCCCCTCTATGTCGCTGTGGAGCCTGAAGCTGAGAAATGTTCTGCTGTCGCACTTGGTGCTCTGAGCCCGGATAGCGTGGGTGAGCCGGAGTCAGAGGCATTCTAAAAGGTGGTGCTCGTGGAACCAGAGTCAGTTGTCGTGTGGCTTCTGACAACTTCATTCTCTTCTCCAATACCTCAGAAACATTGGGGCCAAAAAGATGTCCTGGTAGAATTGGCAGTTCTCTCAGCGTCTTCTTACAGTCTTCAGGCAACCTTGCCTGAGCAAGCCATACCTGACGCCGGGCTGTTAGAAGGGTCGCTGAAAGTGTCCCAAGTTCCAGAGTCACATGACCCATAGTCAACAGAGCCGTCTCTAAGAACTGAAATCTAGAAGCGTCAACGCTTGCTGACTCTACTGTATTATTGCAGGCAAGAAGCAGCTGGCAGATAGTATTCTCAGCTCGAGTTATATAGGCTACCGACTCGTATGCCTTCTTCAATAAAGTATCAGTACGTCCACATTGTGCACTCGGGCAGTGTACATTGCCTCTTAGAGCCTCATCTGGTGATACCACCAAAGCTGCAACCGGCTGTTCAAGTTCAGGCACCCGTCCTACCCCAATGGAGTCAGCCTCAGCCATTGCGGCAAGAGTGCGGGCTGTCTTTGACCTCCTCTTAGGCACATTGGGACTGGTAAGTGCACTAGAGAATTCTGTCACAAAATCCTTACACGGTGGCATTGTGAACACATTACTATCAGCAGCTTGTCTGAAGAACACATTGGTTTGAATGGGTTGGACAGGTGATTTGTCAAGACCCAAACGAGCCACTGCCATCTGCAGAACAGACAACACATCGTCTGGAGCAGATGGGCCTGCGCCCGATGAATGTACAGAACCACCGCTCGAACCACCTGTAGCATATAGGTTAGAAAAAACATAGTTTGGGAGGGTGGGTTGTATGGCAGGTTCCACCGATTCTGCATCAAGAAAATGTGAATTAGACGCACTCATGGAGAGAGCGTCAAAATCTATAGCATGTGGAGGTTGTAAATCACTCTCATCCACTGGTGTGTTCTCAGTGTGTGGGGCCGACACTGGGGGTTGTAAAGACTGAAGAAGACGTTTCATCTCCATCATTTCTGAAGAGAGAGAAGCTACAGTCTTCGATAACAAGTGTTCTGAAGTGTCTTTCTGTACAGATTTCTTCTTGCTCGGTGGAGCGCCAGCAGCTGCTGACGCGGCTGTTGTGCGAGGCTAACAGGCGAGTTCATGTCTAACTCAGCAAGGCGAAGCTGTCTCTCTGACATCGGTAGCATACTACAATGCAAACACAGATTAGTCAGGGCCTCCTTCAGATGTTGAGCTCCTAAACATGATGGGCATCGATCGTGTCCGTCGTCGGGAAGAAGCGTATTCGGACACAACTTACAACTTGAAACGGAGATGAGAGAGCTATGATCCATGACTCCGTCAATAAAACGTCCTCGGTTAGCACCGTAGGCACTTAAAACTGTAATAACACCCACTGAGCAGTTCGAAAAAATCTTCGGATAGAACCGAAAATGATATAACATGAAACGCTCTCACAAGTAACGTAAAAGTCAAGTCTGCCTTCGGATAGAACCGCGAGGCATTCAATGACTAACACAATAACGTAACGTAAGTCAAGTCTGCCTTCGGATAGAACCGCGAGGCATGATAACATAAAAATATATATAGATATAACAGATATAACGTTTTAGGTTTGCGGTGAACGCAACCTAAGCGCGGTCGAAACCAGCCACCGGATAGTACCGTGAAGCACAGAGTATCGCCGACACAATAACAAATATTCGCATGCACTCACATAGTGAAGAAAAATAATCCAAGATATCCGTCCTGATGATAGTGTAGAGCGCGCTGTCACAGCTTGGGAGGGCGAATCCTCGCAACTCAGGTAAGCTGCACGGGACAGCGTGAAAAACAAACGACCTATCAAAAGCGAGAAAGCGAAAGAGGCTGGGCACCGAGTCGCTGTGGGTTATATCCTCGCGTCTCGGTCTGCGTCATGACGTGACTTTGTTGTTATATTCTTCTCGATCTATCTAGCTGGCGCAGCGATTATCCACTACTGCCTCTGGCGGTCAGTAGGAATGAAACAGAACAAGGCTTTACTCCGTGTCAGCACGCGCTCTGATCGGTAAAGGTGCACAGACCTCTCCCGAATCATCTCCAGCACTCAGCCTCCGATCGCACCACTAACTCCGCCTCCGCTTCCCTCGTAAGATGATATTAGTATTTAAACATTCTCTATGATAAAAAATGTTTGTAAAAAATATTTTAATAGCACGGTTTTGGTGGTTATAGAGTTCTAATGACGGTGTTCAACTATAACCGTTGGTCTCACAGTTGTATAATAACCGTCACACCCCTATTGGTTACATAACACTTCCCTACTATTCGACTATGAGGTTCATAGTCGAATCAGACCTCTCCGAATCGAATCGTCGAATCCTCGACTATTAGAAGTCAGCCCTATTATTATCCATTTTTAATTTTTGGGGATATTCCCTTTCATGGAGTGTGTAATAGAGCTGTTTGTGACTGTAAAAGATCTGCAAAGTTTCACAGATCAAAGTGCAGATAAATGGAGTTTTTGTCTCCCGAAAGAAAGAAGTGATTCTGAACTGAAACGAGTCGTCAGTATTTCCAGTCTGACTTCCTGCTGAATCTGCGCAGGTCTGTAACATATTTGCATAATGCCAGTCTATGTTCTTCATCGGCTGCCGTGAACAACGTCTACTTTGACCCTCAAACACTGTAGTTGTATCTGAGACTGGAAGAGTTTGGCTCGTGTTGTTCATGTGGAGAAGACGCTGTTTTCTGCTCACAAAGCAAATCCACTTTGATGAGATTGAAACGGTAAAACCGACACCATCGTTACTGTTCGTATCACTGAGTATCAAGAGCTGAGGAAGATCCAGAGCTGAAACTCAGATATGATAATGAGGGTTTAGTTTCTGACACGGATGACCAATCACAGCAGACTGAGTTATCTGACCAATCAGAGCAGAGCAGCTCTCAGAGAGGCGGGGTTTAGAAAGACTGAATCCTTGATTGAACCGTTTCAGACACTGAGAGAAAAGAGCTGATGCTGCAATGGATATTATGAGAATGTTTTTTTTTTTTTAAATATATATATAATAGGAGCACTTTAATATTCTCAGTGTATTTTGTCTACAGGACTCCACTACATGCATCTGCACATGCAGGAAATACGGCAGCACTGCATCTGGCGTTGGCCTCCGGTTCAGATGTAAACTCAGTTGATTACACCGGACGCTCTGCATTAATGGTTGCTGCTGAAAATGGGCATACGTCTGCTGTCGGTTTGTATTGTTTTTATTGTCTAGTGCTTTCTGTTACCGTGTGTAGAGTGGTTGTGTGTTCCATTGATTTAAAAAGATGTTATCTTTCGTAGTCTTATTGATCTGCTCAAACCTTATTTGGTTCTAGACATCTTGCTTCATCAGTCCAGGGCGAACCTCTCACTTCTGGACATCGACAGAAACTCGGCACTTCACATGGCTTGTAGAAGAGTAATGTACCCTAGCTCTCATAGTGTCCTATATTACACCACATGTTCAGATTATCAGTGGCTACGTTTACATGCAACCAAATAATCCGTTAGTAATCGGATTGATGACTCAATCGGACTGTAAAGCCTTCATGTAAACGCCTAAATCGATCCGAAAGAAATTTCGATCGGATTGAAAGGGGTGGTTTGTTCATTTTCTAATCCGATCGAGAGGACATGTGAACACTTGATCGGATTGAAAACCAAAACCACAATGATGTAGAAATAGCGCAATGACGTATAACTTGTGTCATTGTGAATAAATGACACACTTAAATGAGTGTCCCGTCTTTCTAAAATTCTCCTTTCACTCCTCAGCCTCTGTGAAGTGGAGCAGGACAACGTCCCACCAGTCCTTGTTTCAGACTCTCATCCACAGACGACTGGTTTTGGGCATTTTTACAGCGTTATAAATATAAGCAGCACGACACAACAGTTCATATGCTCATTGTCTCCAAATTATGACCAGAAATGGATAAATATCAAGTGTGTTGTTTAAAACAAATAAAGAACCAATGTAAGAGAATGTTTATTATGCGCAAACAGCGGGAAACTCGTGCAAAAAATTATTCCGATTTGAAGATTGTGACATATAAACGCGCACATTAACCCGATCACATGTTTAGCATTCATGTAAACACTACATTCAGATTCATCAATCAAATTGCAAAACAAAAGTTGTGCATGTAAACACAGCCAATGATCATCACGCGTTTAACTCAACAGGGTCATGAAATGTGTGCTCTTCTCATTCTGGCTGAGATTGACGACCCCTCGCTCATCAATGCCACAAATAGTGCACTTCAAACGTGAGCATTCCCATATTATAAGTGTATGTGTGTGTTGATTGTTTGGTTATTTTCACAGTTGAGGTTTTTCTGTCTACACACCACTAGGCCTCTGCATATTGCAGCAAGAAATGGTCTTGCCACGGTGGTGGAGGTTCTGCTTACTCGAGGTGCAGCGCTTCTGGCCCTGGATGAAGATGGTGAGTTTCTCCATTGCCAAGCTAGAGCCAACAGAATTAACTTCCCAATAGTCATTAGTGTTGACTGATAGATTTAGTGTTTGAAGAGACTGTAGTTGCTCACCAATCGCTAGTGGAATTATCTTTTCTGGTTCACCATTTCTTTACATATATTGTGACTAGTTGTAAATCTTCTTGCATGTTAATGTAAGTTTTTGTCTCGATCATGACGAGCGACTTGTCATTCTGTCAGTCACTTGGTTTGTATTTCCATTTGAAGTCGGGTTGCCCGTCCAACAGTGGAATCTCATTTAAATCCCCAAATCCTGCTCAACACCGCTGAATTTTTCATGTCATGCAGCATGTTTGCTTTCAAAAATAAAGTTTACAGAAAAGTGTTCTTGATGCTTAAACTCATCATAGCCCCTTTCACACAGAGATTCCGGAAAATACACGGATAAAGCGATTGATTTTGGTTCATTCACACTGCCCGTGATTTTCCGGAATCAGAGAGTGCGTTCACACACAACCCGTAAAAAAAATCCCGTAAAGACACGTGACATCGATGTGACATATGTAATGTCTCAGCAGCGTGTACAGTTTGCTTATGAGCTGCGATTTCTCTCTGGAGAAACCACGCTTGTGCATTTTTTTCTCTGATTCGATCATAAACTAGCGCATTACGTACCGTTTCACTAGCCTGCTTTCACTTCACTTCAGCGTCATCATTACGACACGGCATTGGTTCTGGCTTTTGTTCACACAGAGCGCGTTCCGGGACTGATCCCGTCAATGTTACTAGGTCCCCAACCCGGCATCGATCCCGGGTCGTGTTTGAGTTCACACAGAAGGCGTTCTGGCAATTTCCCGGGATCAACGCGCTGTGTGAAAGGGGCTCATGTTGCCTGGTTAGGACTTAACTCATTTTTAAACTAGAAAAACAATGTGCATTTTTTTCTGTCTTCTTTAAATTCAGTATGTGTTGTGGAGAAACTAATTCAAAGTAGCAACCGTACTAACTTAATTATATTTTTCAGCCATAACTCAGCTGTTTTTAAAACTGGTTTCCAATAACAAAAGCCAAAATATTGTGAAAAAATGCTATATTGTACATTTCCAGCTAAAAGGGAACATTCTTGCAAAGATGTGAACAAATGTTCCTTCTCTAACACTAATAGAATGTTCATTCAAAGTTATCAGGTCTTTAATAATGTTCAAAAAACATTTGCACAAAAACATTGGTTACACTTTAAATTAGGGTCGAATTCTCACTATTAAAGCTGCAGTCCGTAGCTTTTTTAAGTAAAAAATAATCCAAAATAATTGTATTAAAAAAAAACGTATTCTGCCAGTGGTCAAAACTATCTGCTTGCCATAGCTAGATTCAAAACGGTTAGCTTGTAATAATGATTTTAATTCCAGTGGTACTGGTGGGTTTCCGCGGGAAATTCGAGCATGTCTTTGCGTCATTACGTCACACCCGTACACATAAAGAAGGAGTTTCGGCTAGCCGGCTATACTGCGCGTGACGAGATGTAGAGATAGGCTTTTCTCGCAGCACTTTACATAATTAAACTTATGGCATCCAGAAAGATCCAAACAACAATCATCGGTGTCAACTGGAGATTCAGCAGTTATAAAACCCAAAAGACTTCGTACTTCGGATTTAAGCTGGCTAGAGAAAGAGAAAGAAACCGTCTCATGCGAACACAAGGATTAAACATCGGCGGGGCTTTTGAAAAGTGCGTGAACTCCGTGTTTTGAAGGGGTTCAAAACGGAAGAAGAGACGGCTTTTTTCTGCTGAACAAGTAAGACATTTCAATAGTTCAATCGTGTAACAGTACGTTTTCTTAATTCACACAGTTATGGAGTTTCCTTTGTTGTGCCTTTCTCGTTTTGCTATTATGGAGAATATGAATTCTGAACTACACAGGTAACCATAAAACACATTAAATTTAACATTAGTCACGCAATGCTGATGTGATGTTGTTAACATGAACAATTTGAGAACAAAGTAGGCTATAATTTGCACGGTTGCTGTAAATCGCGTTAAATCTAACGAAGCTTATCATGTCAGAACAAAAATGGATGTTACTTACTTGTTCAGAAGACATTTTCTTATGAAAATTCTTATGTTGGTCAAACTTTCAAAAAGTGAATCTGTGATTTTGTATGACAGTATCCACACAGCGCGGTGACTGACAGCAGCACTCGCCTCAAAACACTGTGTTCATCCGCGCTGTTTCATGCCGATTTACAACCCACGTAAAGATGATAATTCCGCGAATCACTGCAGTTACAGATTTCGAACAGACAGATGGCGACAAAGAGGAAAAGATACGGACTGCAGCTTTAACTACGGTAGTTGCTATTTAGCATGCATATTATTAGTATATTGGCCTTTTTTTAGTACTTATAAAGCACATATTAATGCCTTATTCTGCATGACCATATTCTATATCCCTTAATCCACCCAATACCTAAACTTGACAACTACCTTACTAACTGTTCGGCAGTAATTAGGAGTTTACTGAGGCTAACTGGTAGCCTGGGAAAACCCAGACAACTTCCGGCAAATTTAGATTAGCTCTGAAAGTTAGTCTGGCAAAGAGCTCATTCAAGCCCATTTCCAATCCGCCGAAATCGAGGCACCAATCAGAAGCGTTTGGGCGGGATTTACACGATGACGACACTGCTGGGATTTTGAAGCAGATTTTGTAGCCTACATTACAAAGATGGATGCCGCCGTCGAACATCACTCGTTCCAATCAGCTATCGCGTCTGTTTTAAGCGATTTGAGCGTTTCCTTTTTGTTAAAAACCGAGCAAAGAACAACACTCGGAGATTCTCCGCCGCTCTGCATACGTCATCTCCTTCATCGCTCTGATTGGGTTTAGGTCTATCCGCGACGTCCGTTGGTGACGCCCCTCTGGAAATGATTTGTCTGACGCTTTGCCAGACCATAACTCAGTTACAACTGAGAATGATCTGGTTTTAACCAGGCTAGCTAACTGGACCATAAACTAAAGTGTGACCAAAACATCTCTGTCATTCATGGAATGTGTTTTATGAAACGCTTTAGTTGGGCTTTTGTCCAAAACTAAGAAATGTTACTACTTGTTTGGGAACGTTCAGAGAACATTCAAAAGTAACGGTCCCATAATGTTTTCAAAATAATAAAATAGGAATGTTCCTTTAAAAGTAAACACTAAAGAAGATATTCTGAAGAATATGGGTTACCAAACAGTTGATGGACTCCATAGTTATGGAAAAAATACTATGGAAGTCACTGGAGTCCATCAACTGTTTGGTAACCCATATTCTTCAGAATATCTTCTTTTGTGTTCAGCAGAAGAAAGAAACTCATACAGGTTTAGAACAACATCAGGACGAGTAATTGATGACCGAGTTGTAATATTTGGGTGAACTATCCCTTTAACGTTCGCATAACCAAGAAAAAGCATTTAAAAAAGTAAAATAATGAAATATGTTTTATAACGTTAGCAAAAAACACTTTTGTCAATAATTGACATGCTAGGATATCCTTACACAATACTTGTGTTTGAAATGTTTTCATAAGTATTTGCACACATTAATTGTGCCATGTTTTTAGGTCATACTCCAGCGTTGGCGTGCGCTCCAAATAAAGATGTGGCGGACTGCTTGGCTCTCATCATTTCCACTATGAAGCCTTTTTCTGCTGGCACCAGCTGTGGCATCAGTCTGATGAAGCACTGTGGCATTGCTGTATCCCATCAGCCCTTGTCCAACATACAACTGATTACAGAGGAACCGTAGGACTGAGTGAACACCACACTATATACCTTTAACAAACTGCACCGCTCCTTCCTATCCAGACTGAAGGTATTAGAATGTACTGTCTATTATACATCGCTACTGTTTTATCATCATGCAGTATAAACAGTAACATATTAATTTGTAGTGCAATAAATCTTTAACAAATGCCACCATTCCATTATATGCTGAATTCCTCCTTAATAACCAGCCATAGAAAGTCACTTCTATTATTAGAGTCCAACATCTACTACTGTTTTAGCATCATATAGTATACAAGGGCATAAATCTATTCATTTGTGGTTGCATGTGTGGGTACTATAAATATAACATTTTTTACAGTGCCGTCACTTTTATCTTAGCCTATTACTAAGATTTCCCAGCTTTCTTTGGACACTTTTTATGCAGAAATAACAATAGTTAGCCAACCTACAAACTCCTGACATGCCCCACAAAACACCTAAACGTCACAAAATAAAAGTTATGTATACTTGTCATCCTATTTTACAGGCATAAATACTGTAATTCATAACACCTTCTTTAGCACTTCAATTGCCTAAACAATACAAACTTAAATTAACTAAATAACACACAGGGTATCACTATTGCCGTTCATGTTTTAGTTGTAACACACAAAATAAAATGTTGTCAAGGTTGCACTGTGCTTTTTATTTATTTCAATCATCATTTATTGTTAGTAAACAGTTATAGTAGACTTTACCATCTGATACTATTAACTACAGTAGATTAGCACAATATGTTTTTAATTAAAACTAAAGAAAAAATTAAGTATTCTGATATAGAAGTGTCTTATTATAAATAATTATTTGCGATATTTGATTGTTTGCATGTCATAAGAAACTACTTTTGTTTTTTATATATATCAGCATATCTCCAAGTTATTTCCTCAACTTTTTCTTATCTAATCTGCTATTTTATGGCAGTAGGGCTGATCTGATTTGCCGCATTCATTTTAATAGCTCATCTTAGTGAAGTTCAGTAGATTTGTCACAAACAACTCAACAAAAGTTGAACCAATTTTCATAATAAATCTCCTTTTAATACTAAATATAAACTGGAAATGCATTACAATTATGCAGCACAGTTGTATGTTAATCATGATGGTATTTGCACTATGTAATCAATAACCATAGGGGTATTACAGAACTGATTGTTCCAGTCCTGGTTACTGGATTGGTCAAAACTGCATTGTAGCCATGAAAAAAAAATTAGCAATATTTTAATAGGTATGATGCAAAACACATGTTCACTATATCCCTGAGCAGCCCAGCTGATGTAACCATTTCATATAAGCAAAAAAACTAATTTCTGTGCTGTATTATGAATATAAACATGGTCAATGACGCACTTTTGACTATATTGACCTTGTTACTTATATATTTGAAAGAGGTCGAAGGTCTTATCTAGTCATCACACGGTTTGAGGTTCAAACCAGGGCCATGTGGCAGAAATGATGATGAATAATTTTTATAAATGTACAGGTTTCCAGGTCAAAGTCATTGGAAATCTACAAGGTGAAATTAATTATTGAGCAGATTCCCTGTGATTTAAGCCACAAGATTTCGCAGAGCAAAGGTAAATGTGAACGTGCCTATTATTACGGTCTCAAAATTGAGAGCATTAATGAGCAATCCAGAACAATTTTTTGTATGTTTATATTAAAACTGTCACAAAAATGTCTCATGTTTTTGTGTTCTTATTTATTTATTTGCATTGCTTCAGATATAAAACGACAATAATACAGTGACATACGGAGCCCCAAAGGGGACATGGTGATGAAAAAAATGAGATGCGAGAAAAAACAGTGTTTTAAATATTTAAAAACTATAAATTAATAAGTTTAATTAGTAGGGTCATAAAAAAACCGGACACCATTTTTGGCCAGTACTGTATATATTAAATGAAGGGAAAAAAAATCCTCTCATGCGGCGCCTTGGCACAAGGTTAGTCTGCGCCATTAGTCCATCCATTCCTCCACTTTGACCCATTCAGGCTGAGCGATTGTGGATATGATGGATTATCATGATCACATTAGCCACTATAGAGGCATAGCTTCTCACATGACTTTCCTCCTGTATTTCGCCTTCTCTCCTAACAGTCATGCCATGAACTAGAAACTCAATGTGAATGAAATGGGCTCAAAATAGGCTCTCAATCAGTGTTGCCCAGTCTGCGGTTTTCCCACGGAATTGGGCTACTTTTAAAGGGATACTCCACTTTTTTTTGGAAATAAGCTCATTTTACAACTCCCCCAGAGTTAAACTGTTGAGTTTTACCGTTTTTGAATCCATTCAGCCGATCTCCGGTTCTGGCGGTACCACTTTTAGCATAGCTTAGCATACATCATTGAAGTGGACAAGACCATTAGCATTTCTCAAAAAAAAATATCGATATTTTTCCTATTTAAAACTTGACTCTTCTGTAGTTACATCATGCATTAAGACCGACGGAAAATGTAAAGTTGCGATTTTCTAGGCTGGTATATAGGAACTATACTCTCATTCCTGCGTAATAATCAAGAAACTTTACTGCCGTACCATGAGTGCAGCAGGCGTAATGATATGACGCAGCGCCTGAAAATAGTCCCCAGCTCGGTAACTTCCAATGTGACCGGGACTAAGTGCCTGCGCCTGCTGCACTCATGGTACGGCAGTAAAGTTTCTTGATTACTACGCAGGAATGAGAGTATAGTTCCTAGCCATATCAGCCTAGAAAATCGCAACTTTACATTTTCCGTCGGTCTTAGTGCACGATGTAACTACAGAAGAGTCAAGTTTTAAATAGGAAAAATATCGAAACACTTTGGTCTTTTTTTTTGTTGAGAAATGCTAATGGTCTCGTCCACTTCAATGATGTATGCTAAGCTATGCTAAAAGTGGTACCGCCAGAAACCGGAGATCGGCTGAATGGATTCAAAAACGGTAAAACTCAACAGTTTACCTCTGGGGGAGTTGTAAAATGAGCCTATTTCAAAAAAAAGTGGAGTATCCCTTTAAGTTGTTGATTTTTTTATTTTTTTTATTCCGTCGGTTGAAAAAGTTTTAATGGTTGCATATTCATAATGGTTTAGGAGTTTTTACAGCTTCTTTTTATTAGGCTTTTCTGGTTCAAAACCCTGTGTGACTAACAACAATTACAATGGTAAGCACAATATACTGCACACGAAGTTAACATGGGTCTCATGGAGTGAAACTTCTGATTTAGGAATCCAAGCAGTTCCCAAATCAAATCATGATCACATAGTTTTCCATTTTTGGCTGGAAAAAAATGTAGCTTGCTAAAAAAATGTCATGTGTTCCCAAACACCTACTTTTCTAGCTCGTCGTAGGACGCTCATCTAATTTTCACGAAAATCTTCAGGTTTGTCCAATCTTTTTTTAATAATAATAATGTTTTATTTATATAGCGCCTTTCAAGTATCCAAGGACACTTACAAGAAAATACAGAAGTACAAGCAAAGTATTGTACAGCAATCAGGACAAGCAGTCAAACATGTAAACATACAGCATGGCAGATAATGACTTCAGTATTGAAATTTCAGAAAGGGGAACCAATCAGTTGCAAAACTATGTGAATAAATTAGTTTTTGAGGTCTGTAGTGATGAGACGGATGAGATTCTGAATGCCCAAAAGTTGACAGTTTGAACTTTGGTAAAACAATCAGGGGTGCGTTTCCCAAAACCATAGTTGCTAACTAAGTTAGTAACTTTGTTGGTTGCAATGCAATTTCCCATTGCCAACCAACTAAGTGGTTTTGGGAAACGCACCCCAGGTTGGCTAAACTAGAATGAAGTCTTGAAGGTGAGGGTAGATATGAAGGTGCTAAACCATGACGGGCCTTATAAAGTAAGACTAGTAGTTTGAACAATGCAATAGGGAGCCAGTGTAGTTGAAGGATTGGAGTGATGTGAGCAGATGTAAGGGCATGAGCAGCAGAGTTTTGTAGCATTTGCAGGCGATTAAGGCCACTAAATGACCATATAATGATATGGCCAAGAGGAAGCATATAAATTGAAAATAGTAGTGGACCAAGAACCGAACCTTGAGGTACACCACGGGAGATCGTGATTTGTTAATGCAAATTAATTGTCTATCCGAGATATGAAGTTATACACTGAAGGAAAAAGCAGTACTGAATGGTAAACAGTATCAAATGCTGAACTCAGATCCAGGAGAACCAAGAGGCTGATGTCCCGTGTCAGAGGCCAGGAGAAGGTCATTTACCTCTCTTAAAACAGACTGAAACGGTTCATGCAGGTTATGTTTATCCAAGTGAGACTGCAATTGTGTGACAACCACCTTTTAAGTTCTTTAGCTAGAAAAGGAAGATTTGATATGGGTCTAAAGTTACTCGGGTCTATGTTATAAAGACCTGGTTTCTTACTGTACTGGAGTGATAGCAGCTATTTTTAGACCAAGCGGATCATAACCAGTAGCAAGGGATGTGTTTAGGTCAAATGAGAGCAGGCAAGAAGTTTTTGAGTAAATGAGTTGGAATTGGGTCATGTTGACAGGAAGAGGAATCAAATGTATTAGTAGTTAAGGTTGGGAGACGGTGGACAGACTGAGAAGAAGAAAAATCTGTAGGAACAGATGGTGGAAAAGCTATTGTCAATGTGATGTAGGAGGAAAAAAGTTTCACAAAGCTCAATAGAGCCAATAATTGTAGAAGATGATGGTTTGACAAGCTTGTTAATCGCAGAGAAAAGAGTCCTGGGTTTACACTTTGCTTCATTAATAAGACTGAAAGGTAGGTAGAGCGTGTGAATAAGCGATAGCAAGTCGTTCAATACGCCTACCCTTAGCTTTCATTGCTCTACGTTCAGGGGGGAATCATGGGGAGGAATGATTTGAGGGGACAGTCCTTGTTTTTAATGGGGCAAGTTTCTCCAAGGCATTAGATATAGTCATTTATATATTGAAATAATCTCACCGGGACAAGAGAGATTGAGAGAGAATGGCAGAGAGGAAGCAACAATAACAGTAGAGAATTTATCATTTTAATTTATAGACGTGCAATTTTTTAGAACTTCTGAGAAACCTAATTTCTAGTTTTAGAGGGCACAATAACTTACAAATCTTGACAATTGTCCTCACTTTATCCACATTTTCCATCCGCTAGGAACCTGCTTATTGATGCTTGTTTTTGGCATATTTTAGCTGACAAAATTGCCATTTTAAAAATTTCTGAATAAGATTAATGTCGAAACTGATAATCAAAAGTTGACGAACAATCGGAAGTTGGGCTAAAAACTATAATAGTTTAGTGTGTCCATTCTGAGACGGTGAAACAATTTGAGAAACTTGTTCACTAATTGAGAAATACATCATAAAATATGTGAGATTAAAAGACTGGAGTTAAACCAACATACATGAAAGCATGAAGTTCAAAGTTTATCAACACATGTCGTCAGATGAGACATGACAAATAGCTGCTCGCCAAAACCATTTTGAAATGATTATGTTGCTCCATTACTAAACTAAATCATCTTTTGACTGTTCGCCGCGTCTCCTTGCCGTTGCTTACAGAAGTTCCCCCCACACCAGGACTCGGTGTCGACCGGTTCCCGTTTCCACCACTCGCTCGTCCAGCCGGCTGTGGGTTAGTGGAGTTTCCAGAGCTTTGAGAATTCACCCCGTTTCCATTGGGAGTGTCATTACCTTCAAAGAGTAAAAAAAAAAAAGTCAAGTATATTGAATGAATATATGAATACATTACATGAACATTTTAGTTCAGGGTCCAATTCTCACTATTAACTAGTTGTTTATTAGCATGCATATTACTAGGACATTGGCTGTTTATTAGTACTTATAAAGCACATATTAATGCCTTATTCTGCATGACCATATTCTATATCCCTTAATCCACCCAATACCTAAACTTTACAACTACCTTACTAACTGTTCGGCAGTAATTAGGAGTTTACTGAGGCTAAAGTCGTAGTTGGTAGTTAATATTGCGAATTGGACCCAACTAGGGTCCCGAAATGTGCTTTAATTCTTACAAAGGAAAAAAAAAATCAAGCTAGTGGTTCAGTGCAAAAAGCACTTGCCACACTATATAGTTATACCTGCATTGGCTCCAGTGCTGCTGTTCAGGTTGCTCTGGTCATTCAGTCCCTGACAGGTAACAAGAAGAAAGTCAATTACCATGACCAGTGGTTAATTGTTTTCTTTTGTTTTTAATAGTGAATAGGTTCATTTTTTTATAAGGCCATATGATGCTCAACGTTTTCCTTTTCCTTGTAAGTTGTGGGCCACCATTGACTTCCATAGTGCTTTCTTTTTTCAATGGTGCCCCACAAATGGTTGGTTGCAAACGTTCTTCAAAATATGTTCTTTTGTGCAGAACAAATACATGTATACAGGTTTGGAACAACTTGAGGGTGAGTAAATGATGACAATTTAAATTTTTGGGTGAACTAACATCACTTTAATTCTATTTAACAGAGAATTGGGAACACTTGAGGCCTAAAACGCCCTGATCGAAGTTCAGATATTACTTCTGCCAATGTCTATGTCACAGTGTGATATATTAGCATAATGCCCGCCTAAAGGCTTTCAGAAGTTAATCAGAGGTAAAGATTTACTTATAAAGCCATTCCAGAGAAATACAACCCAAAACTGTGATTTGTATATGTACTTTTCTGAAATCCATAACTTGGACACAGTCACCTCTGATAACAGATCACTCTAAATTGTAATGTGGACTCGTGCATTTTCTGTAAAGCTGCTTTGAAGCTAAATGTATTGTGAAAAGCGCTTTACAAATAAATGTGAATTGAATTGAACAGTCAGGGGCATTACATTTCCGACACTAGCTTCAGATGTTTGACCAATCACAATGCACTGGGTCAGCTGGCCAATCAGAGCACTTTTCGGGAACACAATCAGTGAATTTCAGACAGACTGGGAACAGAATTGCTGCAAAAATGTACAGTATGTGAAAAATAATGTGGTTTTTTTAACATTAAAGTATATTAACCCATTCTAGTACACACAATAAACAAAATAATGTACTTTTAAAAAAGCATCATATGCCCTCTTTAAGATAGAAATCCACAGAAATAAATCTAGAAGACGTACCGTTTTATTAATCTGGGACAGATATTCTGGATTTGGCTCACTAAAGTTTGGCACCTCAGAATACACCATGCAGAATCTTACAAATTGGATACAAACACATTAATTTATTCACAATTGATATATATATATTTAATGCAATACAATAGTCCCCCCCAACGATAACTATACTTCCATTGCAAAAATATTAGGGGTGTCACAATATATCCCAATACAAAAATGCAACAATATGTATTGTGGATAGTTAGTGTCAGTAGTACTACATTAAACCACTATATATAATGTTGAATGTATAATAATGCAATGGGGGAATATTTGTGTGTCCTGATAATGCCATGTGTCTTATGTTACCAGTAAAAAGTGGCCTACATTATTTTAAATATATCTAGTCAGTGCAAGCATATTCGTCTAAAATAATTCTGTATTTTCAGCTTCAGAAGCATGAATATTGTTATTCTGGTGTCTCTATTGTCCTGTGCTTTGGGTTTCCAGCACCAAGACCAACCCTATTAATTTACACACACAATGTAACACCAAATTTAGCATTTTTATCAACAGTACATTTTTTTTTACATGTCTTGGAGTATCACAATAATATCGTATTATGAGTTCAGTATCGTGATATGTATCGTATCGTTACACCCCTAAAAAAATATGGGTAACGCTTCCTTTTAAGGTCCTGTTACCATTGTACATACTACATACTATGTACTTATTATAGTAATTATAATTACTGGGTAATAACTAGGTACTAACCCTGAACCTACCCCTAACCCATGTACTTACCTTATATTAGCCAGTACTTTCTAGGTAAGTACACTGTAAGTACACGTAAGTACTGTACTGTAAAAGGAAGCGTTACCCAATTATGAATGATTAAATAAAATGATTGATGATTAAAACTTACTCTCCAATCTTCTGTAGTTCACCTCCTCTTCCAGTGTACAGTGTCAAACAGCCTTTAAAAACTGAGGCGTAACTGCAGCAAAATACAAATATAGACAGTTCTGTAGACTGTAAAACATTTATGCTGGTATATGATCTTTTACTGTAAAATCAAGTATTTTGCACTATGATTGACTGTTCATTTGAGGTAGAATAACTGTCTTTTGAGCATAGAAGCCTTTCAATGTGCATCACTGATATGAAACGCAGTCTCACCCTTTGGTAAGTCTGATGATGTCACCAGCCTGAATGAGTCCACCGACTTCATCCCAAACCGATATGCTGATGCTGCCCGTCTTGTCGGCCACTTTACACGTGCGCACCTCATGACCGTCTTTGGTCTTCGTCACTCGTCCTTGAAGAAGATGGCGTGAGAGAAGATTCAGAGTTCAGACACTTTAGACTATTATTAGCTGATAAATATGTGTTATAGAAGGCCTGAACGGTGTATCGTAATAAACAACCGTTGGGGTTTAAGTAATAGAACACACTCCACCGACCCTGTGTCTGTTTCATGTTCTTGTTTGTGGAAATTCATGAACATACACAATATTAAAGGTCCAATAAAGAGAAGCGCCTTTGCCTTCAGCTAATGTTAATGCAACCAGGTAAAGTCCTATTTTAATATATAAGGTAAGTTACCTTATTATAATAAGCCCTATTTTATATAAATGTATACATTACATGTGAAATTTGAAGTTTCTAGCATTTCAGAAAAAAAAACGTATTAAACATTTACCATCTGAATAACATCGTTTTTTCTGTTTATTAGAGTAAAGCTATAATCTGTATTGCATAACGTATTATGGACACTTTTTTACTTTAGTGTCAGTTTACTTACTAAAAAAACACATATTTGGATTTGGGAAACACACAGTCAAGTGTGTCGAAACTTTTATATGACCGTATTTTGAATATGATAATAACACAGAACTAAAACCAGTATTGTTGGCTCCTGTATGATCAATTGTTTGTGGTTTAAGGTTAACGCAGAGTTAACTGATTGTCTTATTTAGTGTCACTAGCATCATGTGATGTGTTGTTTGGACACCTGTTTCCAGCACGATGAAGATGACATTGAGATTCTTGAGTCCAGGTTTAATGTCCTTCACATGAGTCTCTGTGCTCATGATCAGTCTGCTTCTGCCCAAATCCTGCAAAACCTGATGCACATCATGCCAGTCCACATCTGATGCATTTTACACTCAGCATTTCAAATCACATGCAAGACAGTTATAATTAAAGATGCATGCATGCAAACAACTTTTTGGCAAACTATCTGTGATGAAGCATGCACGTGCGACACTGACAGCTCATCAACAATATTAAACACACCACAGGAAACTAATGAAAACACTTACTGGTTAGCATTGAGCTACGGTTGCACGGACTGTTTTAAAGGTAACGTTAGCCTACTGTTTCTCGTCATCTGCTACGCTTTGTGTGAACAATCCGGAATAGACTCGCTGCTCGTAATAGGAATTAAAACACTGAATGTTCTGACAGCTGTCAATCATCACAGTTTATCTGGACAGTCAACTACCGTTTACAGTGGTTGACGTATTTTTTATTTTTTTGAAACGTCATGACGCAATGTTTTCCGTACGTTATGACGTAGTTATCCGCACGTAGTTATCCGATCTGCACAGAACAGAACATGAAAGTTGAATTATCTGGAATAGTTAAATGAAAATGGGTCAAAATTATGTGGAAATATTCAGCGTAATCCGGGACACTGCTGGTTTGCCCTCCTTGTAAACTATATGTAATGCGCATGCGTGGTGGTAATCCACCTAAAATAATTATTTTGAATTTGACGCGTTGTAGGGTGTGATTTAATCCCATACATTTCTTATCCGGGATAATTTTCGACTTTTAAAAGGTAAGGATTCTTTTAAATAAATGTGTTGGATGCCTTTTAAAATAGTTGTTATATGAATTCTATAGAAATATAATTCTAATTATCGTAATGAACGCCGCGTTTATTTATTTAAAAGATAATTCAAAGTCTTCTTTAAATTAGTTTATTTAGTTAATAGTTTAATAGTTTTTTTTGTGGGCTGAATTTGAGATTAGATTAGCATTTGTTCAGCACTCAATTTTCACGTAAAACTATAACTAAATGTGTATGCTAGCAGCTAATACATGTGTTTATTTGCTTGTTTTGGTCATCTACCGTGGCTGAACAGTAACTTTCAGTACAGTAAATTTACTATAGCTCATAATCACTCACTTGTGGAAATAATGATAGTTTTTCAGCACTATAATCAAACACCTTTTTGATAAATAAACATGCACCTGGCACATTTATCAGATTTCTATAGTATCTTTATAGGTATGTACATCCATATATTCATCATGCATTTTGACCTCTCCGTCCTAATTTCACAGGTTAAGAGTGACGTAGGACAAACAAAATGGCCACAGAATCTGATTTAGTAAATGAGATTAACCCTGTTGACTTCATTCATCTGCTGGAGTATTTAGAGTGTAAGTGTCTTTCATAAACATTACGGGACTCATTCTTCATTTCCAGATAACTAAAGTGCATTAACTACAAAATTAGTTGTTCCAATTTAGCAGACTTTTAAGTATATCAATTTAGTATACTAAAAGAACAATTGTCAATTGCAGGATATTTATATTAAGAACATAAATATATAAATCTATTTGTAGTATACTTAGCATAAAATAAATGTTTTTCAAATTCATTTTTGTATATTTATTTTTCACTCGGGAAGATAAATCATGGAACAGAATATTATAAGTTAAATGTATGACAAAAGGTTTTCATTTTTAAAATGTACAAATCTTGTTGTTGTTGTTTTGTTTTAAACTTCCTAGATAGCAGGATAAAGGCGAAAGATGCGATGAAGGATTTTCATGCCGGTGGAAAGCTGGTCCATCACAGGTTTGGTGATGTAAGCTGAACACTTTCTACTGGCTTAGTACTTAATTTCTCCATAAATGATGGAATCATCTCAGTTTCAAACATGAAATGTGAAATGTGACTTTTTGATGTTTTGGTTAAATTTATAACTTATAAACTGTGTTCATGGAATAGATCAACCAAAAATAATCCCAAAATCACACAAATTAAATAAAAAAAATAATACTATGTCATCATTAAAGGGTTATTTAACCCAAAAATTTAAATTCTGTCATTACTCACCATCATGTCGTCGGTTCAAACTTGTCTTTCGTTCATCTTCAGAACACAAATGAAGATCTTTTTGATGTAATCTGAGAGATTTCTGTCCCTCCATTGACAGATACACAACTACCACTTTGACGCTTCAAAAAGTTCAAATAAGAGTTCGTAAAACTAATCCATTATGAATTGAGCAGTTTAGTCCAACATTTCTGAAGAGACACAGTCGCTTTATAAGATCATAAGATGTGCAGGTATATGATCTAACTGTTATGGCTCATGGGTTAGGAGAATAAGTTGACATGTAGTTGTAAAGTTACTTATAGTTGTAAGGCCTGCTCAATCGGTCCTAACCGTTACTAACCTGAGCGTAAACTTATGGTGTAATGGACTTAACTCAATCATTTCAGAGTAAGTCGGAACGAATCCCAATGTAACAATTTATTATAAGTCAGGTAAATGTATCATGCCAATTACATAATTCAAAATAGTCAATACAATAACATCAAATGCTCCGAGATAAAGAGTAAAAGATGTTCCTGACTCAGGAAACACATAATGCTGAATGTCTGAACAACACTCAGCGTTATGGGCTGATCTCATTACAAATCGCCCCGAGCCTCTGAAGACATTTCTTTATATACTCAGACTCAGACCAAGACAAAACATCCCCCAATGTGAGGAATGAACTTACAATAGGAGTTTGCACACCTTGTCGAGGAACAGGAGGTAGTTTGGAGGAAGGACCCTAGGAAAAGTGCACACTTGTTTAGAGAAAGTGTATCTCTAAACTCTTATTACCATTTGGTTTAGATCTGGAGATGAGACCACTGTACCAGTCGCACTGAGCCATTTTAAATGATACCAAACATGACTGTTAATTCACTTCAATTGACATGGAACATTATAATTTTTATATAATCTTTCCAAGTGAAGAGAAGAAAGAGTAAAGGGAAAGAAGTGGGAGGAGAAGGAACAAATGTTAAGGAAGGACAGGAGGGAAAGAAGCTTTCCTGCAACTTCACTCTGTGGGGTACAAATGGCAGTGTGTGTTTGTGTCTCAGGAGATCGAAGTATCAGACCATCTATTAGTACTCTATTGACTGCTTGATGACATGTAGTTGCACAGTTACTTATAGAGTTTCTAAAGTGAACCCTCGAAATAAAGCGTCACCGACTTTTTGCATTTTTATCACATTCTCTCTGCATTTTCCCCACTGAAGCGCATAGATGCGACAGGATTTTCTCTATTCCTCAAGAATTATCTTGAGGTTGATGATTTTCCAGCTGATCTCAGCCAGCGTCTCTACTGGTATTTCCAAAGATCTGAGCGGTCTGGTCCTGACACCAGTCCTCACAGCAAAGATGGTGAGCTCCTGATTCATTTTTCACAAGTCGTTTTACAGAACTTCAGTAAACCTTTCAAAACACACTTCTTGTCTGTTGTCTTCCCGACCTGTTCGCATACAAACCATGTGACAGATCAAACACATTGTTTATATTTATGTGTTAAATGCACAAGATTTAATGAAAGTTTTTAGTGGTTTAATGATAGTATTAATCTAAACTACCATATAAAATAAAGAATAGAATGCATAATGACATTCCGCATAATGCCTGATTTAGGCCTACATTATGCATGCATATGTACTTTTTAATATTTGGAATGAATGCGATCACTGACAGTGCTATTTTAAATAATAAAAAGTGCAAAAACAATATTACAACATAGAAAATATTATAATTGTTAAGCATTAGTTAAAAACAATAGTATTTTCCATTTAAAATGTGCAATATATAATCATCTGTCACAAACACAATTCTGTATTTTCAGCGAAGCAGTGAAAATTAATTTCAGTATTTATGGACAAAAATATTTACAGTTATTGTACTGTTACTGTCACTATCATTAAATTGCACAAGTACATAATGATTTTTGGTGGGTTTTCACTGCAAAACAACAACACACAAATGCCACAAATATCAACAGTTTTTTTAAAAGCTGCAGGAATATAGTCATTTTGAGCTGTTAATAATCAAATCCTGGTGGGACTGTTAAAGGCTGTATAATAAAATGTAACTAACCACACACTAATGTATTAACTTTAACTGTAAAGTGTTAACGGTAAGTATTAAAATGCACACTGGCTATTACTGGCTCTTACTATAGCATTACATTGATATTCAGTGTTATTTGTTCTGCTCTTTCAGGTGGTGTCTCTCTTAAAGCTGTATTGTGTTACTTTTCCATATTGGAGGATGGAAATCCACGAGACAAACTAGAGTGTAAGACATTCATCGAATTTATAGTGATCTCTAGCAGATAATATCACTAATACTATGTACTGATACCATATAAAGTGCGAAATAGGTTTAATAATTTTTTAATCTTTTAAATTATGATTTAAACCTGCCATTTGTTTTTAAGTGTAATTAAATGCAGTGTATATGCAAAGTACTTATCAATTATATGATACTGTTTTGGCAGACACCTTCAAATTGTATGATAAAGATGACAATGGACTTCTTGATAGCAAGGTAAGAACGGGAGTACATGAGATTTTGATATTTCCTTCATGTAATGCTATACCCTCTTGAGTATGATGTAGTTCCTGTTTTAGCTTCCTTAGGTTCAAATTAGCCTGTTAACATGTCCAGTGGTGTCCTCCTAAAATAAATTATAATGTTTATTTACTTCTTGTTTTCTGTGTGTTTTTGTTAAATAGGAAGTTGACAAAATTGTTACGCAGATGATGCAAGCTGCCGAATACCTCGGATGGGATGTGACAGAACTAAAGCCAGTACGTTCGTTCATACAGTATATACAAATAACTCTTTCAGAAGGTATAATGGCATTGGAGAAATTATTTCCAAGTTAGTATGGAAGCTTGTTTCTGCCACAGGATAAAAAACATTACATTTTTATCCCACAATTCAGACTTTTTTCTTGCAACTGTGAGATTATATCTCACAAATCTGAAAAATATAGTCATATAAAGAGATATGAACTCGTAATTCTGACTTTATTTCTCACAATTACACGTTTATTACTTGTTTATATTAGATATAAACTCACAATTGCAAGAAAAAAAAGTTAGAATTGTGAGATTAAAAGTCGTAAACAAGCTTCCATAAATTAGTGACAGGAAATAGCTTAGCAAATATTTTTTCAATAGGCACAGATGAGGCACTTGATGAAGTTTTTACTGCAGGAAAAGTCACGAAAAACAGCAGAGGTCAAATATTATGAAAGAATAAAATCTTTAACTCATCTTATTGTAATGATAAGGTGATGGCGCTAAACGCACATCAGCGTTGGTCTGTAGTTCCTCTTCTGAGCCGCTGTTTGCACACATTACATTGAGGATGAAAGAAAGTGAGTCAGTTCAGTGGCCTCTAGACTTTTTGTAGTACTTCTTC